TGAACTATCTGTCAAAGCCTATAGCTTGAGCTTTGGTCTCTTTTTTCTTGGGTGTCTTTTTGGTTTCTTCTTTTTTCAACTTGCCATTATCAATGATTTCGCCTGAGATTACCATGTCAGTAAAATTTTTTATGGCATTTCCTATCATCTCTTCATAATAAAAGGATTTCAAAGTATTGACAAATAATATAGTGGTCTCCTTTTCAGTCAAAGGAGGTTGCACTTGAGAAGCAGTATCCCTCCATCGTTAGGCATATTCTTTGAATGATTCAGTTGCTTTCTTATTCATATTATGTAAAGAAAGATGATCAAGGGCCAAGTCTATTATATACTAGTATCGACTAATGAAAGTATAAGCCATATTGCTCCAAGAACCAATACGATTCATGTCCAACTGGACATACCACCTAGCAGTAGAGTCAATGAGGCTATCGTAGAATGCATGCATCAAGAGCTTTTCATTATTGGCATGGGCAGTCATTTTTCGATAATACATAGTAATGTGAATTTTTAGACACTTTGTACCATTGTATTTTTCAAACTTCAGCACCTTGAATTTTGGAAGAATAACCACATTAGGAACTAAACAGGACCCAACAGCATTAACTGAGCTATAAAAACTAACTCCCTCCACTGCTCGTAGCGTTTTCTCTAACATGTTCATCTTCTGTTCAGTTTTTGAGGCTTCTAAAGCCCCCTTCTCCTTAGGCCTCAATTTTTCTTCTAAATCATCTAGATTAGAGACTGATATTGGTTCTACTGTCTTTTCAGTAAAGACAAGAATTGTCTTTGACTTGAAGCTGATGGTATTCTAGGATATGTGTACTCTACAAGATAGGTGAACCGCTGTGGTGATAGACCTTATGTAGATTGGGCTTGATGTGGCTCGAAACCAAGAGGGCACAATGGGTCATCCTCCTCCTATTGGCTAGCATTCTCCTTTATTGCCTTCCTCTTGATTAGCTTGTTCAAAGCCTCTAATATCTTATTCAACTCTTCTTCTAACTTCTCTTGAGCTTTCTCTAATCTCTCAAAATGATTGAAATTTTCTTGTTTCATTTGTCTAGCTCAAGCTCTTGTATTGTATTCGTGAGTGGAGTTGCTTGGTGGAGCTATCCTTAAACTTCTAGCACCACAATTATGATTAAAAATGCTATGCCATGCTTTATGTATGATGTTTTGATGCATGAATGAAATGTACATTTTCCTGAATGAAATTTAATATGAAACGGATGCAAATGATTGTGTTAAAACATGATCATAAAAGTAATACAGATGCATACAATCAGACAAACAACATAGTTAGTTCCATAGATGAAATGAAAGTGATGCTGATGCATAATGTTACATATGATAATGAAAATGATGCATAAAGTTAAACAATCAAAATGATTAGATAAATACCATTTTTGTCTTAATTTCAGGATATATCTATCATTGGGTAGAAAGAGCTCTATCCTAGGTTTAGACACTCTTAAGGTTCACTATATGTGGTTTAAGGTCAAAGTCTAAAAGTTTCCAAATTGCTCCTTACATCCTTGTCCATCACAGACTAGTAAGGTACCCTAATCCTCACCTATTACAAGCTACAAGCGAAAAATATTCAATTTAAGTGGGAGTATTTCGCTAGCCACTGCGAAGGCATTAGACCTCACGAAAGCAATAGGTACTTTACTCCCTCCTAGAGCGACGAAGCTCGGGTATAGAGCTCATGTTATGCACATGCATATGAATGACATAATTAACAAAGTAAATAAACATGAATAAATAATAACACATATATACAAAAAGGTTCAATTTTATTAGGCTTTTGGATAACACAAATTATTTGCTGGCTTGACTCTCAAGGTCCCCAGTGGAATCGTCAAGCTGTCATAATGTTTAGATCCGATGATCTATCGCTAGACGTTGACTTAAAGGAGTCGCCACCAATCTTTTTTATCTAGGTGCGATTGGCCACCTAAAGAATATATCTTTTCGGGAACACCTAAGTTTAAGGGTCCTTAAAAGAATAAGTTTAGGTCTACTAACCAGAACAGGGTTCGAGAGTTCGGTTATGTGTGAGAAAAGTTATAGCACCCTCACAACGTCCATCAAAAGATGGTACCAGCTTAAATTTGTATTATCCAATAAACCTTAAAATTTTACCAAGTAATTAATTATTGGAAATTATTCTCAATTGACTTTAATACTTTTAGCAAAAAATTGAAAAAATTTTCTCACCTCAGGAGTATGCAAGAAAACTATTGTTTCACTTGCAGAGGCTCCATCGTCGGATTATTTAACATTAAAAAAATAAAAAAAAATGATTGTTTTTGTGCAGGAAAAATTAATACTTTCAACTTTTCCCTAAAAATATTCTTTTGAAACTTTAATTTCGAGAAAAATTGATACTTTCAACTTTTTCTCAAAAATTTATTTTTTGAAAACTTATTATTAAGGAAAATTGATCATTTCAACTTTTTCTCAAAAATCCATTTGAAAATTTATCTTTAAGGAAAATTGATACTTTCAACTTTTCCTCAAAAATATTTTTTGAAAACTTTAATTTCGAGAAAAATTGATACTTTCAACTTTTCCTCAAAATCTTTTTTTGAAAATTTATTTTTAAGGAAAATTGATACTTTCAACTTTTCTCCGAAAATATTTTTTGAAAACTTTTAATTTTGAGGAAAATTGATACTTTCAACTTTTCCCCAAAAATATTTTTTGGAAACTTTTAATTTCGAGGAAAATTGATACTTTCAACTTTTCTTCAAAAAAAATCTTTTTTGAAAATTTATTTAAGAAGACAAAAAAAATAAAATAAATAAAATAAAAATAAAAATAAAGATAAAGATAAAAATGGAATAAAATAAAAATAGTACTAAATAATTCTAGATATAATCAATAGATAATAATAATAATAATAATAAATAAATAAATAAAAATACCAAGACCCCTTCAAAAGCTTCTTTTCCTTAAACAGAGTCTGGTGGATCATCAACACAACCATGGGCCCGCAGTGGCTCAATAGAAATTTCTCGAGAGGAATGTCTGATTCCTCAAAACTGATACTTGCAAGATAATCAAAAAGCTTATCTCTATCCATTCAGCACAGAAAGGGAGAGCGATAAAGCTTTATGTATCCTTCCAGAGTTAGGAGCCATTCCAAGATTAGATCATGCAATTGATTGAACATAGGGATGAGGATGACGACTTAAAATGGTGGGCAACAAACAGCCAGATGCTAGATCTTTTTTCTTTACCACCACAATAGGATAAGGTTCACTTTTGAGAAAAGTGATCAAGTCTCGAGGTCGAAAGGGCAAATGCCGGATTTTGGGGTGAAGATTACATTGGCAATACAGAGAGAAAAAATTTTGGCTGTGATCTTTGTAGTAATATCCCGCAAAAGGGACAGAACTCCTGTACAAGATTGGCAACCCAACACTTGCAAAGCCATAAAGGAGTAGTAGGGCAAACCTGCATAGAAATAGCACAACTTGTTAACCCATGTTTCCGCCTAAATTCACCATTGCTCTCCAAACCCTTGCAAAAGTCAAATTCAGAGGAATCAAAAGGAACCAGTGCTGAACAATAGCTATATTCCTCTTCTGCCTGCCTCGTATATTTGGTCTAACTGATTAACATCAAAATTGTGAACCATAGCAAATGCAAGATTACTGGATGATACCACCAGACTGAGGCATGAAATAAACACATATGGGAGATCACTGAAGCTCCTCAGCCAAGGAGAACTTGAGGGAATGGGTACTTCTATGAGGGAACTCTTACGTAAATTCCAGCTATGTACGCAATTATCCTAGCTGCAACTTTCTTTAAGTAGTCTACTTCGTTGTTCAGACTCTGAATTTTTCACATTATAAGCCTGCATAGAAAGGACAGCACTTCAACTAATTGATCGTCCTGTTGTAAGAGCCAACATCAGATGACGGACGACATCATCGGACGAGAAAAGGAACCAACCGGACGACTGGCAACAATCGATAGCACCGGTTGAGACGATCAACGGCGCGACGGTGAGGGGAGAATGGCATAGATAAGTCAGGGAGAGAAAAGGGAAAAATGGGGGTTTTAATTCAATCAGCTATCAATTTTGGCTGGGGAGAGTGCTGTTGGTTGGATGGACGTGGGTTTACAGCTACCGAAAAAAAGAAAATAATAATAATAATAATAATTTTCAGTTGGTTATTTCCTCTATATTTCTATGCGAAATTCCCTGGGCTTTTGTTCTGCTCCAGCTTTCGACCAGCTCGTTCAGTTTAGCAAAGCTAATCCCTCATACTCCGCCCAACAATCTGTATTGCAGGGAATCACACCTTCCTTTCTTTTCTACCGCTTGGATCTCTTGTGCAGTTTTCTGTGTGAATTTTCAATTCTGATGTAACTCATCTATCAACTCTGGACGAACATCCATGAACATTTCTGCCAGCAAGGTTGCATCAGTCATTGGCGGTTCCTTTCTTAGTGTCAAACTGAAAGAAAAGAACGGATGCTTAGCTCTTTTAAACCCCTCTTTTTTTTTGCTTCTGTTTTCAGTGTTTTTTCTTGTACTCTTATTGCCTCTCCCTCTCCTATTCGGATTCTTCTTCTCTGTTTTTTTTCTCTCAACCAGTTTTATTTTTCCTTCTGTTTTTTATCCGTCCCTCCATTGCTGTGAATTGTAATTACATATAAAATCAACTGATTGTGTTTCAGTTTCATTCCCATTAGTCATCAAATGCTAAAAATTAGCACCTAATTATCTTTTTTTGGTCATCATCAAACTTAATTTCAATCTTTTTTTCTTTTTTTTTTTTTTAAAAATCAAATAATCAAAAGAAAGAAAAAGAAAATAAATCATAAAATAAAAAAATAATAAATATGAAATAAAAAATCTAAAATGAAAATGAATAAAAATTCTTGCAACTGAACTTGAATTAATCACAAAGAATCTCGGATAAAATAAAATTTCTACAAGGTTCAAAGTTCAAACATTAAACAAATGGTCAAATGTACATTCACGTAATTTCCCCTCATACCAAACTTTCCACCTTTACCAGTGTATGTTATTATCTGGCACCACCATTTCTGACTTTCTGTTGGCGTGTTAAATTCTATCCTGATCCAAACTTTGCTGACTCCGATCTGCATATCTGCTCCCTTAGGTCAATATTGTGTGATCTTCGTTAATAGTTTGTGTTCTTTTGGTATAGACGTAAAGTATTATAGATCATATATTCTGTCGATAAAGCGTTAAATTTTTAATTTTTATGATCACAGATTAAGGGTCTCAGTTATAAATATATGTGTTCTCTTTCAGGTCTCAAAATGGAGAAAGAAGTCTCTCACCAGCCCTTTGTTGCACTAATAGTTGGGGTCACCGGCATGGCGGGCTTGAGCTTGGCTGAAGCCTTGAAGACCCCAAAAGCCCTTGGTGCTCCCTGGAAAGTTTACGGTTCAGCTCTACGTCCAAAGCCAAGCTGGTTCCCCCCCTCACTCCTGGACGGATACATCGCCTTCGATGCTACAGATGCTGATGACACCAACAATAAGCTTGCTCCAATATTGAACGAAGTCAGCCATGTTTTCTGGGTGGCAATCCAAGTTCGTGAAAATGAAGAAGCGAATGTTACTGTTAATGCAACTATGTTAGCCAATGTGCTCAATGTTTTGAAGTCAGGCCCATCTTCAAGGCTCAGCCACATCACTCTCCAAACAGGTACCCAACATTACATGGGTCCGATCCATAATCCACGTAACAAGGCCCATCTCAAACCCCATGAACCACCTTTTCTCGAGGATATGCCCCGATTGCCATACCCGAACTTTTACTACGCGTTAGAGGATCTCGTGGCTTCGTACGCGCCGTCACTAACATACTCTGTGCATCGTTCATCAATCATAATAGGCGCGTCATCGAGAAGTGTGTACAACGCGCTACTTACATTGGCGGCATATGCATCCATTTGTCGATACGAGGGTTTACCGTTCCGATACCCGGGTAACCAATACACGTGGGAGCATTTTTGTGACATGACCGATGCACGTGTGCTTGCGGAGCAGCATATATGGGCAGCGGTGACTGGCCATGCCAAGAACGAAGCCTTCAATTGCACCAACGGTGATGTATTTACATGGAAGAGCTTATGGAAACTGTTGTGCGACATATTTGATGTTGAATTCGTCCCGTTTGATGCGTCTGAAAACTTTGATTTCGTGGGAATGATGGAAGAGAAAGGAAAAGCATGGGATAAAATTGTGGAAAATCATGGATTATACAAGACCAAATTGGAGGAGATTACTTGTCCTGCTGCTCTTAACAATGTGTTACGCTTTGGGTTTCAACATGTTTGTAGCATGAATAAGAGTAGAGAATTTGGGTTCTTTGGGTATGCGAATACACTGAAAAGTATTCCCATGTGGGTTGAAAGATTGAGAGACATGAAGATCATACCTTAATTTGCTTGTATTTGATGTCAACGTTATTGTAGTGATCAAAATTTAGTTTCTATCTTCTTGTTATCTTTGAATTAGGTTTTGATTAAATTTAACTATTCGTGAATTCGTATAGTATAAAATAATTAAATTTATGTATTTATAAAAATTATATATTATAATTCGTATTAATACAAAAATATAAATTTTATTTTTTTGATTTTATTAAATTTAAATATTATTATTATTAAAATTTTAAATCGTATTTTTTTTATATTTTTTATTTATTTGATATTTATATTTAGAATGTGGCCCAATAAAAAAAACTGAACACAAACAAAGCCTATGCTAAGAAGAAGGTTTAAGGATCATATAGAAATATCTGATGGGGACCAACAAAATGAATGAAGGATCACAGAAATTTCTCATTGTCTCATTCAGTCCCTCTTGGAATCTGCTACTACTCACCATTGGGGGATTGTAAGCTAATTACAGAAGAGTGCAGATTTTGTTTTCAACAATGAAGACACCCTTTTATTAAAACATAACTAGTTAATTCAAGTGTCCATTGCAATGTATCCAATCTCATCATCACCATAAAAATGTTATAAACATATTCATCATCTTCTCATACCACTTGATAAAATCTACTGCCCCTACAACCAACATCCAACAGAAATTAATCATGACAGACACACTTCATTCAAGATAAAGACAAATTTGAAAAAAAATTTTAGTAACTCACATTGTTTTCTCGACCTGATGTGCAAGCAGGTCTCCTCGGAGGTAACTGTTGATGTGGTGTTCTCTGTATATTATATACAATCCAATAAAAATTATTGTTTAGAAATCATTTAAATATGTGCATGTGTCATGTGGGGATAGCTTAAATCTAATAACTGTGCAACTTCAAGCAGAAAACTACTGTCCAATATGCCTAAATCAGTCTGTCATAAATTATACATATGCACAGATCGTGATACATGCACATATAAAGACGTAACTTCTTCAAAAAATAATAAGAATTCGAATCATATTCGACGCAAATTATATACCTGAAGCTTTGGTCTCAAAGTCTCTATTGCCACAGTTGATTTTTGATCAAATCCTGCACCTTGCTGTTCCAAATTCATTCAAACAAGAAAAAAAATCAGAGCAAAGTGCAGAATTGAACTGTTGAATCCAGTTCAATAAATAATTTGCTGCTGGGTCAGATTAGGCCTCTGGTTTCCAGTGCAGCTTTGGGACCCTCCGACCGACAAAACAAAAGAAAAATGGACTCCAACTATAAATTTTGGGGTCATGAAGCTTTGGACAGGAATCTAATTTGTTCTTTAACGTGACAAATACCTTACATAATGCCCAGTCTGCTGAATCAAAGAAAGCACGCTCATGGTCCTACATTTATTTATATTATTTTGTTAGTTCATCTCAACAAAATATAATTCAACTTTGTATTAATCTAAACGTTAAAAAAATGATTTTTAATTACCTTTGAAATTAAGGGCTTCTTTTTTGGCACTAATCCTCCATATTTCTTTGTCATAGTTGTTTCCTATCATTGCATCCGAACATTTAATTCAATAATTAATATTAAAAAAATTACGTGACAAACTTTTCTCTACCTTATTTTAAAGAATTCTAGTCAAATTTTCAAAAGTAAAATCTTTCTATTGTTGTTAAAGGCAATTAGGTAAGAATCCAACAACAAATTCAAAATCAATATGAAACCAAAAAATGTAATTTAAAATATATATATATCTGCAAATTTTCAAATACAAATAGTATTATACGAAAATGAAATTATATGAATTAAATTGACCATTACATTTTTTAAAATTGATTTTGTAAAATTAATGAAAAATCAAATTTAAAATTTATTTTTGAAAATTTTTATATATGTAAATGGGATCAAAAATTAAAACTTTATAAATAGTGATTAAAATTAAAGTAAGAAATATATGAGAGAACAAATAAAAGACAAAATAAAAAAAGTGGTCAAAAATAAAAATAAAAATAAAAAACCACGTGATTTTGGGCCGAGAATACTGTATAAAGTACTGTTGTACGTACAATCCAACAGGGCCGACATTTCAAAAGAATTGTCTTTGAAGTCTGAAATACACAGTAATTTCAATCTCTCTCATCACTAAACATACATTCTGTCGTGTCATAATATTAGCCGTTGATTTGTTGACCCTACATACCTACACCTAGAGATGAGCACATGGGATCACTTTAATACCATAAATCACGCAAAAAAAAATATCTTTGGGATGCGATCATTCAGCTCAATTGCTCACATGTGCATTTTTAATGTAAAATATTATGATTTGAATTTAAATTTTAATATATGTAATTTTTTTAATTTTAAATTTTTATGTATCAAATAATTGGACCTGAAATCCTAAGTTTTTATGAAAATATCAACTCTTCGAGCACATTTTTGGAAATTCAATTAAAGAAATTAATTATGATAAAAAAAATAGAAAATCTCCAAAAAAAATCAAATCAAAATTTGGTATCCTCTTAAGTAATAAAAAAGAGTTTAGAGTTAAGAGAGATTATGTTAGGATATACCCAATTGTATGTGAACTTGATAGTGAACGTATCAGAATCGTTGATTTTTTTATCAAAAAATTAGCGATGGATATTGATGGGTAACATTGAAAATTATATGGGATTTGTTTTATAGTATAATGATGATTCTTTTTATATTTTTTTTTTTGGTACTTAATAATATTTTTAAGAAAAAAACTTAGAAGAAAAAACAGCAGCAGTAATTTGAATTTGTACCTCATGGTCTTGGGTGGTATAGAAGTCTTCCCCATGTTTGCAGTCTGCCATTTCTCCTGTTATATAACTCAAACATCATCAATCATGGTTATTAACATAATAAAAAACCCAATAAAACCTTAAAACAAATCATGAAATCCATGTTTATGCATACATCTATTCGTGTCTGTTTGTGTGTGTGTACGTGCAAAAGAAATTTTCAAAAAAAATACTATCGTAATGATATGAAGAACCGAACATGTAAAATCCAAGAGCAAAAGGAAAAGATGATGGGAGGAGAGGAGATTTTGGCATTACCTTGCACAAGGGAAAAAGGAAGAAAATGCAAACAAAGAAAGAGAAAGAGAAAGGATAGATAGAAAGAAAGAAAGAAAGAAAAGGAGAGCAAAAAAGGGATGCCTTGAGTGAGAAGGCGAGATAAGAATAAGTATGTTGTAGTGTGAAGCAAGCGTTGGCATATATATTTTAGGTTAGACAAATTCAGAGATGAAGTAAGATATAAGGTAAAAAAAAGAATCAAACGATGAAATTAATGAAAAAGAAAGAATCGATATTGATGTCAAATGAGTTAAATTTCGATATTATAATGATGTAAAAAATTTTCTAGAGAGACCATAGTTCATACCTGCCGCCCTTTGGATTCGTCTATGCACAAAATGAAAGAAGGAAAATTAGAACAAGTGAAAAAGAGAGAAAAATACAAAGACCTAACCCTACAAAAACCTACCAAACTACAAATAAGGTTGGGAAAGGGTAGGATTGGAATTCTACATTAGTTGAAAAAAATCATATTTATTTATATTTATATCGGAATCTATTTTTTATAGTGTTTTTTTTTTTTTATTTCTTTTTTTGTAATTGTAAGAGTTATGGTTTGTCGTTGACATTTCAAAGTCAAGTTGTCAACTTGTCGATAACAAACTGATGCCGTACGATTTCGCACGTGTAAATTTCTCACTTGCACCGACACTTTATTTATTTAATTATTTACATCATAATTTTTATTAGCAAAATATCAAATTGGGCTTCAATATTTATTTTTTTTACAATTTTTTCTTTTGGATATTTTATTTAAAAAAATAAAAAGGAGAATGTTTGTCCACTTTGGTATATGTTTGAGATTTGACAGAACATGAATCCAATTGAGAATTAGATAAGTAATTTTTTTAAATTAATAAAATTCATAAAATGGATAATAATAAAAAAGAAAAAAAAATTATTGAGCTTATTTTACTAATTCAATTGTACAGATTTATTATGACAGTTCTCAATTTTGACAATTTATAAATAATAAATATTTTTAATTTTCTATTGGTTTGAGTGAATTTATAAATTTATTCATTAATATTTAATAAATGTTTAAGACGACGGGTATTAACTAGAACACCAAAATTAATACGATAATTAATACTATAACAGCTAGCTAGGTATAATATCTTCGATTGTAAAATAACTTTATAAATTGATAACAACTTCATTAAAAAAAAAAAAATCTCAGTCAATTTGTTGTTTTTCTTTCATCTACTTCGCATTAACATATTCAATCCCAAAAATAATTAGTAAAAAATGCATTTTAAAATAAAAATTTTCATGAATCGAATTAAATCAGGTTAATATTTTCAAATATTGTTAAAATCAATCCTAACTTATCCATAAAAGTTCATTTAGGCTCATTTTTTTTAATTTATGTTTAAAATAATTTTTAAAATATTTTAATATTAACATTGAAATTAAAATTAATAAATATTAATTATTTAATAATAAAAATATATTTATGAATTGAATTAAATACGAGCTCGAAAATTCATATTTAGGCTCACGCGTCGAGTGCATAGTTCAACATGTGGGCAAGTCTATTTCGAAAGATTAATTTTGTTGAATTTGTCATATTAATATTATGTTTTAATATTGAAAATTTCTATTATGCTTTAATTTTGTTGATTTTTCGATACAATATAACAAAATTAAAATCTTTTATGAAATATTCTATTATCGCATATAATAATTTTTTTTTTATCAATTCCATTGTTTTTTGTTTGAAAATCAAGAAATTATTGAAAGTATAGTATCAAATTCAATGAAATTAAAATACAATAACGAATAACCAGATCCATATTGATCAATAAAATAGTAACAACTTTGACCTTAATCCTCTAAATCAAAATGAAACATATAAAATATTGTGGGATAGAGACAGATTTTAATTTTAGCTATTAAGTTTTATAAAATTTTTCACCTCAATTTTAAATTAAAAAGGGTTAGAACGAACCATATATATAAATATATTAAAAATTAAATGTACAATTTTAGCATAAGAAAAAAAAATAATACTACTAATGTATGTAAGGAATCTAGAAGAATTAGTTGAGCCGGTTAAGTGGTTGCTGACCAGTCTTGTCTTGTTTAAACCATTGTTTCATGTGTACAAAGTGGACTTCAAAATTTTCCACTCAATAGTATTTTAGAAAATCAACATTGGCACACTTTTGCATCGTTTTTATTCAAAATTTGAGGTCAAACAATGAAAATTCAAATTTTGAATTTCAGATTAGAACTAGTAAAACTGTATGAACTAAAAAAAAAAATTATAAATACTAAAGATGTTGAGTCAATCGTTATTGATTCGATCAATAATAAAATATTATATTTTTAATTTTAGAGATTAAAATTTATTCCATAATAATTTCAAGTATAAAAACATGTCACGAGTAAAGATTAATTCCGAATCATTTGTTGATTAGGTTTTTTTTATTTGAATTGGGGTAATAGTTATAAAGGGGAAAAGAAAAGAAATGAGGCACATGATGCAATTATTGTACACGTGTTTCTTTGAACAAGAGCTCTTCAGAGTTTTTGAGCTGAAGTTTTACAAACTTTTAAACAAGCATATAATCCAATCAATACAAGATCCTGAAACCAGCAAAAGCTTGAGCTGCTGGTTTCTTGTATTTTTCATTTGATCAATTCTATTTCAATCAATTTTGTTTTTGTAAACAAAATAAAGATTGGGGACTCAATGCCAAGTCCACAAGAAATTATCAAAATCCAAACACCACAAGCAATAACTTACAATTATTGGCCACTTTCTTCCCTTTGGGAATGCAGTGGAATGGAACTTCTCTCAAATTTTTGAGATTTTCTCATATGATTTTAGAGAGGATTCCTAAGAAAACTTATATAATAATAATAATAGTCATTCTATGGATTTGTATGATGTCCTACCTTCAAGAGTCTAGGTCTTGATACCCTCCAAATTTGCTTGGAGAGAAATAGAATGCTTGAGATCTCCAATGTGTAAAGTATGTGCACCCATTGGAATTCTTCGAATTCCAAATTCATCAACAACACTAAGGTGTTTGCAGGCATGGATGTTGATTTTGACAGGTTGCTTAGATCCAGCAACGACATGAACTCTATAAAAACCTATCAATTGCTTGTTTGGAGACCATTTTCCAGCAGCAGGTGGTGTAGAGAAAACAAGCAAGGTGTGAGTTCCATCCATATTGCCAGTGTTTTCCACATCAATGTGGACAAGTAATGAAAGTGAGTCACAATTGGCATGTTTCACTCTTATGGAATTGCTTGTCAATGTTGAGTTTTTGGTGGCATAGTGATTGGTGTCAAGAAGAACGGGGAGCTCAGTTGGAGCTAGGGCTAGAGATTGTTTAAAGGTTGTATAGCTCATGCCATGACCAAAAGGAAACACAACAGGACCTTTGAAGAAACGGTAGGTTCTTCCAGGGTAGTCCCCAGTTGGCCTCATGCCCATCTTTGTCATTGGCACTTTAGCTACATAGTCTTGTGGATACCATGTCATTGGTAGCTTTCCTCCTGTGAAAAAAATATATATCAAATTAGCTTGGAAAGTGCAAGAATTGACATTAAAAAAAAATCCAGAAATTGATGAAATCCTGAAACTGAAAAATTGCATTGCCTGGATTGGTTGTTCCAAATAAAACATCTGCAATTGCAGCTCCTCCAGCTTGGCCTGGATAACCAGCCCACAAAATGGCACTTATTCGAGGATCATTCTTAGCAAACGAGACATCAATAGGACCACCTGACATCAATACCAACATAGTAGGGCCTTTAGAGGCTCTAGCCACTCTGGAAACCAGCTCTTGCTGGTGTCCAGGAAAGAGCAGCCCTGCCCTATCTCTGAATTCTGCTTCTATAGATTGGTCAAGCCCCATTACAAGTACTGTTGCATCAGCCTTGCGGGCTGCAGCCTCCGCGGCTCCAAACAGATTTTTTGTTTTGCAAGCAACATCTGAACACCCTGCCTGGTGAATGGTCCTAGCATATCTTGAAATACCTTGCAAGGGACTGGTATAATCACATGCCACTCCTGCATCAAAGAAACGAAAGAATGATCATGAACTTTGCTTTCCTGGAAAACTTTAAATCCGATTCGGAATTTTAAATCATGAAGCAAATGACTCTAAATGTTCCTGTCAATAAAATTATATACCGATTTTGTTAATCATGCTTGATGAGCTACTATGATAAGGGACTTTCACCTGCATAGTTTCCTATCATTGTTACAGTAGCATCAGAGTTGGGCCCAATAACTGCAAGAGTGCGATGATGTGAAGTGGACAATGGCAGAGAAGGCCCAGAATTTTTTAGCAAAACTATTCCTTGTCTGGCAGCCTCGAGAGCAAGCTGTTTGTGGGCTGAAGAGCACACATCTCTTGGGCCAAGTTTCCCATATGGTTGGGCTGATGGCTCCCCATCAAACATCCCGAGCCTCATTTGAACTGTAATGGTGTTGGCTAGAGCCACGTCAACATCAGCCTTAGATAACAAGCCCCTCCTTACTGCCAGGTCTGTGTGGACAGCCAAAAATGGCCCACAATCCAAATCCAAACCTGCAGCAGACTCAAGCTCAACAATGATTGAACTCATTTCTAAAATTATATATTAGGATTTAGGGTTTAAATGTTGAAGTTGGAGCTGACCTGCTTTGATGGTAGCTGCAGCAGACTCTTCTGGGGTAGCAGTGAAATGTTGAGTATCATACATTACCCCAACCGAATCACAATCTGATACAATATACCTAATTGATCCAACAAGAAAGCAATGAAAGAAAAATCAGAAAACAAAACCGTAACAGAGATTTCTTGTAGGAGTTGGTTAATTAATTAAGTTGATAGAAACAAACCCATTAAGGCGCCATTGACCTCGGATGATACCCTTGAGTAGATCTGGGTCGGCACAAGTTGGCTTCCCGTTGACTTGATTGTAAGAACACATTACACTTGCAACTTTCCCTTCCACCACACAAGCTTTGAACGGCACATCATATGTATCCACCAGGTCCTGCTTGCTGACCTACATTCATTTATTATATTATCGAATTTGGACCCAATAATCAATAGCCTTAAACCTTATCTATTTAGGCAACAGGCTATATTTTTTTTCATGATGTTACGTTTGGTTGATTTCTAATACTGTTATTTCTTCTTTTTCTATGGCCCTATGTCGTGTTGCTTTATCTAACTGCTAAAGATTGCATGTGACTGCTAACATGGTAAAAGTAAACCATTTCATAACTTAGGCTGTCTCTGATTAAACTAATTGAATGGTCCTGTTTTCCATGGCTAAATCGTGCTAGCAAGTTGCTACATATAAATGCTATAAGATCCGTTCAAAGATATGCAGCAGTCATTTTCAAGTTCTTACAGAGATATGGACAAGGGAAAGTTGCCAGTTTGGACAAAACTTTTCCCCGGTTCAGTAAATTATTCGGATATCTGATCTGAAACCAGGTAAGCAGCCCAAAAAGAACCCAAAAAACAAATTAAAAATGGCTCCCTCTGCAGCAAACATATATATATATATATATGTATATGTACTTTTATATGTTTACCTTAGCATTGAAATGGTATCGGTCCACACCATTCCAGTTATCAAGATCATAAGCGGTGTAGTGTTTACAGCAGGCAGCAACTTTTAGACGGTTCCCATTAGCACTTTGGAGCCCTCGGACATAGCTGGCAGCATACTTCCCGGCTAGAACAGGGTCTTCACCGGGAGTTTCTTGTCCTCGGCCCCATCGTGGGTCACGGAATATGTTCACATTGGGACTCCAGTATGTCAAACCAGCCATTCCTCCATTGTACATTGCTCTAGCTTCATCCGACACCACCTGCAACAATCCTAACAGTACATTCTATGAAATAGTTCATAGTAATATTACTAAATTACCATGGTTAATTAAATTATTAATGGTTCAATTGTAAAAATCCATCTTTTCCCAGTAATTTTCCCATTGATTAAATTAGCTGTGAGACTTTTAATAAAGTTAAATGAAAAAGTATTATGGTACCCTAAGCTAGCCGAAGCAAAGATGTATACGCAAATTAATTCCTTTGTAAGTTGGTCTCCAATCTCCAACGATTTACACAAAGTCTTTAACATCACTTTCAGTCGCCCACTGTTAGGTTAATTTCTTCTTTACTAACTATTAGCTAAGTCTACTTATCTACTTCCAATATGTATTAATTTTTTTTTCATAAAATGTATTGCACTCAAAGGATCGAAATAGGGATTGCAAGTAGGGATGATAAATATACCCGAAGTTGTTGGGTTTTTACTAATCCGACTTTATAGAATCAAATTTTTTTTAAATCAAATTTTAGATCTGATCGATTTTTTTCAAAAGTTAGGATTAAATCGAAGTTAAATTTTAAGTAAATATGTCCCAACTTAATTTGGTGTATATATTATCTTTTATTTAATTTTATATTTATATATATTATATTAATAAAATTATTATTTAATATTTTAATTTAAGATATTAACTTAATAAAAATATTATATTTATGTATAATTAAAATGAAATTTATATTAAAAGAATAATATTTTATGAATATTAAATTAAATTAAAATTATTAAATTAATTTTTGGTAGGATCGAGTTGGTTGTGGTTTTATATATAAGTCTGGTCGAGTCGAATATAAAAATAATATTTTAATATCGAATTAAGTCGAAATCGGATATATATTTTATGAAATCGAGTCAAAGTCGATATAAACGAAAATCTAATCCGTTACCATTACTAATTGTAATTATTAATATTTTAATTTTAAATTTATTAAACATCACTTTTTAAAAGTAACGAGATGAACGAACTAAATTAAATTCGAAATTTAATATGAACTAATTTAACCCTCGACTTTCTCTCGGAACTTTAATATATACTACCAATTATTGTCACTATTTTTTTAAAGGACAATTATTGTCACTATTAGTTGCCATTCTTTGGTGTTTTTTGTTGCTGATTTTGAAAGCATTTTCCTAGCTGGTAAGTATAGACAAAATAGATATGATCAATATCAACAGTGAGGAAAGGAAAGCTTACCAGTTGAAGAATATAATTAATTTCATATTCTTATGTTTCATTCAATAGTTATAATGTTTTTAAAGAATTTTTATCATGAAAAAGCCAAATTAACAACCCCACCATTAATTTTATCATAACATTGTAAGATTGATGAAGACAGAAATTTTAGCATGATTAAAATAAAAAGCAGACAATGAAAAGAATCTTGAAGCTGTAGTACTCATGTCTTCATGGAAATTTCATGGAGTAAAGGCAAGCAATAAGACAATAATCTAGAAACTATTAAGATAACATATTTAAAACTTTTTAAAGTAATTATAGAAAAACATTTATTCATACCAAAAATGATATATAATTAGCAACTAGAAGCCTAATTGTTTCTTATTAATTAGTAACTAGAGTTGCATGCATTTGGAATAATTTCTTTTAGATTATGTTTAGATCGAAGGAAGGCGAGGAAAAAGAAAGAAAAGGAAAGGAAAGGAATTAAGCATCTCTCCCTTTCTCTTGAAAGCTCCAATTTTTAATTATCTTAAATTGGGGTAAATAGAAAAGAAAGGAAAAAATAAAATTTTTATATTCTTATTATATTTTATTAGTTTGAAAGAATACTATTATAATATTCTAGCTATTGAAGATGTTGTCTTTACTCAACCAATTGTTTTGGTCAATAATTTCGAATTCTATATATTTTTAATTTATGCTTAGGTTTTTTTTTTTTTTCATTTTGCTATCACTTCACAAATTTTAAATAATAAAAATAAAAAAACATAACAAAACATGTACAACAATAGGAAAATATTAATACTCAAACAAATTTATGATTAGTTTATCTTAATAATAAATATTTAAGTTTTTAATGTTCTCATTTATGGATTAATTTTAAAAAATGTTGTATTATAAAAATAATTCCGAACATACATTTTTATGAATTAATTATTAATAATATTCTCTTTAATTAAAATTATTTTTATTAATTTTCAAAATTGTTTAAAATATTAATATCAAAATTATTCATATAATAGAAAATATTTTATAATTGAAATAATATAGTATAATATCTCTTTTTCTTTTTATTTCACAGCTTAACCAAGTACAAGTTATGATTAATCCATTCCTTTCATTTCTTTTACTTATTTTAATTATCCGAATAAAGGAATGAGCCATTGTTTTCTTTTTCATTAAATTTTTTTTCTTTACAAACTTCAATCCATACAGCCTTAGGTTATAGGAATATGAATGTGATGGGTGTTGATTAATAGTAATAAATTGGTAGGACATATATAGCAACAAACTTATTTTGCATACTCTTTAATATTCTTGGCCCACAACTTTATGGGCAGATAAATTAAATTAAACAAAAAAAGTGGCCCATTGTTAAAGCTTTTTGGTAAGCTTATTTATAAAATTATGCACCGGTTGAAAAGGTAGAGAGAAGCAGAGGGTGACCCATGTTTGGAAAATTTTTTTTTTTATGGTTAGTTAATAAAACAAACTACTCTGGGTATGGTCCAAAGCCAAAGGCCTAAGAGGAAATAATTGGCAATAAGTGTCTCCAATGCAATCCCATGCTATGCCTAGGCTAACTTAGGAGCAATGAAACCAACATATAACCACATAGAAATTGAAATAAGAAAAAAAAAATACTATCGGATTTATATTTGATGCATCATGGATCGATATTAAATTGATAGTATCACTATAATTTTTTATAGTATCGTATTTTTTATTTCTTTATGAATTAGAATGAAAATAATGAATAAATATATTGTTTATGTTCATTTTAAAAAGGAGCATATTTTACCTGTCCGATTTGCTCCCAAAGGGATTCATTGAAGGAAGCAGCGGTGGTGATGACTTGAGGGAAGCTAGTAGCACCAGGAAAAGCACCACCAAACTTAGCCCCAGGACCCACATTGGACACCCCATGAAGTGCCTCAGACCACCACTCGTAACCCTGAATCCCCAGCCTAGGCACAGCCGCGGCATTGTTCACCAACAACCTGATCTTCTCCTGCAATGTCAACCTCCCAAGCAAGTCCCTAACCCTGTCATGAATCGGCAGATTCACTCTACAAAACCTCAAGCTCCTCGTTAACCCATTTCCAGGATCACATGCAAATGGCTGACGAGATTCCACCAAAGAAATGGAAACCAGGGAGAGGATAGTAATGAGAAGAAGTGTTTTTTTAGACATTTGAGAGAGCTTTTTGGCATGGTTTTAGGCAAGGTATAAAGGTGTATTTATAGGGGAAAAAGTTGGGTTTCATCATTGGATTTCCACAAGCAAAAGCCAAATAATACAAAGCAAGCAACAAGCAGTTAGGGAATAGTTTTTTGGGGGGCTGAATTAGAGTAGTAAATGAGTTAGACAAAGCGAAAAAAGAAGGTAGAAAAAACAACTATATCCGCCATAACCCAGAGCTTGAAAAAAGAAGAAAAACTATACATGAAGTTAAAATTATAAAGAGTGGTCACGGATCAGAGAATCTTTTCTAATGTTAGCCACGTTAACCACACTTTAAATGAAATAAATTTATTGAATTTATTTTCTTATTTGATTTAATTATCATAATAAAAAGATAATAACGTACATGATATATATAATAATAGAAAATAACCTAATTTTAATCTCAGCATTTCAATTGATACTCATTGAATATAGGATAAATTATAAAAACTCACTTTGTGATTAAAGACGTATCCTCTTGAGAATTTTTCTATAAGCTTTGAAATTAAAATCTTTATATTTTTTTTCACCATTCATTCTTCTTTGAATTAATATATTTCATTTTTTTCATTCAAATCGAATAAAAAATTATAAAATAATAGTGTCAGTTTTTAAATCGCATAAATAAATTTATTTTATCTCTAATTATTAGATGAATTTTTTATAATTTATCCTAACATATATATATATATATATTGTGTCTTAAATTGCAAATCAAAATGAAAAAAATACCAAAAAATAAAATAAAATGAGAAAGAAAAAAATGGAGTCAAAGTAAACAACTGACGCATCTTACTGAAGGAAAATGTTAAATGCATGCATTTGTGTTATTGGTCTATTACAAGGTCAGAGAGGATTTTCTTTTTCTTGTTTTTGATGATAATAAATAAATAATTAATTAATCGATTGATTTTTGACACTGAGGACCATAAATTTCTCTAACACGTGATTTTACTTTGGTACATATGAAACCATAAAAAATAAATCCCGAGACTGCAAATATATAGTTTCTATCATATCTTAAAAAAAGCATGAATTTTTGTCTTCATTATTTCCCACTTTTTTTTTTTTTTGCCAAAGTTCTTCATTTGTATATATAATAGGATAAATTATGCAATTAATTTTGATAAAATTAAAAATTTAGTCACTAAATTATAATTCATATAAATTGAATCCTTTGTTCAATTGATAACAAATCAAATGTTTATTGGTATTGATCATGATAACATATTGACTTAAGGTGAAATTTTTCAGAAATTTTTAATTACAATGAAGATGACTTTTTTTGGCCACATGGGCCTTTACAATTCATTATGCCTTCACAAATATTTTGTCTGGAAGCTATTTTTCTTTGGACTTACCATATTTTTTTTATATGGTTGTTGACAAATGAGATAATAAAGATAATATATAGTAGTTGTTGTATGAATTAAGAAATTTTTTTATTGATTTGGGACCCATAAATTGAAGAATATGTGCTCTATGCCATCAAATATAACAAAAAAAAAAAAAAAAGAAGCTTCATTCCAAAGGGATATTTCTCTATCAAATTACCTACCATTTATGACATGACATAATACCAATTAAGAATCTACCTAGTTCATGTTTTATCATGATTAATTCTTGTAACAACAATTAACTATCTAAGCATATAATTTTTCATTCTAATTTTTTCATGCACCAAGCCACTACAATTTACGGTGATCGATTTTTAAATTATCATATATTCTTCGCATTATTATAATTTTTATTAAGTCGCTACAATAGTTTGTTTTTTTTAGATAAAGTAAAATGTAACGAAAAGAGAAGCATAAAGCTAAAACTAACAAAGATTAATGCACAGCTATGAATGAAAAATGTTCAAGGTTGAGCATCAAAGGTTCTTTATTAAAGACCCTTTTCTATTAATGAATTATTATTTTTTCAATTATGGCCATGGTATGGGAAGTAATTAACAAGGGACCATTTTTTTTTTGTCAGAAAAAAATTTATGAGTAAGGGAGGATACTTCATTTTTAAAGTTATGGCCATGGTATGGGAAGTAACTAACAAGGGACCATTTTTTTTTTGTTAGAAAAAAATTTATGACTAAGTGAGGATATTTCATTTTTAAAGTTAAGGCAAGTCACCAACCCACGAAAGGATTTATGAATTTTTTTATAAAATATTTTAAAATTTATAAATCGCCTATTAATAAAAAATCATAAAAATTCAAATTTAATTACTTTGTATCTAGAACCTAAATCTTAACTACTTGTTCCAACAGGATGATTTATATACGTAATTGAATAAGCGATCATGAATATTTTCAAACCTTGACGATATCCCCAAAGAAAAACAGACTTTTTATTATCTCTGCCACCAGACAAAATCAGATCATCGTATGTATCAGTTGATTGGCTTGTGTCTTGATTTCTTGTCCGATGATGAAAGCTCCTTTCCAAATGGATTTCATTGGATATCAGTCTGGGACCATAATGTTAGAACAGCAACTTGTTTGCCAACCAAATATATATCCCCAGCTTTATGAAATCATGCATGCTTAGCTTTTAACATGTGAAAATGAGGCAATTCTACATGAAAATTCACGTCAAAAACCCACCAAAGTTGAAAATTTTTTTTTTCCAAATGATAGAATTTATTGAATTTTAACCAACAAGATTCATTGTATGCATTAAATTTGAGTTAACTTAGTCAAAAGCTAAAAGGACTAAAGTGTACTCATTTTTTTTTATACGGAAAGAGAGGATTAATTCGAACCTAACTCTTTGAATAGAACCTAACTTTTTGAATAGGAAATAACGTACGGATCCATTAGCCTTAGGGATAAAAGTCTGCTATTTCATGTGCAAATACATAGGAGTAATTAAAATATATGTCAAGATTGCATGAAACCTACCTTACCAATTAAAAAAAAAAAAAAAAAGAACTGCAACCAGCAGATTTAAAGAATAAGCAAAATCTAGTATGATACAAATTCAAATGGTAATGCCATAAGAATCTGAAAGCAAGAGCATGGGAGAATTAATGGAGATAAACTGATTAATTAGATATAACATTCTTATCCTTAACATAAACAAGAGCACTCTTGCTAACTAATCAGCAAACAATCTTCCCTTAATCTCTTCCTCTCCCCATCCCTTTTTTTTTTAACTTTATTTTACAAATGAATTATATTCATATACTGTCTAGAAGACTTTCTTAGAGGAAATTTGAGAGTTTTCTTTGAATTCGGAAAGAGGAGATTTGAATTTTGTTATCCTTCAACGAAAAATCATATACCAACTATTAAATCAAATATTCGGATAAAAAATTTGAGAGTTTGGATTAGATGTGACATGCGCAAAACATAACAATACTCTTAAAAAGAACGAATCAAGTTTATTATGTTTCTAGTTAAGAAATTTCTTTGTCAGGTGGCAAAGGAAAAGGTACAGGATCCATGGGGAAAAAAAAAAAAAAAAGAAAGAAAGAAGGTTGATGTTTTATGTGATTTAAAGCAATGGCGTAAACCAGATTAACCTTTTTCCTCGCGTGCAAGATCGGATTCGAGCTACTGATGTAAACTGAGTTATGATCCACTTTTCAGCTTTGATTTGATATATATGCCCCCTTATGCCGCAGGTTAAAACGGTGACTGAATTAATTCTCTGCTACGGGCTATCTGGAAATGGGTATTGAGGTTCAAATGCTACGTCCACTTGGACTGATCATTTATAAAACATAAGTTCATTAATCGGGCATTTAATTTAATGATTGATTCACAATTCTATTTACACAAAAAAACTAAATTCAGAACTTCCTATTCCTTGATATCACCCCCCCCCCCCAAAAAAAAAAAAAAAACTCTAGTTCCATGCTGCATTTTTTAGTAATCCATCTTTGTATTTAAGAGTTATTAATCTGTCATAATTTTCCTTTTAATAGATTCTTGCTACTCTGAAACTTAAAATTTAACTGCTAAGAATTGGGAGATTAGCTCAAATAATTCATCCATTTCTCTTAAAATTTGAATTCTCGCAAGTTAAAATTCGATCTTTAATATTTACAATTTTTTTTTTCCAATTCTCTTTAGGCATCAATTACCGAAAAAGAAAAATTGCTAAAGCAATCTTCTATTATCACTTGGCCAACAGATATATCCTCCCTTGGTCCCTTTTACAGGTTCTCTGTTATGGCCTTATGCGAGTGGTAGTACCAAAAAATAAAAAATCTAAAAGCTAGTGTGGAGAATAAATGTGACAGAGGAGGCTGTAAACCTGGGTTAAGCTTTTGGGTCTCAAAATATAGGCCTTTGTGTATAAAGAGTAAAGAGAAGCCTCTTTTCCATTTCCACTCCTCGGCCCACATTTTGAACTAAGATCCACTTCGGCTTCTGAATACCAAAGCCCGACAACCTCTCCTGACAAAGTTTGACAGGTCTGTTATTTTATATTAATTAGTAATTAGCCACGCATCTGGTTAACTAGAGGCCCGAGAGGATAGCGAAAATAAGCACATCATCGCTCCCTGCTTGGAAAATGGAAAGCAATCCATAACACGACTTCAAGCATGGCCAAGTTCATAAATTCCAACTAAGACAAAACACTAATTATAGATTTTGAAAAAAAATTAGTCGACAAATTTTTTCGTAAAAATGAGATCAGTTAAATTTTATCTTTTAAAAATAATTATATAAATCTAATTAGGTAAACTCTAATTTAATTGATGAAAATTTTTATCGATAAAATAATGCTATAAGCCTGCAACAGTTATCGTAAACATACAAAATACAACCACTCTTATCAGTTCCGCTGCATTCTTTTTTGGGTAGCTAAGGATATAATTTTAAACTTACCAAGTTACAACTTACTCTTCAGGGGTCCCAACTCTTTTGCCTTAGCTCTTAGCACATGTTTCTGAATCTTCCCTGTAGCTGTCTTTGGCAATGGACCAAATACAACGGATTTTGGAACCCAGTAAGCAGGCATCTTTGACTTGCAGAACTTCATTATGTCCTCAGCTATGCGTTGTTCATCGGATTTTTCTACCCCCGGCTTCAAGGTCACAAAAGCACAAGGAGACTCTCCCCAGCGTTCATCCGCCCTTGCCACCACTGATGCCTCCAATACTGCAGGGTGCAAGTAGAGACTATTTTCTACCTCCACGCTACTGATGTTTTCACCCCCCGATATGATAATGTCCTTTGACCTATCTTTTATTTGAATATATCCATCTGGATGCTTCACACCGAGATCCCCAGAGTGAAACCACCCATTCGCAAATGTTTCCTCGTTGACTTTTGGGTTCTTTAAGTAGCCCTTCATCACAAGATTACCTCGCATCACTATTTCTCCAATAGTTTTTCCATCAGCAGGAACGGGCTGACCAGTTTGGGTACTGACGATATCTAGGCCCTCTAAACCAATGTATCGGACACCTTGACGTGCATTTAGGCGAGCTTGTGTTTCGGGTGGCAGTGAGTCCCATTCAGGCTTCCATGCACACACAGTAGAAGGACCATAGGTTTCTGAAAGACCATAAGTGTGGGTTACACGGAAACCTTTTTGAGACATTGCAAAGAGAACAGCAGGGGGTGGGGCAGCGCCGGCCGTCATTACATGAACAATATGGGGGAGGGGCAGAATTGTGTCCTCAGGTGGGGCATTAACTACGGTATTGAGCACCACAGGTGCAGCACAGAAGTGAGTCACACCATACTTTGCTATGGCTGAGTAGACTCCCTTTGCTGTTACCTGCCGATACATAAGGAATGGAATAACTCTCAAAGTCTCAATCTCTGAGTTCAAATCATGACAAGATGAAAGCAGAATATCAAAAGGCACCAGAGCATAATAGGACTACATTATACTGAATACACAACCTCAGAGTTTCAATAAAATTAAGCCTAGAACCAGATCAGAAATAGATGAATATGGAACAGAAAAGCTAATTTGTTTCATATACTGAAGTGGATGTAAAGCAATTATTTTGCCTACTAATTACCTGTCGGAGGCATATGTTTGTTCCACAAAGAGCTGCGAGTGCCCAAGTAAAACACCAACCATTACAATGGAACATGGGTAGAGTCCACAAGTACACAGCACCTTCATTCATCCCCCATATAAGAGGATTACTCAAAGACATGAGATATGCCCCTCGGTGATGTAATACCACCCCTTTAGGACTGGCTGTTGTGCCAGATGTATAACCCAAAGCAATGCTTTGCCACTCATCCTGAGGAGGCTTCCAAGCAAACTCAGGGTCACCACTTTCTAAGAACTTCTCATACTCAATGGCTCCTTGTCCCAAAGCATACCTGAGGGTTTTGGGATCACAGCTTTCATCAGCAATGACAATCAAAAGTGAAGGCTTGAAATTGCCTTGGCTTTTCTCCTTCATGATTTTCAAAGACTCCTCTGCCAAAGTGAAAAACTCTTGGTCCACAATGACAACGGCAGATTGTGAATGACCCAAAAGGAAAGCAATGGTCGATGCATTTAGGCGAATATTGACAGGGTTTATAACAGCACCAGACATTGGAACTCCAAAATGAGCTTCATATGAAGCAGGGACATTTGGTGCAATTACTGCTACCTGCCAATAATAGAAAGTAATCGGGTCGGACAAAATCTAAAATCAACAGGAGCAATAGAACCATTAAAGTTGCATAAAACAGTCCATTACATACACCATTATCATTGGCAGAAATTCACATGCTTTTTCATACTTAAAAGTAGGGATTGAAAACGTATAATACTCTGCTAACAACATCCAATAATTCATGAAACTATGTAAAAATCACTAACAGAGTATGCACCGATTCCTTAAAAGCTTAACATTACCAGATTTTCCAATAGATTAACACAACTGTCAATTCTCATCACCAAATTTGGACCACATATCAAGCATTAAAGCTTCCTTCCTATTCCACTAACAATACCTCCCTACCCTTTATAATAATAAATTAAAAGAACAACAGCACGGTACCAACTCTAGTTTAATTAACTGAATTTAATTACTAACTGATTAATTCATCCAACCAGCGTTCCTAGATTTAGGGTTTAGGGTTCGCAAAATTGGAAAAATAAAAAAATACGTATCAGAAATTAAATAAAATGGAAAAAATGAAATCAGAAAAATCAACAAGTAAAAGAGTGAATGTTAGTAACTAATAAGTAAAAAGAAATTCAAAGAGACAGTTCATCTAAGCATAAGTCAGATACTTAGGCTCCATCTATTTTCAACTTTGTTTAAAAAAATTAAAAAAATAGATTAAAATGAAAATAATAAAAAGAAAATATCAGATAATCAAGAAAATATATAAATATAAATTTGAAAATAATAAACTTCATTTTCTTATTCTTTTTAATTGTTAATAATGAGGACAAAACTAACTATTAAAAATAATTTAATAAAAAATTCTCATTAAACTTTAACTATGATTCAAATTTAATCTATATTTATTTAGCGATAAAAATTTTATGTAACATTTTCACTAAAAATCTCTATTTAAAAAATATATATCAAAATTTTTAAAATTTTTCATACTTACTCTATATAATAAGACATTTTAACCAATCAATTTTAATTTTTATTTAATTATTTCTAATAGAGAACTTCACCTACTTCTTCTATACAACTTCATCTAAATTTTTCCCTAATAATAATGATTAGTGATAGATAATTATTTGATTACCGTGCTACCGAGTCCGACGGACCGTTTAGAGAGAGCTGAAGCCAAGCGACGGCAACGCTGGTAAGTTTGGAGCCACGTGTACGTACGAGATCCATGGACCACCGCTTTTCTTGTCGGATGAACCGTCGCAGCTCGTTCCAAGAACCACAACGGAGTCAAAGCCGTGTAGTTGGCGGCGTTCTTTGGAAGATCGTCGATGTCCCGCAGCTCCATCAACTTCGATGCGAGCTCTGTCTCTCTCGAAATCTCTCACCAAAAAAAAAAATGAAGGAAAATAAAACGTTGGGATTTGAAGCTGATTTGTAGAGGGAGTATTTATAGTTGGAGAATTGTGTGGACAGCGCCACGTGCAGACAATATTAATTTTTTCCTTTGCGTTTTTTTTTTCTTGGGTTGCGGATTTAACGATTCTATTTCTTATCCGCATAATTTTCTCTTATTAGTAAAATTGTTAATTTTTCTTTTTTAAGAATGTGAATTACCAAAATAAATGTCTTTTTTTTACATAAAATTGATCTTATGTATCCTTTTGTAATTGGTCTTATATATATATATATATATATATAAATATTTTGATAAAATACTTTAAAATTATATTTATTTATTATAAATATCTGATTTTATAAATGTGAAAATATCACTAACTTTTATTAAGTATTTATTTGAATTTCGATCACGTAATAAGAATATGATTTTAGATTTTATTTATAAGATTAATCATGATAATTGTTAATATAAATGAGAATTCCGCATTGAATATCTAATGGTGATTATCAAATTATTAATATTGAATCATATATTTATTAAATGATGATTTATTAAAATTGAAATTTCTTTTAAAATTCATATTACTAATCCAACATTTTAAAATTGTTATGGACTCATTTAATTATTATCTTTAAGTGGAAATAAATTTTAAATTATTTATAAAACATATAATTAAATTTTAAATTGTGTAAATTAATCTTGCATACATATAAAATTATATTATTTATGCATGCAACATTATCACGTACCTAATTTTTGAATTTGAAATGTGATAACATCAAATTCTTAAATAAGTAAATTTTGATACGTATAAAGAGTGATTATGATATGAAATCACACTAGAACGAACTTGAAATAATTTTTATCAAATTAGGAAATTTGTTTAAAAAAGGAAAAAATTACCAAATTATTCAAGGAGGAAAAGGAAAACTAAGATGGAATAGTATTAAAAAAAATTTGTCTAAAAAAGAAATTATATAGGTGTTGTAGAGGATGGGCCTAATGCCTATTTGTCCATATATATTTATAATTTTTTTAGATTAAAGTTAAATTTGACTATATTATTATCAATCAATTTTGAATTTTGCTATTATATTTTCAATTTATTAAATATTGAAATAAAAAACTTGATTTAATAATATTATGACTTGTATTAATGAAATATTTCGTGGAATATTTTGTACTTATTGCATACGAAAATGTTTATCATGTATTGATTTACACGAAATTAAAAAAAAAAAAAGACTCTAATATATTTAGTATTAAAATTTAAATTTTTTTTATAAAATTAAATTTTATTGATTTTTAATGTCAAAAAATAAAAAATTATTTAAATATATAAAATAATAGATTTTGATATTAAAAAATGATATAATTTTGAAATATTGCAAAAAGAAGACAAAAAATGAAACAGAAAGAGTATTTATTTATTTATTGTTTAAAATTTTAAAAATTAAAAATACACTGATAAAATTTATATTGAATCTTAATATAATGACAAATTTGATTAAAAAATTAATGATGAATGGATTGGAATCAAAGTCACATGAACTAAGACAAATAGTTAAAACATTCAATGGCATCAAAGCTGTCAAGTCCGCCCAATTGTCCATTTTCCCACATTTTGCGACCACAATTTCCTAATTGAGACGATTTATATTAAATTATTCGTGCAAACGAAGCCAAATTGATAACGAGTTTCTCTCATTTTTGCGTAAAAAACCATCTAATTGGTTAAACAGGGCAAAGTTACAAGATTTTAGCAAGGACAAGTAGATTGAAAAATGCGCTTTATCATAATTTTATTTGAGAAATTTTTAGACATCATTCAGTTACCAAATTTGACCTTTAACGCCTTTTGTTTTCAACTTGCATCACTTTACCTCAAATATAGAGATAAGCCAAAAAAAAAAAAAAAACATAGTTATCAAATATGATTCAAAATCAACTTGATGCTTAATTTAATTAATTTATATAATAATTTATAAGAGATAATTTTAATAAATTTGATATGTAAATTTAAGAAAATTATTTGATATATTGACAATAAAATTTTTTAAGAAAAAATTTACATAAAATTTAATAAGTGAAATTTGTAAAATTTTTTATTAGAAATGAATAAATAAAATTAAAAATTAAAAATCAAAATTAATAGATTAAAAAATTTTATTGCATAAATTAAGTGTGTAAAATTTTTAAAAAATTTATATATTTATTAAATAGATATTTTTAATAAAAATATTGATTTAATTTTTACTATTGAATAAATATCTGTTAAATTTGAATTATAAATAATATTTTAAATAATTTTCTATATGTTATTGATATTCACATTAAACTCTATCAATTTATTGATATAAATTTTTTATTTAAATTTTTATTTACTCAATTGTTATAAATAATTTCACGAACTCCACTTATGAAATTTTATTTAACTTTTATCTAATTTTTTAATTCCACAAGCGAGGTTAAAAGTAATAACACATATATCACTTTATTTTTAAATTAAAATTTTTAAATATATAAAAGACATGTACCATCATCTTAATTTCACTTATGAAGTTAAAAAAATTTCATTGTTAGTGTATTCGATAATTTTTTTAAAATTTAAGTATTTATATTTTTTTATTAAAAAAATGAAGAATCAAATTCAATCCAAAACTAAAAAAAAAAATCAAATTAAAATATTAATGCGCGCACGAGTTAGCACAATTGGTAAAGAAAAAATATTCTTTATTTTTGTTAATTATGAGGCTTAATCCTTTTGAAGAGCACTTTGAAAGTAAAATTATAAATATTTTTCAGATCAATGTGAGAAGATACATTTTTAAAAGGTAAAAGCATAAAAAAAGTTTTTAAATAAAAATTCAATAATCGATTAAATCTTGATATTTTATTATAGTTAATAAAATCTTGAATTTTTTTATTTTTAATCAATTAAATTTGTTAATATCTATTTTCATCCAATTAAATTCTTAAATATCTATTTTTATCTCAATTGAGCTATTAACTAGATAAAAATTAATGTTGATGATAAACCAATTTTCGTATAATAAAAACTCAATTGATGAAATAAATATTTAAAATTTTAATTAATTATAATCGAATGATTATTTAATTTTTTTAAAGTATTTTTGCATTTTTTTACTTTTTTAAAATCATTCAACAAAAAAATTTAAATTAAACTTAAAGAAAATCTGAATATATATATATATATATACTCATATTATAAAAATAAAATAAAATATCATTATATATTAGTGATTAAACAACAAAGTCAATGGTTCATGCCCATCGTTATTTTTGGCCATTACTTGGATACCAATTATTTAAATGAATAAATCAAACAACAAGGTCAATGGTTCATGCCCATCGTTATATAAAATTTTTTGGCCATTAATTGGACACCAATTATATATTAGTGATTAAACAACAAGGTCAATGGTTCATGCCCATCGTTGTATTAATTTTTTTGGCCATTAGTTGGATACCAATTATTTAAATGACTAAATTATACGAATACCTAACAAATCTTTATTATTATTATTATTATTATTATTATTATTATTTTGTTTTCAAAGGGACACCTACAATAAGGGAGAAAAATTTTCAAAGGATTTTATAATCAATTTCAAAGGTTAAAAAAATTTACATTTTGCTTTTAAAAAAAACTAATAATACTATAAAAGAATTAAATTATAAAAATTAATTTCAAATAAATAAAACATGATTTTACTTTTATAGTAAATAATTATGTTAGAATTAGTACTGTATCTTGATCATTTGCCTTTATTTATAAATTAAGAAAAACAAATAAAAGAAAAAGCGCAACAATATCAACAATTAAAGTAAGCATATACAATATTTTTTAAATAAATAAATAAAACCAACAAACAATACTTAAACAATTAAATCAATATTTTTTATATTCAATTGTTAAAATACTTGAGAAGAGTTATTATTGTGTTAGACTGATCTTCTTACTCCGCTCCAATATCCATGAATTGTTAAAAAAATTTTTTTATGAAAACCGTACATACACCTTAAAATAAACAAAATTTTCATAAAAATTTCAAAAATAAAAAGCACAAATTTTAACTTTTAACATGTGGATGCACATATCATAAAAAATATAGTAAAAAAATTGTGCATTCATATATTAAAAAAATTATAAAAAGTTTTGTGTATCTCACATATTAAAAACCATTTCTTTTCAAGCATAAAGGTTGAAAAAAATAGAAAAATAAAATTAACATTGAGAATATCATTAAAGAATAAATTATTGTAATCTTTTGTTTTTTTTTTTTTTAATTTAAAAATAACCAAATAATGAAGGATTATTATGAAATCTTTAAAAATAAAAGTTATACTTTAAAATTTCAAATTTAAAATGATATTTTTAAATTATTAAAAATATATATTTTATGATATCACTACATTTGAGTTTTTAAATTTAAAAATATATATTTATATTATTAGAAAACTTATTTTAAAAGATAATATATCACTATATTTGAAATTTTAAATTGAAAAAGATATATATTTAGATTATTTGAAAATATATTTTTTAAAAATAATATATTTAAATTAGATTATGTTGTTAGCAATTTACAAATAATTGAATGGGTCTTCCAGTTAAATTTAAAAATTTTGGATAATTAAATAATATTTAAAAATATATTTTTTGATAAATAGTTTAAAATTAAGAAATATTTTACATATCATTATAAAGGGAAATTTTAGAGATTTTTCTATATGTAGAAAAAAAATGCTATTCACCTTAGCGTCTATGTAAGTAAATCTTATTAGATTTCAATGTATATTATAATATAATATTATATATGAGATATGATATATGATTCAAATTAAAAACGAATCTCAAACGTGGGATTCACACAAAGACCGAATTTTCAAATAATTGGGCATCTTGCAGTAATCATATCAAGTTTATGTTTCCAAAACAATATTATAGTTGCCCAATTCCATTGCTGATGGAGATCAAGCTAAGAATTCAATCACCATATCAACCAAATTAAGCTGATGATGATCAGGATGATGTTACAGAGGAAGGAGATACGCTGAAAGGTTCCTGTTCTTCACAGGTGAGCACATCATGGGGTCCTGCTTCCTCTCTGCCAACACCCATCAGGTCAAGGTAATGCAGATAATGGGAGATGATGTTGTTCATGGACTCGCTATCACCCTGGCCACAAACTTGATCTCCATACAGAACATTCATGGTGCTGCCAAACCCTGGAACCCTCTTGGCCAATGTGTCGTTCTTGGTTGGTTTCCAGTTACCAACGAAAACATCGTGGGCTGATGGCTGGTGCTTCTTCACTGGGGTCATCCACCTCCAGATTGCAGCCTGGAATGCCAAGGTTGCATTGTTTTCTATGTATTCTGGGTGGTTCAACAAGTCCACCTTCAAAGCCTCCCCAGTTTCTCCATAGTTGTAGTTCCTGTGAAAAAAAAAAAAAAACAAATATTTGAGACTTGATCTGATTGAAATAGATTATATTCGAAGAACGGATTATTGCAGATAGAAAAGCAACTCATTCTCAAGAATTCTAGGTTCTAGCCCACATACCAGTAGATAGGTAAGGCACCACGGCCATGGTATGAAACTCCTGGAGTGCAAGGATAGTTGTATTTGTAGTAATCATCACAATACAACTTGCTAGGGCTCATTTCCTTGTTGTAGCATAAACCCCAGGCCAATGGTCCTCCGGTAGCCACTCCATAACCACCTGAAAATTATTAAAACCAGTGCCATTATTCACTTAGAATATACAGCCCAAATGTAACATGTACTCTCAGTTCCAGATTGATTTGATCAAAAGAACAGATGACCACTAATAAAATATTGAATCTATGTTGTCACTTGTCAGGTATTGAGATTCTAACCAATTCTCTCTTGAATCTTGATCATTAATTAAGCCTAGAACATTAATGGAAAAAATAAGCCAACACACCAGCTGAAAACCAAAGGTGTCGTGGTGTAGTTGGTTATCACGTCAGTCTAACACACTGAAGGTCTCCAGTTCGAGTCTGGGCGACGCCATTATTTCTTTTTTCTGACAGGTTCGTGATTTTCAACGGAGACTAAAGAGAAACAGAAGCAGAAAAATGCAGAAACAAGCTTTGTGTACTCACATGAAGTTTTGCTGCCAACATGTCCAAGAAAAGCAGCAACTTCCTTCATACTCTGCAGCTTTCCACCTGTGGTACCAAAACCATGAGGTTGATACTGAGCAGCAGCAGTAATGAAAGAATGGTAATCCCAGAACCCAACTGCATGAGCCACAGGTGTGTTACGTTTTGCGAAAAGGTTCTCAAATTGGTAAGTTTGGAAGTAATCAGAAATGGTTTTGTTGCAACAATACTGTGACCACCCTTTACATTCCCACCCTTTGTCACACAATTTCTTGCCCTTAACAATCTTCACCAATGGCTTTACTGACTCCTGACCGTTTGCCAGTGCAAGCATTATTGCCATTGTCAAAAGAACCAGCCATTTAGCCTCCATTGTTGATTTGGTGATTGAGAGAACACTTTTTTTCTTGGTTTGGTTGATGGATCGGAGAAACAAACACTGTGATTTATAAAAAAAAAATGGGGAAGTCTTGGCCCTTGGGGATGTTTTATTGGAGTGAAAGGAATAGAAAGTGAATTTCTAACTCATTAGGAGAGGGAGAATTTTCATGGTTGATGAATGATGGCTACTAATGTCTGATTTTGCTTGCATTTTATGCTTCTTAAAGTGCAAGCAAGGGAAAGCTTGAAGAAATATTTACTGTTTCCTGAATGCATGGACTGGCTTGGACCTCAAACAGCTGGGCTGGGATGGAATATTGTACTGAAATATTAGTTTTTGGGCCAAGTTCTACTATCGTGGAAAAAAATTTGTACAAACTACGGATGTTCATAATTAAATTTTAATCGAATTAATTAATTAAACAGATTTAATTCGGTTAATTGATTGATTATTAAAATTAATTTTAAAAAAATTTCAGTTTTTGGTTAATTTGGTTCAAAAATTGAATTAACTAAAATTTTAACAAAAAAATTATAAAATCTATGTATAAAACTAAAAATATATAAATTTTTTCATTTTATTTCAAGTTATTAGAGTTTTTAACTTAATATTTTGATATTTAAATATTTTTATTAAATGATTTTATTAATTAATTTGTTTCATGTATGAGAAAATAAGAATTTAAAATATAATATAATATATTATTTAATTAACTAAAAAAATTAATCAAACTGAAATAATTAATTTTGATTAATTAATTTTTAAAATTAAAAAAATTTAATTCGATTAATAAAAATAAAATAATTTAATTAGTTAATTTAATTTTAAATAATTCAACTTGAAAATAATTGAACTCATCGAATGAATAGTATCGATGCAAACCTTGAACTGGTTTTCTGTGGCAAAATGAAGTAATTTGAAAAAGGTTTAGAAAAGCTGGCTAAAAATTTTCAAAGAAAATGGCTAACGAATAGGGAAAAGTACAAGAATGATACAGGGTAAGACAATAATAACGAAAATAATCGTGTCAAATCTAAAATTAAGATGACAATTATTATTAATTTTTTATTCTCTGCATCATGTCAAACTCACTTGATTCCTTATGTATCAAGATAACAGTTTTAAATATTAAAAAAAAAAGAGATTTTTAATTTGGACTTAAATATTTAACTCAATAATTAATAAATTATTTTTTATTCAAAAAACATTGTTAATATCACATCTATATCTTTTGCAAGGCAAAAGCATCTGATCCAATTAAAATTTAATTGGTGCTTTTATTTTTTATTTTTATAATAAAAATAAATTAAAAACAAAAGACAAATAACAAAAACATCAAATGCAATAGTTAAATGCCGGACCAAACATTAAAAGACTCAAACAAAATGGACCAAAATGTCCGCCAAACTAGTTTTCTTTGCATTGCAGGCAGGGGCAAACGGTGACCTTTGAACGTGACAGCTGCCGACATTGCTTACTTTAAGGCTTATTTGGGTTGATCTTTTGTTTGCCATACACATGCACGTCAAACCAATATGAAAGCAAAAGTCACGACTCACGAACCCAGATTAAGTTTAAAACCAACGTTAAAAATCAGATAATCGTGATTAAATTTTAAAAAATCAACATTAAAAATCAGATAATATGTTTGCAAAAGAGATATTAAGGTTCAAATTTTTATTTAAATTTGATCTTACCTTTGTCATTCAAGTTTAAATAACAAACATAATTCAATTAATTAACGATTAAAGAATATTGATAAATTTATAATTTATTTTAACTGATTTATGTAATTACTTTTAAAAAATAAATTTTAATAAATTTAAACTTTAATTTGTATAATACTCTATTTATTTCGTTTTCTTTTGTTCATTTTTATTTTTTAAGATATCTCAAAATTATATTTTTTTAATATTTAAAATTTTTATTGTTTTATATTTTAAAATTATATCTTAAAATTTTTTCTACTTTTTGATATTAAAATTCATAAAACTTTAAATTTATAAAAAAATTAAATTTTAATATTAAATATATTAAAATTAAAATTTATTTTTTAAATTTCATAAAAATTAATATATGATAAATATTTTAAGATAGATAGAATATCTTTTTGTCCTAATGCTACAAAGCGTGAAATATGATTAAGTACTGAAAAAGAAAAAAAACAAAAAAATTGATTAAGCTGAAATGAGAAAGAAGCAAGAACCAATGAAAGGACTTGACTGACTGGTCGGCTTATTCCATCAGAACTGAGAATCCGTTTCCATCAAGAATCCTTATTTATTTTTTCTTTGGCTATTTTAATTTCTATGCCAATTAAAACGTGGTCCAATCCAAGATTTAAATGGTTCGAAAAAGACTTCGGCCGTTCGGAGGATGAAAGCGAAAGCCGTGCATACTAATGTGCATGTTTCATGACTCGTGCTTTTCCTAGAGCCAGCCGCCTAATGCCCACCGGTGTCGGTCTATGGCCTAGTGGCCGTGCAAGTTTAGATGAAAAATACTATTCACGTATCTCTAAATCAACCCACAACAAAATTATTTTATGTTTATAAATTTTTAGATAAATTTAATAAATTATATCATCGTATCATATAAAATATTATAATTATATTATATTTTATATGAAAATTAAATATTATAATTAATATTGATTTGAAGATATAAAATATAATTATTAATTTTATTAAATATATTTATGCTTTTATTTTAAAATTTAAATCATAATATCTTCATATTTTTTATTTATATTATATTATCGTATTGTATTTTAAATTATTTAATTAAATTTCAAGTATTACCTAAACTTAAAAATTCTCTTAATATTTGATAGATTTATTTTTTTCCTTAAAAAAACCCCGAATGGGGAGAGTGAAAAAAATATTTAAAGGCTGCTATCCAATATGATATGTACTGGTTGAACTTAAACAAGCTTAATGAAAATTTACTAAAATAAAAGCAAATAATGAGAGCTTTTTTATTTCAAAGTTGGTTTTGATAATAAAAAGAGTCTTAATTTTTCTTCTCAAGTGAAAGAGTCTTAATTTAATCTCTTAAAGCATTGCAATACTTTCATTTTTTCGTACTATATATTATCCAATAGCCCAAAAAAAGATATTGATAGATTAGTTTAATTATGGGTCTAATTTAACTATGCCCTACTTTAATCTCATGTCTCATGCTCGTTTGCTTGCACTTTCTCAAATCATTATAAATTTATATTTAGATTTGATGATTCGTATATTTGTATTGTATAAAATATTAAAATTTATATATTTATATTATATTTTATACGAAAATTACGTGTCATAATTCGTGTCGACACGAAATATAAAATATAAATTTTTATTTTATTAAATTTATATGTAATTATTATTACAATTTTAAATCATATAAATTTCATATTTTATTTTTATATCGTATTCATATCGTATTATCGTGTCATATTTTAAATTATCAAATTTATTTATACCAAATATGATCTAAAATAAATTCAAATTTAATTTCAAGTATAATAGCCATGTGATATATGCTACGATGCAAAATAAATAAAATGCATTCATCTTTTTTCCAAAACATATACCTAGATCCCCTCGTTTGCTATCAAGTCAGAAGTTTGAATTTAATAAACATACGAAGTAAATTACACATACACTAATGATTTTTGTGTAATATATTTTTTTATTAACGAAATTTAAAACTTAAATTTTTTATGAAAAAAATTCAAAATTTAGTTCATATTTTTAAAAATACTTTAAATTCATCCAATTTTTGTTTACTAAAAGTAACCCGAAAAGCTTTAAAAGGCGACAACTGTCTAGCATAATAAAATGACATTTTTATTCCTACAAGTTGACAGCTTTAACATTACAAAATAACTTTTTTACTCCTTCATAATATAAATGTTACAATGAATCCATGGGTAAATAAATGAACTTCGTGCGGTAATATCCCACCACACGAGCGGCAGCGTGCGATGAAGGTCGGAGTGGAAAGAGAAGGGGATGAAGAAGAAATTTTTTTTTTTTTTTTGGGTTCTCAGCAATGAAGGGATGGCAGACGAAAACGAAAGAAGAGTAAAAGAGAGATTCCATTTAGGGTTAAACGACAGAGGAAAGGGTACACGTAAATTTTGAAGGGTTTTAGAAAATTTTCGTAAATTTTGAGGAGAGGGGAAATGAATGATGTGGGAGGTGGGAACTAGGAACAGAGTCTGTGGAAAAGGGGAGTCTGTGGAAAAGGAACGTGAGAAGGAGGTGATAGTCATAGTGGTACTTCTTTTTCCTGTGTAATATTAAAGACTGGGCCTGTCAAATACTCAAATTCGCCTTTGGTAGGTGGTCTTGTCGTTGCATGGCTAAAAAGCAAAAAAAAGAAAACGAGCAAACAAATAGTATTGTCCTTTCTTCTTTTTTTCCCCTTTTGTTCCAGGTTTTTTTTTTTAAATGTTTTTTTTTTTACAAAGGAATTGAACAAATGGATTCATTTGTAAGGTTTTTTTTGTTGTTTGTTTTTTATTATTTTGGTTTATTCGTTTGTTTTATTTTATTATTTAAATTATAAATTAGGGTAGATTTTGATTAGTTAAAATAAATAATATTTTTAAAATTTTAATAACAATGTAATAAAATTTTGAAAATAAATGAAATTTTCCAAAAAATTTTCAGGTGAGATTTTTTTTTTCAATTTGATATTTTTAAAACAAATGAAAATTATTCTAAAAATAAAATTATTAGAAATCACAAATGATTGATTTTCTAAAAGATTTCAAGGCAAAATTTTTTTTTATAAATTTGACTCAAATGATGAACATTTTAGATAAAATTTTAATAAATAATAATTGATATTTATTTTTAAACAATAATAAAGTGAGAAATTTATAAAAATAATAAAATAAAATTTAGATTTAAAATTTTTAAAATCATGAACTATTGATTTTTGATGAAATTTTCAAATAAGAAAATATTTTAAAATATTACTCAAATGGTGGAAAATTCTTTAAATAAAATGTTTAAGTACTTATTTCATATTCTACCTTAAATTTCATTTTATTGAAATAATTTTTTTTGAGAAATTTAATTATGAGAAAAAAGATAAATATTTTTAAAAATTAAAAATAATTAAATAACATTTTTTAATCCTGCAATGAAGAGCGATAAATATTTCTCGTATTGTATAAAGATGATAGATCATTGGTACATTTTACTCTAACCTTAGTTTTAAATATTTTAAAATCGTCAACTTAAATTTAATAAAAATTTAATTAAAATTTTTCAAACGTTTATATATTATACATAGATATACATATACACAAAAGGCAATTATTCAAAACTTTAACTCAAAAAGTTAATTTTGATTTTTATTTGATGATAATTGAATTCAATTTGAATATTTTACTGATTTAGTCAAATCGAGTTAGAATTTATCAAGTAATATTAGATTGAACTTATTAACTTAATTTTACTAAAAATTTATGTCACAAAAATAATACATAAGGTTATGAATCCAAATCCCTACATTAATAGGCATAAAAAATATTATTTAATAATATGAATTAAAAAAATGAAAAAATAACAAAATATTTGGATGGAGAAAATTTGATGCTTATTCGCCCACAGACAATCAAGTACATTCTCAATAGAAAGGTTATTTGTAATTCATTCATTTATTTTTAAAAGCGTTTAGGCTTCATACTCGTGCAATAAAAAAATTATTCTATTTATTTAAGTTTCGATTCATTTAAATAATAAAATTTTTATATTTAATTTATGTTAAGTTCAATTAAATTAAATAAATTTATTTATAAATATTAAATAAATAAGTTTACAAATATATATTTATAAATAAATATATTCATAAATAATAAATAAAATATGACAAAATAAAATTTAAACAAATATAAATGAATATTCAAATAAGATCGAAATAAAAAATAAAAAAATATTTTATTAATATTATTATAAATAAATAATTAATAAATAATAAAAAGTAAATTTTAAATAAATTTATTCATGAATATTAATGAATTAAATAAATTTTTATTTATATTTAATTCGTTTAATAATTAAATATAAAAATATTATTTAATATTATTTATTAATTTTAATATATAAATATAAATAAATAAAAATAAAACATATTTGTAAATAATTTATCAAAAATTCTGTTCGTTCACATCATATAAAAAAAGTTTTTCAGGATGGCCCAACGTTGAAATAAAAGGCGTACGATCCAAAAGCAACCATAGACCGTCATCCACAGAATTGAAACTCCTTCATTTTTATTTTCTTTTTTAAGGAGTAAATATTTCTACACAGCAAATAATAAAATAACAAAAGTTATTCCTTCTTTTTATAATATTTTTATAATCAGCTCTTACCCTCCTCAGCTCTCTTAATTTTCCTCAACTTTTGCTTTAGACTTCCATTTTCCAAGCTTGAAAGCCAACCTTCGCTTCGAAACAAGGTCAGGATTAAGGCTAAGCAGTTTTTAATTTCATGACCGTTTTAATTATAATTTCTTTTAGTAATCATTTCGTTTTTATACGTTTAATTTTATGGAATTAACTTCGTTTTTTTTTTGGTGTGGAGAGTTGCTTAAACTCGGAGACCGATTTCGGCGATGGACGGTGGCGGTTCCGGCCGACTCGTCGGCACCGAGATTCATGGATTCCATACATTGGAAGGTACCGTACGGAGGAATTGATCCTCTCTTTATCTTATACAATTTGTTTTATTAATTTTCATTTCTCAGTCGAAGAATTGTTCTGTGTTAGAACTTGAGGTGCTAAACTTGATTGATTTGATCACTCGTCAATTTCAGGGAGTTATTACTTGTTAGCTTTTTGGAAGTAATTTCTTAATTTTTGGTTTTAATTTTGGCTCAAAATATTGAAGAATTGAAGTTTATTAGGGGTTTTTAGCTCTTTGAAAGCTAGAGAAGTAGTTGATTTTTTTAAAGAAAATATTGCATAAACTATTAAGTGAAGTTAGTTTAAGCTTCATGGAGTGTTAATTTTGTTCTAATTATTTGTTAATATCATGCTTCGTATCATAGTTAAGTGTATATCTCTCTTTTGCTGATTTTAGTTTCTATATTTTTTTAAAATTTTCTGTTTGATGGACAGATTTGGATGTTCAAAATATGATGGAAGAAGCCAAGTCAAGATGGCTACGTCCAAATGAAATTCATGCTATGCTTTACAACCACAATTATTTCACCATCAATGTGAAGCCAGTGAACTTGCCCAAAAGTAACTACCGAAAATAATTAGTTCCATTTTTTCACCTCATATTTATGTTTTCCTGGATTTTCATAAAGCAAGAATCTATTCCACTTTTAGTCACTGAAAAGTCTGCTTAAAAGATGTAAATGCCTAAGCTGTACCCCACTTTAAGTTCTGTAAGTTCATAAGAAAAATTAATAATAAACTTGCTGTTTGATTTAAAATTTAGGCTCTGTTTTCTATTTTTTTTTTTTTTTTTTTGGTTGCAAAAAGGCACATAGCAAATAAAAAGTTTCAACAAATGGAAGCTTATTTGTGCAATTGGATGCAATATTTCCATTCGGATTGCCAAAGGTCACCATCTTGCAAGAGAATGCCAAGTTGCATTACTTATGGCATTAGGAAATTATAACTTTACTTTCAAATGATCAGTATGCGATCTTGTGTAACTTCTAGAATGACTTATTTTATTGTTTATGTTGTAGGTGGTGCCATTGTATTGTTTGACCGAAAGATGCTCAGAAACTTCCGAAAAGATGGCCATAACTGGAAAAAGAAAAAGGATGGGAAGACTGTTAAAGAAGCTCATGAACACTTAAAAGTGAGATTTTATTGTTTTATAGTCTTATAAATGGCACAACTTGTTATTGATGCTGCTTGCTTTATAAGGTCTTATAAATGGCACAACCTGCTAAGTGAATAGTGGCTTTTTTCTGGTATATTGAGACTCAAATTATTGGCTTCTGTAACTGTCCTATTTTTACTTCCATCACTTGTTTGTATCTTATGTTTGTAGATATGCCTGACATGTTGTGGCAAAGATTGTAAGATTCCACTATTTTTGTACACTGCATTATATATGCTGTTTTCTCTTTGTGCATTAAGATTATCCTATGTGTTAAACTGTTCTAAGTGTTAAGTTTCACTTGTATAGAACCTTCTGGTTGCTGCATCTATGTGTTTGCTTCTTCCTTTTCTTTTTAAACTTCAATTTAATCTCCTCCCCTTAAATGTATTGAAGTTACTTCCATTTTATCTCCCCTGACTTGGGAATGTATGTTATTTGTTCTTTTAATGGCCTAAATGTAATTATTTTGAGAAAGCATAATTTGTTGAAATTTCATTTTATTTAATGTTTCAGGTTGGTAATGAAGAAAGGATTCATGTATATTATGCACATGGACAAGATAACCCAACCTTTGTTCGCAGGTGTTACTGGCTGCTGGATAAGTATGTAATTTACATATATAAGTTAACCTCACCTATGTAGTCTCCACATTATTTGATTTGAAATAAAAATCAGGAAACTCTCTCTCTTTCTCTCTCTATCTCAAGTTGCAGTGTGTGTTAATGTCTGATCATGATTAGCCTGATCTTCTATTATTTTTCTTTTGCTTCAGGACTCTGGAACACATAGTTCTTGTTCACTATCGCGAAACACAGGAGGTTGGTGTAAAATACTAAAAACTGAAAACTTGGGGGCACTTTCTCCAAAGAATAGCTGTCTTTATGTTTCTTTATGCCTCATAATCTGTTAGTGCCTGACCTTTGTTGATTTTTGTTACAGTTGCAGGGTTCTCCAGCCACACCTGGGAATTCAAATTCTAGTTCAATAACTGATCAGTCTACTTCTTTGCTTCCTACAGAAGAGTTTGATTCTGGAACTGGTAATGCATTTTATGAAGGTGAGAGAGGACCTTTAGGTGATATTGAATTTTCTAGAAATTAAATTATGTAAATAAATATGGGAATTTGTTATTTGACAAAGAAAAAACCTCACTAACAGCATGACTTTGTTATCATGTTTTTTGCTATACATAATACGTCATGTTCTCATTGAGTATTGTTCTGGAAAGTGAACAGAACCCAGTGATAGTGTTAAGGCCAGAAATCACGAAATGACACTTCATGAGATTAATACGCTTGAATGGGATGAACTTCTGGTGACAAATGATACTAATGGCTCAACTGTATCTAAAAGAGGTAACGGACTATTTTCTAGTTTAAGCAGTACCACTAGTTTAATCACCGAATTATTAACCTATTTTGATGTGATGGCAGACAAGAATTCTTGCTTTGACCAACAGAACCAAATAACAGTAAATGGCTTCCCAAATTATGTAAGATAGCTCTTAAGTTCTTATATTTCTATGTCCCTCTTTAAGAAAAGATCTTTTTTTTTTTCGTTTATTTTTGTTTGTCTTCTTTTTTTGGCATACATGGCAAATTGTTTGGATTGTCTATGTAGGCAAATAGGGTTTATTGTTTCTCGTCTTATCATAGTAAATAATTTCTCTGCATGCCTGTAATACCCAAAAAATATCATGCATGTTGTGCAGAAGCTGGAAAGTGAACAGATAGACTTGTGAACTAATTTTTAGATCTCCTTAACATTTATGATTTATGCTACACTTCTCTAGACATATATCTACTTTCTTACTTGCAGATATAAGTTTTGCATGTGTGGAAGCATCTGCTTGAGTGTCTTCATATTCATCCCTTATTTTTGTTTGTTTATCTTCTTTTTAGTTTGACATTTAAGCCATCATTTCTCTTTATTGTGAAGATCATTTGAATATTCTCCTTTTTCTTTTTTTGTTACTCTGTTAGTGCTTGATAAATGATAACCACTCAAGTTGCTTCACTTTTGCAGGGTGCCCCTATCTCAGCCTATAATTTATCAACAGAATTTTCATTGCTTGGTAATTTAGTTGAGCCAGTTGCTCAGAGTGGTAATGCTTATCTCAACACCCCAGAAGGTGTTTGTCATCTGGTATCAGGCGGCCAAGGAAATTCTAATGTGCAGAGGAAGGACTCTAGTCCCATAGGGCCTGGTGAATCGTTGGACTTTTTGTTGAATGATGGTTTACAAAGTCAGGACAGTTTTGGAAGGTGGTTGGACTATATTGTGACTGAATCCCCAGGTTCAGTGGGTGATCCTTTGCTAGAATCATCAATTTCATCTGGTCAAGACTCCACCTCTCCAGAGCAAATATTTAGCATAACTGAAGTCTCACCTGCATGGGCTTATTGTACTGAAAAGACAAAGGTTTTTTCTGAAATAGTTCTCTCTCTCTCTCTTTCTCTCTTTGGGCTGTTAGCCATTGCTGCTGCTGCTGTAATGATTAATCTTTTCATGGATTTGATGCTAGAAAACTATTCATTTAAACAACACTCATGAATTTTGGTTGTGTTAAATGTGTTTTGACCTTTGTTTATCTATTAATTTGCAGATTTTAGTCACTGGAGTCTTTCATCGAGCTTACCAACATCTTGCTAAGTCCAATTTGTTTTGTGTGTGTGGTGACGTAAGTAACCCTGCAGAAATTATTCAGGTTGGGGTTTATCGATGTTTTTTATCACAACATTCCCCAGGACTAGTAAATCTGTATATGAGTCGTGATGGACATAAACCCATCAGCCAAGTTCTTGGTTTTGAGTATCGTGCGCCTTTAGTGCATGACCTGATAGTTCCTCCAGAAGATGAGTCTAGGTGGGAGGAGTTCCAATTGCAGATCAGGCTCGCTTATTTGCTCTTCTCTACTTCCAAGAGCCTTAACATTCTATCAGGTAAAGTGTCAGCAAATTCCCTGAAGGAGGCTAAGACATTTGCTCAAAAGACTACTAACATATCCAATAGCTGGACATATTTGATTAAGTCAATTGAACAAAACCGAGCTTCACTTACACAAGCAAAAGATAGTTTATTTGAAATTGCTTTAAAGAACAGGCTAAAGGACTGGCTGTTGGAAAGAATAATTGAAGGCTGTAAAACAACTGAATATGATGCTCAAGGTCAAGGAGTGCTTCATTTGTGTGCCATTCTTGGTTATACTTGGGCTATTTATCTATTTTCATGGTCTAGCTTGTCACTGGATTTTCGTGATAAACATGGATGGACGGCTCTTCATTGGGCAGCGTATTATGGGCGGTATGTGTTTTTGCGATTGCTAATATTTGTTTTTACTATATTTAAAATTTTAAATTTACCGTATAATTTGTAAAGCTTGCTTCATTTTTTTGAGTTGATTTTTTTTTTTTTAACTGGAACCTTTTAAGTATGTTATCACACTAAGCCATGGCAGTGAGGCTGTCTATTGCTTCTCTGTCAAGGATTTTTAAGTTCTCATCTTAGTGGATCATGTGTTTCTTTGTTCCTTTTTTGTGAGTGTGATGAAATTTGAAAGATTTGAATATAGTAATAGTTTTGATGCCACATTATCTTATTTCTGTCTGTAATTTATTTGCCGAGATATGCTCTTATTCAGAATTTCTACTTGGTTTTTTAATGTAACTGTCAATTTTCAAGCAGCTTTGAATTGTTTATTTGATTCCAAAAGCCTTCCACTGCAGGGAAAAAATGGTTGCTGTTCTTTTATCTGCAGGGGCAAAGCCGAATTTGGTGACAGACCCCACAACCCAAAATCCAGGTGGTTGCACTGCTGCTGATCTTGCATCTTTGAAGGGTTATGATGGGCTAGCTGCTTATCTTTCAGAAGAGGCTCTAGTAGCACACTTCAATGATATGGCTGTAGCTGGAAATACTAGTGGCTTTCTGCAAACCAGTAAAACAGAGGCAACGAGCCTCATTAACCTTAACGAAGATGAACTATATTTGAAGCAAACTTTAGCAGCTTATAGGACAGCTGCTGATGCGGCTGCACGCATACAGACTGCATTCAGGGAGCACTCCTTAAAAGTACGAACCAAAGCAGTTGAGTCATCCAATACAGAGGATGAAGCACGAAGTATAGTTGCAGCTCTGAAGATTCAACATGCCTTTCGCAACTATGAGACTAAAAAAAAGATGGCTGCTGCTGCCCATATCCAATATAGGTTTCGTACTTGGAAAATGCGTAAAGATTTTCTTAATATGCGCCGCCAGGCTATCAAAATCCAAGTAAATTCTGACCCTTTTCTTCTTACTGATTTAGTGTTTGTGTGTGTATTGTATTCTATATTATATCAAAATCCAATTTTTAATTTTTGGTGACTGTAAACAGTCATGATTTCTTTTTTTAATTGGTCCGATTGAACTGATTCTGACAAATTTCAAAGTACCCCACATTGGCAAGTTAAAAATTCATTTTTGAATCCCTTCTTTTTGAATGAAAATTCGTCTTTCATCTGGATGCCTGATTTTTCATACACAGCATTCGTATGACTACACTCAGTTCAAAATATTATGCTAGAGTACAGATTATTTTCTCTGGTTCTTTCTGTCTGAGGAAGTGAGGATTGCTTAGAACAGAAAAGATTCTTTGACAATTGACATTGCATGAAAATCTAATACAGGCAGCTTTCCGAGGCCTCCTAGTAAGGAAGCAGTACCGTAAGATTCTCTGGTCAGTTGGTGTGGTTGAGAAAGCAATTCTGCGATGGCGATTAAAGAGAAAAGGTTTACGAGGGCTAAAAGTTAAAATAGTAGAAGCAGTTCCAGCGCAAAGTCAGGAAAGTGACGCAGAAGAGGACTTCTACAGAACCAGCCGAAAACAAGCTGAAGAACGTGTTGAGAAAGCTGTTGTACGTGTTCAGACTATGTTCCGCTCAAAGAAAGCACAGCAGGAATACCGGAGAATGAAGTTGGCTCGTGATGTAGCAGCGGTAGGTGAACTCTCTGAAATTTGAAATAAGTTGTCTGTATTTTGTAGATCAATTTACCAACAAAATTTTGTTTTTTGCAGTTGGAATATGAAAGCCTTCTCGACCCTCCTTCGAATATGGATACTGGAAGATATTGAAGATTAGAATGATCACACCTAGGTATAAGAGTGAGTAACCCTAGGGAGCTGTATATTTGTAAATGCAACTGATTTCTTCTGGTCCTCTTTTAAATTTTTTCAGATTTTAAAGGGGTGGTAAGTTATTGCGGATCCTTAGTCTTGTCGTTTTGGGTTTTGAGTGTTAAGACCTAGGTGAAACTTGGATACAAGATATAAGCCAATGTCCCTCTTGTTGTATGTATGCATTGCATTATCATTTAGCTGTAGATTAGGGTACTAGATTTCTCATGTCTGGAGGATGTTTATACCTTGATGTTAGCATTCTTCTTGGTGCAGGGCTGGCTGTTCTTTGCTAATGAACAAGTTTAATGTGCCTTTGATATGGGCCTTTTTAAATTAGAAAATCAAGCAATATATATATCTAAAAAATTCCAAAAATAAAAAAAACGGAGCCTGTTTATTAAAAATATTAAGATTAAATAATTTTTTATTATTTATAAAACGGGAATGGTAACCGGTGTTTAGTAGCATTGGTTAGGGGTTTAAGAAAAAAATATTTAATTAATACATTATTTGCTTTTTGATTGAGTGAAAATAATAGATTAGATACAAATTTTTTTTTCTTTAAATGGTATTTAAATAGCTCTTAATCAATGCCTGCAAGAACCCGTTAATTGAACTTTCAACAAAATAACATTCCTAGTTGGGTCGGGGGAAACCTCAACTTTAAAAATCTTATCAAAAGTTAGGACTGAAACGACTCCGGCTTGATTCAAGCCCCTGTGTTAGATAAGTTGGGCTAGGCCCACAAGTTTGATAGGTCATCTAATCCATGAACAATTCTATTATTCGATTCAAATCCCGAACGTTTGGTTAGCCACCTGACCCATAAAACTCGTGGGTTAGGGCCGGAATAAGGCAGGCCCATGGGTTTGATGGATCATATGATTATGAACAGGTCTACCCTTTAGATACTATAAGCATATCGACGTTGGGCCTTATGACTAGTGTGGCTTGAGGTTTCAGGATTCAGCCCAAAACCAAACGTTAACCGCTACAAACAAACAATAGCATCTGTGAGGGTAAGTCCAAAATCTGTGGAGTAATTGCTCACCAAACTAGCAACCAAGGTAACTTACCAACCTATCTCTACAAGAAGATACCAAAATAAACAGGGTTTCCAAACTAATATTTGATTAAAAACAACTTCTGAACAAAGACTACACATATTTCAATTTACATAGTGGCCTGATTGCATCCCCTCCCCACCTCCCCAATCCATCATAATTCACAAGCTCTCACTCAGTAGTACTTGCAGGAAAATTGCTAGCCAAGTAGATAGGTCATTTTTCTTGGTTTGCCTACTTAATGTACTGAGAGAGCCACCTGAAGCCATCCCCATATCCCATCTTACGCACAATGCTGCACATGAAAACTTCGAGTGGGCGGACATTCGTGCCATCCAAATTAACGTTCCCCTTGCCTGTGGTAAAGTTAGTCAAGCCCATGTGATAACGTAATTCATCCTCTGAGGCAGCGTATGGTAGGTCGATCTTGTTCCCCAGAATTAGGAATGGGACATTTGCTAGTGACTCATCAGAAAGAAGGGCATCGAGCTCCTTTTTCGACTCTGCAAATCTCTCCTTGTCATAAGCATCAACCAGGTAAACCACTGCATCAACCTACCAATTGATATGGCATATCTTTCACATCAGCAGAAAGCAAAAATAACCAAATTGAAGAATCAAGCAATCATCATTAAATATTAAAAAACACATCAAGAATCTAGGCAAAAGTTCCCATAATTGAAAATTACTCACATGGAAGATAAAGATATCAATGATCTCAATCGAACAGTGAATAGACATAACAGTGTAATAATGTACCAAGAAAGACTGAAAACTAAACCATGCTAAGCGATAATAAAGCATGAATATCAGAGTAGGGATTCCTAAGAGTAATTGCCACAATCCTCTACAAAGAAAAATCACATCATAAATCAACTATAGTTAATCCATTCAAAAGTGGTTATAGAACACTAATGAAGGTCCATTTGGAATGGTAAACCAGGCTAAGAAGGCCTAAACGGTTTCCTCAAGGGGGGAAAAAAGGACTAAAAGCACTGAAAACACCAATGAAGCTGAGCCTAAAAGAATCAAACCAAAATGATGCAACCACATATAAAACCTTACCAATTTATCCACACCAGTTAAAAGAAAATCCTTAAATGCTATTCACAACATTCAAAAATCAAGATCAAAGCTATCTAAAAGTTAATAAAACTGACTGTCCATACAATTACAACATAAACAACATCACAAATACTCATTATCCGGATCCATGTCACATCGGAATTATTCGAAATTTGCTATCTTTCCACCATCAATCATCCATTAACAACATGTTCCTAGTGACATAATGATAATAGTTCACTAACACATGACTTCAAATAACACCAAAAACCAAGAAGAGCCTAAAAGATGTATGCATATAAACACGAATACCTTGGCGTAATAGTCCTTCCAGACTCTACGAGCAATCTGATGGCCACCCAAATCAAAGGCCTTGAATTTGATCTTCCCTATGCTTAGTTCCTCCGATGTTGGGTACTGTGTTGGCTGATGCTGAACAAGTCTCTGCATTTTTCAAACTTCCAAATGTCATACACCAAAACTCTTTCAATTGAACCAAAATTCATAAACAACATTTTTTACTCTAAGCTAAAACTTCCTTATTTTTACAGCTAAGGGGTAAAAAAAAAAAAACAGGTTACTTTGATATTTTCCTTAAGCTTCTCAGCAACCAAGCAGAATTGTATGGTTGAGGCTTCACACATAGAAGAAAAGCAATAAGACTGCTCTAAGCAATAGCTAAAAAAGGGTACTTTTTATATCTGATTATTGCCAAAAATTATTAAAAATAAGTAAAATACCTCATCTTTGAGCATGTAAAGCAGAGTTGTTTTCCCAGCATTATCAAGCCCCAAAAACAAGATCTTTGCTTCCTTTTGATACAATCCAAGAGAAGCTAGAATCCCATAAAACCAGTCTATAAGAAACATTTTCTTTACTTTCCTGAATTCTGTTTGGACAGAAAGAAAATTGATGAAAGAAAAAAAAATCCGAGCAAAAAGATGTTTTTTCTAAGCTTGGCTTTGGTGGTTTTGGAAAGATTTTCCGGGATTTTGGATTTTATAAAGTAATGAGCTGGCAACGAGGGACTGGTTTGGCCGGTGACGGTGCTGACGTGGACGGTGGTAAGGAAAGAGGGAAACAGAGAAGTGATTGAGAATTACCGGTTACTTAAAAAGTTTGCGCCGGTGGAGGACGTTGATTGGTTGGTACGCGTCATAAGGGTACTGTGGCCGTTGATTTTAGAAACCGCTGGTAACGGTGATGATGGTTTCATGATAACTTGTTACGTGGCATGAGGAAGGAAAATATCTGATACGGCTGTGTGGTATCGGATGGAAAAGATCTTTATCGGATCGGACGGTGATCATGCTTTCACGATTCCAATTGTACAACTTATCCCGTTCCTCAAAATTTTAGTAAAATTCATATATTACACGTAATAAAAATAAAAAAATATATTTTTATTTGATATGTTAACATGAATTATAATGCAATAATTTTTATATTTTATATATATTAAAAAAAAAAAAAACGAATATCCAAATTGTCAAATTTACTCCCAAGCATATATATATATAGCTTAACCATCCAAGCTTTAAGACAGAAATATGGCTGGGCACTCACATATGAAAGTTCAAAACTAAAGCTATAGCTGGTGCAAAGTACAGAGACTATAATGGTGGCAACTGCAAGCAGAAAGCATCAAGGAAAGAATCATATGGGCTGATTGCTTCTCTTTATTGTCATGTATCAAAGTTTGGGTTACATCAAGATGACACAAATTGACAAAATTTATTCAGATTCTTCCAGACAAATGACAATAACAACCAACAAGAATCAGAACATATGACAACAAAAATTTCACGCAAACTTGTTCAAGATACCAATTTGTGTTGTGTAACTAATCAAAAGATCTAGAGAAGTGAGTTTGAAGTAAGTACCAATCAGAAACATGACAAAAGGAATTTTCCTAAATCCTTCGGTTCTCTACTTGATATATTGAGAGAGCCACTTGAAGCCGTCACCATATCCCATTTTGCGGACAATGCTGCACATGAAAACCTCAAGGGGTCGAACGTTGGAGTCTGTAAGAGTCACCTTACCCTTGCCCGTTGTGAAATTTGTCAGCCCAAGATGATAACGGAGCTCATCTTCTGACGCTGCATAGGGAATATCGATCTTGTTGCCGAGAATGAGGAACGGAACATTGGCTAGCGCTTCATCTGAAAGGAGGGCATCTAACTCCCTCTTCGACTCTGCAAACCTCTCCTTGTCATAGGCATCCACCAAGTAAACCACTGCATCAACCTGCTCACCAGATAATAAAGAGTTTGCACCATTGTCAGGAGTCCAAAATCAGTATTAAGAAATGAAGCCATATATAAGGAGCTTGCAAAAAAAAAAAAATGATCAGAAGCTCGGTCGTGACATTATTATTAGGATTTATGAAGTACTAGGTCCAATAACTAACTTCAAATTGGAGAACGATAAAAAAACCAATGAGTAAAACCAAGTATCGTTTCTTTCCTTCGGAAAACTCACATCCAAGGTAATGCATGTTAATGCAAAATAGTTTCTGCTAAGCTGATAATGAATTTGTTTTTGAACGGAGAGAAAAGCCAGACTACAATATGAAAACATGAAATCTTGAAATTGCCATGTCCAACTCCATAATAAATTTCATCAACACTCACTATTAAGGAGTATGTTTTTAAGACGAATCTTCTTCTAAACTACTTTGGTAAGCTGAGATTGATGCATGGAAAGCTACTAGTAGAACACCTCCCAGTAAATAAAAGAAAAGGTGCTATCAGCGATACTTCCATTGTTGATATCTGCCTACCGTGAATCAGATAAACACAGGGAAGGTTCATCTGGGATCATGCAGGCAGAATTAGCACCAAATATATCTGAGTAAATTACTTGGATAAAGATTCAAGCAGACAAAAGTAGATAAGAAAACAAAGTTTTGCTTGGTAACACGAAAACAACTCTATCAATTGCAGGCATTGACACCAAAATTTCTGCAATAAAAAGTAATAGAGAGTACTCCACATATCCACCACAACTCAAGGATGAGCAAAAAGTGAGAAAAAGAAAAGAAGCAAATCTAAATCTGTCATTGATGAGCTTTGAAGCGAAAGCATTGTTCATACCAGTCAAATACAATTAACAGACAAAATATCAGTTTAGAGAAGATATTACACATGTTTGATAACTAATGCAAAACATCTAATGGCATGCATTTGCATCGAACAAGAATGAATACAAACTAGAGATACTGACATTTACAGCTACCATTAGCCACCATTAGGCATCAATGAACAGATTCAATCCCATAAAAATATATAAATCATGGAGAAGATCTCATAAAATTGAACACCATTATCATGAATGGTTAACAAAGTAAGGGTAATCAAGGAAAAAAACCTTAGCATAGTAATCTTTCCAGACACGGCGAGCGATCTGGTGACCACCCAAATCAAAAGCTTTGAACTTGATTTTTCCTATACTCAGTTCCTCAGATGTAGGGTGCTGAGTAGGTTGATGTTGAACCAATCTCTACAAAATACAATTTCCAATCATCAATCTGTCCAAAACCCAGAAACAAAAACATGGAAATGAAACTAAAAATACAGAACAAAAAGTGGAAATCTTTGAAGAAATTTTACCTCATCTTTCAACATGTGAAGAAGGGTGGTTTTGCCAGCATTGTCAAGTCCTAAAAACAAAATCTTTGCCTCTTTTTGCCATAAACCCAAAGATGCAAAAACCCCATAAAACCAATCCAATAAAAACATGGTTTGTTTAGTACTAGTATGGGACTTGAGAATGAATCTAGAGGAACAGAAGAAGGCAAGACCAGATCTGTTTTTCCCTTGATTAAAATGGCAGATCCAACATTTGGGATCTGTTATACCCAAGCTTGAATTGAAATGAATGTGAAAAGTTAGGTTGAGTTACATAACTTACCATTACAGCTCTAATGTTAGTGGTTTTGCCTGTTTTCTTCTTTTTTTTAATATTTTTATTTTGTATTGATTAATATCGCTATGGATTTTTTACCTGTGCTAAATATCAGTAGATTTTTTTTTTACTATCTTTTATGAGTAAAAAGAATCAAATTTCAACTCATAAATAAGGTTTAAATTAAATAAAGAATTGTATCATGATTCATTTTCACTTGAAAATATGAAATATATTTTTTATTTTTATAAATTTATTTATAATTTTTATTAAATTTTTAAATCATATACTTATATTTTTTATTTATATTATTTTTATATTATATTATCGTATCTTATTTTAAATTATTAAATTATTTTTATAATGTGTTAAATATTAATATTTTTTTATTATTTTTTATGAGTAAAAGAATCAAATTTCAAATCATAAATAAGGGTTAAATTAATTAAATGATTGAAATATTTTATATTTGAGGGGTGGAGATAGATTTTGTAAAATCAAAAAAGAATATGTCTTATTTATGGTTCAAAAGTTTTTCACATGTAATAATATGTAAAAAGTGAAATAGGTTTTTTTATAATTAAAAAAATATTAAGCCTAAGAACAAAATTGACTACTCAAAACCAAGATTTAAGAGCCAAGACCCTACTTAGATTTGATCAAAAACTTAATAAGGATTTTAAGCAATGGTTGGAAAAGTTAGGTTGAATTTCAAGTTTTATGTTTTGTAATTTTTTTTATAAAAAAATTGTAATTTAAGTATGAAAGAATAAATTGTAATATTGAGATATAAATTTTAAATTTATTAAAAAAATTTTAATAAATTATTATATAAATTATTAAGTTAAAATTTGAATTTAAATTTAAAATTTTTTTATATTTTACGTTCAATAAAATTTTTATTTTCCAAAAAAAAAGAAAATTTTATTTTCCCTTTTAAGTTATTATATTTAGGGGTTTAAGCGAACAAATTTTTTGACAAATTGTTCATGAACACATTTAATTTTTGTTTGTTTATTAAGCTTAATAAATGATATTGAATATTATTTGTACATTTGTTTATTAAATGAATTGAGCATAAATAGTTATATGTTTATTTATTTATGTTCACAAACGAATTTGTTTAAAACTCATTCGTTTAAAATTGATTCGTTTATTGTTCGTTTGCTATATGTTAATAGTAATACTAATAAAATTATATTTTTATCATTTGCTTTAATCATAATATAAAGGTTGTTTATATTTGTTTGAGTTCATTTATGTTAGTTTAAAGTTTGTTTATTTAAATTTGTTTGATTATAGTTTATTTATTATTTATAAATGTGTTCATTTATATATGTTCATGAACATATTCGTTTAATGTTCATAAATAAACTCATTTAATTTAATTAAATAAATATGAACTGAGTAATAATAGTTTATTATTTAAACAAACGACTATTCATTAAAAATAATTTTTTTAATGAATATAAATTAAACATAAATATTTTTAAAAATAAATAAATAAACAAAAACATTCATTCGTTCATATCTAGTTAATTTACAGCCTTATTTATATTTAGAAAATGAATATGAGCTGACTTCCCCAAACAGCCCAAATCTCAACCCATATAAAACGTTGGGGTGTTTTGGTCATCAAACATTAAGAATTAGGGTTTCGAGCTTTCCCCAAATATAAAGCCCAAGTTTTTCTTTCTTTTGTTGCTCCTCCGTCCAAACACCCTAGTCAGAGCCGGGGCTTCTCGTTGACCTAAGGTTAGCTTCTAAACTCGATCAATCTTTCTGTGAAAAAAGCAGTCATTTCTTTACAAAATCAAACAAACAAGTTTTTTTTTTTTTTTTGGTTTGATTTTTCTGCTGAGCAGAGATGGCAAAGTCAAAGAACCACACAGCTCACAACCAATCTTACAAGGCTCACAAGAATGGCATCAAGAAACCGAAGAGGCACCGCCACACTTCCACCAAAGGGGTATTTTTTTAATCGAATTTTGAGTAAATTTTTATTTTTTAATCTTTTTTTAATAAAAAAATTGATTTTTTTTTCTTGTGGATATGTATGTAGATGGATCCAAAGTTCTTGAGGAACCAGAGGTATGCAAGGAAGCACAACAAGAAGAGTGGAGAGTCTGCCACTGAAGAAGAGTAAATTGGGGTTTCTAATTCTAGCCTTGATTAGGGTTTCTAATTGGGGCTATTTTAAATTTTTAACGATGGAATTTTGTGTTTATTTACTGTCTACTCAGCTTGATTACTTGCATTGTTTATTTTGGGATTGCTGATTATCTTTGTTAGAAAAGATTTGAAGCTGTGACTGTGAGCTTATTAATATCAAGAACATGTTTTGAGTTTTTTTGCTTCTCCTTTTTATTGTTATGCTTAAGCATTAATTAAATGATTTGGATTGGAAATGTTGCGTTATTTGTTAGCATTGGATGGATTTTATGATTTTGATTTCTAAATTGGAGGGATTTGCTGTTGGATGCTTTCTGTTATTTCTTGTTTAGCATCATGATACAGTAGAAAATCCAGAAATGAAGCATTGAATTGTTGTTGATTACTGGCTTAGTACCGGCTTTTCCGAGTTTGGCTTATGCCATGAATCACAACAGTTGCTATTAAGGCTGGTGGGAGACAGTCCCTTCTAAGAATGGTCATGGATTATACAATTTCTCTTGAGAGTGGTCAGAACTTGTAGTTTAGCACCATTTGTTAGAATTGTGAATCTCATTTGTTTATGATATTCTTGAATGCAAGAGTTTTCTTATGATTCTTCCTTGGGCAGAATTTGGGTTTTGTTACGGTTTTGCCTTGCAGTCTTGTGTTTCGGTGCTTGTTCTGAGTTCTGACCGTGTTCTATGGCCTGAGACCAGAGTTTTCTTCTGATTCAGGCAACTCCTTGGAGGAGAATTTGGGTAGGGGTTGGTCATGGTTTTGAGATGGCAACGGGTCGGGCGATCCGGGCTTTTTTTTTTTGCTCCAAACGCTATCAAACTTTATAAGCTTAATATTTGAACTTGACTTGATATTAAAATATAATTTTTTAATATGTTTAGAATCACAGTCAATTCGAAATTAATAAAATATTAATTTTTAATATAAATATTATTATTTAAATATAAATATAAAATTAAATAAATAAAAAAATATGAATATATATATATAAATATAAAATTAAATAAATAATATATATCAGGACGGGTTTATATAAAATTTAATCTGACTCAATGAGAAATTTGATTTAAAAGAAAAACTGATCTTGCAACTCAGGTCGGGACTTGATGGGTATGAATTGGACTGTCAGCCTTAGTTTTGCCTCATGGTATTGAATGAAATATGTATAGAGAATTTGCGTCTAGGTACGTTTCTAAATTCTTCTGACTCTGTCCATCCCATGATTCAATTTCCCAAAGCAGGTTTAGTTACTCATTTAGCCACTCTGAGAATCATATTTGTGCAGTTAATCTCGTGGTAAAGACTATTTCCAACGAAGTAGTTTTAGTGGAAACAAAATTTAAGGCATCTTATTATTTCCAGAATGTCAAGGAATACAAAATTTCAAAATGGACATAAATTATCAGCATAGGTATCTCTGCATTACATATGACAACAACTTGACATAAACCAGAACACGAAGCTGTAAAAGATTTCAAGTACAACCATCATCAACGTATGAGTAAATTCCTCCAGGATGTTTCTTCTCTTTGGATGACTGTTGTGTCGACTTATATCACCGAGAGAAACGAGGTTCCTTGATGCTACCTAACACAAGCAAAGTTCTTCAAAAAATTTATACTTTCTTTTTCGAGTGTCGAGAAGCTTAGACTGCAACTGGTTCACTTACTGGACTACTTGAAGCAGGGGCTTTAACCTGGTTAAGAAAAAAAGATTGGAGGTGACAAAGGATCTTGACATGAGCTTGACACATGATAAACAATCAAATAGCGTGTAGAGAGAGATTTGTTGTGCTTCCCATTCAGAGTTAGGCAAGCATTTTTGCCTTTGCAGTGCATGATTTTAAAATGGCAGAGCTGAAGATCAGTAACTCCAGAGAGCATTGTAAGAAAGATGAGAAACTCACCTTTGCTGATTTGAATAGTTCATCAAGAACTTCAGACAAAGTTGGATGTGCGTGAACTGCAAATTTGATGTCCTGCATGATGCATAGAAACACTTGTATTTACAATTTACAACATATCCAGTTAAATGCTTCAGAGTTTTCTGGAAAAGAAGTGAACCAAAAATATTTTGGTTTTCACATAAAGACACCTGGATACGTGTCCCTAAAGCTATGGCATTTGATGCTTCGTGGATGAGGTCTGCTGCATGCAAGCCAAATATATGAACTCCAAGAATTTCTCCGTTGTCAGATCTGTATAACAACTGCATGGAAATAACATAGATAAAACTTAGCAACTGTACCAGCAGACAAGGAAGATGTTTAAAGGAGAACAATAAAAGCAAGCAAAAGAATAAGGAGAAACCATAGTCCTTCAATGTTGGTTTCTGCTGTATCATATGAGATCAACACTTCATAAGAGATCGTATAAGTTTCAATTAGTTATCCTTTTAGAATTTGATAAATATTTGTGTCAAGCATTTTGTGAAAATCGAGAAACAACTTTTCTATAATGGAGAACCACATGGAATAAAAGAAAACAATTCATTTCTGTTTTTGTGATACTTTATCATGTTTATTGAATTAGTTACTGCATGAGACAAATGTCAAAAGAAATAACCTTAGCAAGTCCCTCCCCTTCATTTTCTGCCAGTGCCTTTGTGTTAGCCTTGAAACTTGTTTTAGCAACACTTACTTCAAATCCTTCCTTCTCACCTTTCTCCCTTGCTTGAGGCTGCGAAGTTAGAGCATTGTCAAATTTTCCGATATTTAACACCATAAGAAGATCTTCTTAAGTAAAAAAAGAAAGCAATGAAAGAAGAAAAAAATGGCAAGAATGTAAGGCTACATGGAAAAAATTATCTACCAATTTAAACTTAAAATAAATTAAAAAAATTGAAGGTGTTTGTATGTCAATATTCACCTCTGTCAGCCCAACCATACTTATCTCAGGGTGAGTGAAGCAGGCTGCAGGGATGCTAAGGTGACTAAGCACGTGATCTCTTCCAGTGACTTGTTCAACCACTGCACAAAGATATTTAAGCAAAAGATGAATGGAGCTGTATGAAAATATCAATTATTAATTAGCAAAGAATAAGTCAGCAGGCACTTGCCTGAAATTCCTTGTGCACTTGCTGCATGAGCAAGCATCATTTTACCATTTGCATCACCAATGCAGTACAAGTGAGGAACCTAGCATTCAACCTTAAGATTAGTGGTTGTTGAAAGTCATACAGGAAAATATATAGTCAGAACAAAGTTTACAACTAACCAGATTGCCATTGGCATCAATTACTCGCATTCTCTCATCAACAGGAACAAAGCCCCTTTGTGTTACTACATTAATCTGAAAAAAAGGAATATGTAAGTTTAAATCGATTTCATCTCAGTGGACAATTCCATATAATCCTACTACAGTATTCATCAAGAATACATACATTGTCCAAGCCAAGACCATTAGTGAATGGAGCCCTTCCAGTTGCAATTAAGGCTGCATCTACCTGGAGCAAAAGAAAAACAAAAATACAAAAGAAAGTTACTTTAACAGATACCATTGACCAGGACCAAGCAGAGCTGCAACTTACAAACAGGGAAGTATATAGAAGAGAAGAAAGGATCTAGATTTATCATTAGGAAAAGCGTCATAAGGCAGCAATTTTAGTACATGATGACATTGTCAATAACTACTAAAACAGAATAGGCAGATTCCGAGAATTTCCATAAAAAATAACATAATGCACATACCTCCAAGGTGTCTTTGGGTTCCTTAGTCTTGGCATCAGTAAGCTCAATAATTACTGGTTTCCCATCTCTCGCAGGTGTGATCTATAAACAACACCAAGGAAACTCAATAACCATTTATCGAACAGTATCCAGAATCAGAGATCTAAACAAAAGAGATTACCTTGGTTGCAAACACTCCGGTATGATAGTCAATTTTCCTAGGGTTGATCAGCACCCTTTGGGCCAACTTCCCAATCTCAGGATCAAACCCAGGCATAAGTTGATCTAGAGCTTCAATAAAAGTGACCTGCATAAACCTTATATAAACTTTGTTGACTTGGAATAAACAATTAAAGACATCTAAATTATGCTATAACTTCCAAATTAGGATAAAACATAAAAAAGGCCAGTAAGTAGTATAATTGGCAGATAGAGAATCCAGTTACTGACTTACATCCTTGTTGCAATTTATTCATGCATGAATGGATGGAAAAGAATATATCTATATTCATATATGGGCATGCTTTCTATGGTCTAAGCTAGTTTGCAGTTATTTTGTCTACAACAGCAGTCACCTAAAGAGCAGATATCCTTCCACCTTTGGAGCTTTAATGACAGCATATATTAATCCTACAGCTGAGAAGCATAATTTCAATATAACCTTGATCTCAAGAACTTATATATTTCAGGTGAAACAGATGAAGTAGGAACTTATAATGTGAAGCATAAGTTAAATTTACAGTCTTTTAATCCTCAAAGCAAGATTCCTACATTCATTTCATAAAAGAAACATAACAGATTAAAAAAAAAAAAGAAAAGAAAGGAACAAGTTGTCACCTCACTGCCAAGTGCAGTGTACACATCACTGAATTCAAGACCAATATAACCACTTCCTACGATGGCAATCCAATCAGGAACATACTCCAATTTCAGGGCATGGTCACTAGTAATAACAGTCTTCCCTGCAGGTTATTACTTAATGATTAGAAAAAATCCTAGAACGATAACAACACAGAAGATTATAGCCAAGTGACACATGCATCCTCTTATAAATGGTAAACTCCAAAAGTTATTCTCTTCAGGCAAATTTCTGTCAGGTTGCTGATTGATAAATTCCAGTTATTCGTTTAATAAAATCTAACCATGTGATAAATTCCATAAAATCTATAGAAAACTTTAAGATTTCCAGTTTTCAAACCACATTTTCTATATGTAGCAGATGCAAATTTTCCATTGGGTTCAACTGTACTTGAATAACTAGGAAATTATTATCCAAGCTTTATATCCACATTTCACTTGGTTGAACTGATGCATATGCCCACACATAACATATGACCATCCATAAATCTGATGCAAGTTGCCCCAGCTGGGGAGAAAAAGGTAAAGAAGGATGATGGCAGCTGATAAAGGGGGTAAGTACCATGGGTAGTAATGCTACAAAATGCCTATGCAGTCCTCAACACCTAGATTACTTTTGATAAAATCTTTAATGAAAGAGTAAGACCACAAAGACAGATTAGACAAAAAGGAAATGAAAATAATTCATACCATCTACTTCAATGCCCTTGGGAACGAAAGGGATGGAACCAGTAGCAATGATTATATCTTTTGCAGTTACAATGTTGTCAGGAAAACCAACCTTCCCATATTTCACCTTTTGAGGACCCTGGATACACATAAAAAAAAGTAAGGATACTTCAGAATTTAGAAAACCACAGAACACGCATTTTGTTACATGATATATATTACACTTACCCAAATAGTACCAAAACCAGTCAATATGTCTACTCCAAGCGCCTTCATTGAGTTAGTCAAATTGCTTCGAATTTTTGAAGCAAGATTATTAGCATGGTCAGCAACTCCTTGTCTGTCATATCCAGCAGCAGAAACCTACCATGTGTAACATGTAGAACAGCACAAAAGGAAATGATCAGGGGGGTACAGACAATGAGAATGGCAGAGTTAACTCAAACAATGAAACATACAGACCACAGTTCATCACATTATAATTTAACAGACTTTATGAACATGCAAGTAGACCTGACAATTTATGTACTCGTGTTGTGTAAAATACTGACAATTAGGGGTGGAGCTAGAGGGATGCACTCTTTCCCTTTGAAATTATTGTTTGGCCCCTCTTTTACCAATTTCCTGCCTTTGCTTTGGTTGATAATTCGTATATTTGTGTTGTATTTTACATAAAAATTGCGTATCAAAATTTGTGTCAACACGAAAACATGAAATATATATTTTTGAGTATTAAACCCATATATGGTTTTTGCTAAAATTTAACCCGTGTCACCTTCGAGTCTTTTTTTCGTATCATTTTCTGTCATGTCTGTATGGTGTTTTATATTACCAGATATACATGCAAGCTTGCAGCTTAGCAGCATAAATACATACTAATGCAAATACTTACTTGTTTGGAACTAACATTGCATGCCCTAGCCTAAGTCTCAAACGACCAACCATAACAAGTGAATCCTATTACCTGCAAACCCAAAGCCTTCATGTGATGCTCACTCTGAAGTTCACGCAGCCTACCACTCACAGCCAAGAGAGCTTTCGAAGGAACACAACCTCTGTTAACACACGTTCCTCCCACTACATCACCTTCGACAATAGCAGTTTTCAAGCCCTGCAAATAGCAAAGCAGAACAAGCAAATTAAAAAACCTATTTCACACATTGATCACAAACCATATTTTACTATATGATAATTACACTAAAAACGAATCCAATTATAAATATTAATTGAATGATAAATCACGAAAAACAATAAATCCACAACCATTGCACCATCGATCTTCTCTTAAAGCGGGTAAAACAAAGATTAATAACTAAAAATCACCGAGGTTTCTTTATATTCTGAAGTTAAAATTAACCGTAAAATAATTACATTTCTTTATAAGTTCCAATAAACAGACGAAAAAAAACCGAGAGAAAGGAAATTAGTAAGTTATAGCTAGAAGTGTAATCGAACCAAATTGAGTTTATACAGTAAAAAGCTGAAACTCTACTCAAAATTTATTTTTCGAAACTCGATTAAAACTTGATCAAGTTTTAATTTTTAAGTTCAATCTCGATTCAAAATAAAAATCGAACTAGTAAATTTGATGGATTAGACTCATTTATACTATATTAAAAAAAAAAAAGAACTCCATTCCTATGCTGGACTTCCACCTTTATTATTTGTATTGGAACTTAAACGCAAACTCAAATTCATCGATATATATATAATTTTTTATTAAAATATAAAAGTTTGATTAAGCGGCAAGCTAGTCCAAATGGGTATTATAATACAATTTGAACTCGAAAATGATCTAGTTAAATTCGAGTATTATTTAGTTTTATCCAAATCGTTGTATCATTTACACTCGTAGATTTAGCTAAAAAAAAATAAAGCTAAATGAAAGTACTTTCTCGACAGCGTGCAACGCAGCTCCGTGGCCACCGACGCCAGCGCCGATGATAATCAAATCATAATCGAACGATTTTGGAGGAGTTCCGTTGGTTCCGGTAGAAGCGGAGATTTTCTTGGAATGTCCACGACTCGAGAAGCGAACTCGGCTAGAACACGACTGAGTCAAATAGGAGAACCCGAAGGCTTCCCTTCTGAGTCCACAGAAGCGGAGATTGATAGGCTTGGAGAGAGCGAAGGCAGGAGAATGAGAATCGAAGGCGTAATTTGATCTAGGAACTGTCGTAGCTTGAGAGAAAGATAAAGTGGAATGCATTTTCTCTGTTTGGCAAAGAAGGAAATGGGAGAGAAATAGAGAGAAAGAGGGTGAGTGGTTTTTTGTTTGTGTGAGAGAAAGGACAGAGACGAGATTGAGAGGAAAAAAAGGCGTGCTTTGCTTTGATAAGTCCGTTGGGAGATGAATGAGGGAGGGGTTAGCAAGAGGCGGAGTTATCAAAGTCAGGACCGATAAACCACCTTTTTTTTTTTCTGTCGATTTTTTAATTCTGGTTTTGTTAGTTGTCCTAATTTTTCTCTGCCTTCCTTCGCCTTGCTCTTTTATATAGATTAATTAATATAAAAAATATATAACAATATGCTATAAATATGATATAAATTAAAAAATATATTTTATATTTCTATATTCATATAAATTATTATATATAAGTTTAGTATAAAATATAATATAAATATATAAATTTTAATATTTATTATAATATAAATATACGAATAATTAAATTATACTTTTTTATATAAAAAATTAAATTATAAGACACTTACGAAAATATATTGGTACTAACTGAAATTATAAAAGTTCAAGAATTCACCTCGTCAACATATTTTAATTTGTTTAAAATGGAATGATCAACATGCCACAAAGTTAAGAATAAAATGTAAATTGGTAGTATGATAAAGATGTTAATTTTTTTTTAATCAATAAAATCCCTAAAAAAAACTACTTTGTTCTAACTTCAAATAATTGCCATAAAATCTCAATTAATCTAATAAATCATCGATTACTATTTGAAGCACGAGTTAATTTATGATTTTCAACTTAACAATTACATGATTTATTAATAAAATAATTTAAATGATCCAAAATTGGTGTTTAATAAATTCAAATATAAAAAAAATGCTTTCCAACTAAACTATAATTATTTCAAATATCATCAAAGTAATAATCATCATCACTTGTAAATATAGCATTAACTAATTAATATGTAACTATTATACTAAGTGTTCCAAAACATCATAATCTCAACTATTATTTGTTGTGCTTCAGTAACAAACTTTGAATTTTCAGTTTGAAGCATGAAAATTTTATATTTAATCTTTGAGAGGTTAAATTATATTTTTTTTTACCTGTCTAAATGTATCTGTAATTAAAATTTATGTAAATCTAACAAAAATTACCCTGCCTTAAAAAAAAAATTTATCTGACTAATGAGATATTGTCTCAATAATAAAGAAAAGACTTGAAAATTTTTAAATTCCATATTCATGTCCCACCATACAAATTTATATCTATAGATGTAATTTCATAAAACAAAGAAAAAAATACAAGTAGTCTTAAAATAAGAAAATAATCATCATGTTAATAAACAATGCACCAATTGAGAAAAAGGATAAATTATAGAAAAATTGGTCATTATTACATCATTAAATTTCATTCTCTTTTGAAAAAATAAAAATTAAAAGAGCCTGATAATGGTTACTATTTGCAAAGCCTAAAATAAAAAATAAATCCCTAACTAAAACTCCCATCTTTTTATTGCATTTAAATAAATTATTGAATTGTTTTTTTCATTATCCAACCCCTCTATTACTTCCTCTATCCCATTTTCTTTATCTATATTTGTTTTTTAGGAGGTCCTAAAATTATATTATTTTTTCTTTTTTGAACATTTAAAATTTTAATCTTTTACATTGTAAAATTATTTTTTATGATTTTTTCTTTTTTTACTTTTGGACATTAAAAGTTATGGAACTTTAATTTTATAAAAACAAATTTATTTTTAATATTAAATACATTAAAATCATAATTTTTTTCTTAAAATTTGTAAAAATTAATACCGTCCAAACAATTTGAGACAGGAAGAGTATTAAAATTTGACGCATTAAACTATATTCCTAATTAAATCAATGAAAAATAAATACAAAAAAATTGTTCAATCAAAGCCCTTTTTAAACAAAAATGCAGCTTATCAATTGTTCAAATAAAGCCTCTAGGAACACAACAATTGTTCTAAAAAATGCCATAAGTCAAAATATTAAAATATGTTTCAATGTTCAAGTTCCATAATTTGAAAGTCCAGTCTCTTCCTTGTGTTCCCACAAAGGGAACAATTGCATTTTTATTTCCTTATTGGACGCCATTGCCTCTCTTTGTTCTCGTAGTATTCTCAATGAGGTTTACATTAGATCTAATAATTTAAAATATAATACAGTAATGAGACACAAATATGATACGAAAATATGATACAAATGTGATATTGTTTAAAACTTTAATAATAATTATATATAAATTTAACAATAACTATATAAAATTTAACAAAATAAAAAATATATTTTATATTTTCAATTGACTTATAATACATAATTTTCGTATAAAATATGATACGAATATATGAATTTCAATATTTTATATGATACAAATACACTAATCATTAGATTTAATTTAGATATCATAAAAATGACATATATAAATAAAGCAAATTAGAAAATATAATTGACTTAAAAAAAATAGAGGAAAAAACTACACTATGTACTTCTCATTCAACACACCACCAAGAAAATGCAAGAAACAACATGAATAAACACATGGCAACTATCAATGAATTTGCTTTCTACACTATGTACTTCTCATTCAACACAGCACCAAGAAAATGCAAGAAACAACATGAATAAACACATGGCAACTAGCAATGAATTTGCTTTTTCTTTGTTGACTAATTACATTGAAAATTACTTTTTCTTTGTTGACTAAAACTTTATTAAAGAGAAATTGAAAAAAAAATCGAGTCACTGTAAAAAAATCATGTGCTTATAAACTTATTTTTTTTATATGTCTTAAAATTTATCAACATGTTATTAAGTTAATGGGGTTTGAATAATGAAAAATAGTAATAAAAGGACAGGAGCTTAATTAGATGTTGTGGAAAACTTTAGGGGCTTATTTCATATTTTAGCAATTTGCAGGAGCTTTACTTAATTAAAGCAAACCCACGCGAGCCAAAAAATTTAATTGCAAACAATCATGAGAATATGATGATGATTTGTCATTTGTCCCGCCCATCCTAACTCCCTCCCTACTGTACCATTAATCCATTTCTGTACAATACACGAGTCCAATGAAAGGCGACAAAGCATTTCCGAAACTCCAAAGATCCTCCTTCATTCCTGTCTACCAGAGTAACCGTACTTAAACTCCACCAATCACACAGATCCACCTGGCAAGTCTGATTGAAGCAGCACGTTACTGCAATTACCGACCAGATGTTGTGCATCTTTTGTGCTCAGATACTACGTGTCAAATCAGGATTGGGTACGGAAAAAAATTGTTAAGGGAATCTGGGGCGTTTTTGATTGGATGGCGGAAAGAAAGCGCGTGGTCATGAGAAGAGACTCGATGCTGAAATGGCGAAACCGTAATTAAAAAGAACATCAAGCCCATTAATAAAATTGCTTTTCCTTCTTGCATTTATTGTAGTAATTTATTATTTTTAATTGTTTTTTATCAAAATTTTTTTCCTTTCTTTCACTTATCGAAGGTCGAGGGAGGGACGGGCGCTTGCGCAGAAAATAGAAAAAATAAAAGGAAAGAGAGACAGCGAGAGAGAGAGAGGAAAAGAAAAGACAGAGAAACACGAAGGTTTATTCTGCTTTGCTAATGGCGGTTAGGGTTTTCTATTGATCCCCTCTTAAAGGGTCCTTAATCTCTCCCGCCTAATATCTCAAGAGCCCGCGCTTTCTCTCTCTTCTCGTTTCCCAAAAACCCTAATTCGAGGTTCCCCAATCTCTCAATTTAACTTCGGGTTTCGATTCCTCGTGGTTATTTGGGATTCGAAAATTTTGAAATAGGAGAGCGAGAAGCTGCGATGGGCGCTCACGAGAAGTCTCAAGGCAACGCCAATTCGATGCAGGTAAGTTCATCTCTTGCTGTTTTATAGAAGCCTCGTTGGGCCCTAGAAACTATCTTATTTTTGTTAAGTTCACTTCTAGGATGAGTTAGGTATTAATTTTGATTTTATTTATTTTTTTATTTATTGTTGAGTGATGGAAATTTACATAGTAAGTAAAGTTCTTATCTTTCGATTATTTTAAATTCATTTTTGGCTTTGTAGGTAAAGGTGCGATTCTTCTTTTCCCTTTTCCATATTGTTATTAGTTATTGTAAGTTCTTGTTTAGTTATGATTCGTTCTGAGTATGAGTACTGTAGTTGATGTCAAAAGAAACATACGACTAGACTGTATGAACTGTTAAGTTTTGACTGAGTAGTTATTCATTACATCTGATATCATGCTTATTTTGTTTAAGGTACTAGTTAACTGGGATTCTAGCCTGTTTTGCAATATTAGTACATTGTAGATTAGATAGTTCTTTTTTTGTTTGGGAAAATATTTCCTCTGTGGAATAGACTAAATTTAGTGTCGGATTTGAATATTCTGTTATTTTGAAATGTCATAGATCGTAAATTTAATAAGCCCACATTGATTTTCTGGCATATGGTGCTCAAATGACTACAATGCATGCTCATGAACCCTATTTAAGTAATTATTTTCAAGCATTCATCATTAGTAACTTGCAATTTATATTCTTAAGTTTATCTTTTCATTGTTCTTCAAATATCTTTTCTTTATGTGCCATGTACATTTTTCCCAAACAGGCCTTGGAAGTATGATGTTGCTAGCATTTACTAGAAATTTCTGAATTATGGTAAGCATGTTGTTCCGTGGGTGACATCAAATCTAGGATGCAAAAACAGTAGCATCATGGATAGAAACATCTTGTGTTTGGGAAAGGATAGTTAAATGTGATGATAAGATATCAGCAGGTTATGGATCTAGATTGAAATCTAATTATCTGGGAAATTTGAGTAAGCTTGTATTTACTTGTTCATCTTACCTGCTGATTATTCAATTACCATGAAGGAGGGGGGTCATAAAAGTTTTTCTTGTTGTCAGTTGGATGGCCCAAATAGCGCTTGAAGTCTAACTCAGTGTTAGTGGGACTACGCAATGATATCATTGTCTAGTGCACCAAACTTACACCATTTCAGTCTGTGTTGAATTCTGCATGAGTTTTGGGAATGCTATTTAAATCTTCTCTCCTCTATTTTTGGTCAAATAATTGCTTGTTATGAGTAGGATGGCCCACATAGCAGCTCGAGGTCTAACTTCATGTTGATGGGACCATGCATTATTATAATGATATAATCATTAGTGCACCAGACTAACATAATTTTCAGTCTATGTTGTCTATTTCTGTGAATTTTGCATGCATTTTTTGAAATGCTATTTAACTCTTCTCTCCTTTTTAAATTCAGCGAGTAAAGGTCTATCGTTTGAATGAGGATGGTAAATGGGATGATCAAGGAACTGGGCATGTCGCTGTTGATTATTTGGAGGCCTGTTCAAATCTTTTTTCTGATTCTATTTTTGAATTTTTTCAGTTTGATATACTGGAATTTTTTAAAATAAATTATTTAGATGGAAATGTGTTCTTCCTTTTAAATGAATGCATATGTTATAATTCAGAGATCAGAAGAGATGGCTTTGTTTGTTTTTGATGAAGAAGACAATGAGACATTGCTTTTACACCGCATCAGCCCCGATGACATTTACAGAAAGCAAGAAGGTATTCTTCTGCCTTTAATAATAGCAAATATGATTTTTTTAACTGGATGTTTGTTGTTTGTGAAAATATTAGTTTGATTGAATGATATTTTCATTTATCTTTAGATACAATCATATCCTGGAGAGACTCGGAGTATTCTACAGAATTAGCACTTAGTTTTCAAGAGAACACAGGATGCTCTTACATATGGTAAGTAATGTTTATAAATTGTTTCATGTTTTTTTGGTTATTCCTTGTTGAATGTTTTCAATCTCAATTTCTATATTCCCTTTTCTCACTGTTCCTTATGTTGGAAGTTTATGACCTCAACCTTTCTATTTCCTTTTCTGCCCCCTCCATTTATCCTTCTTCTCTATTGCAGGGACAACATCTGTAATGTTCAAAGAAGTATGCATTTCAGTTCTCTTAACAGTAAGTGTTTTTGAAATCCTTTTGAAGTTATAAATTCTTACCCCTCAAGTTAATCAAACATCGGATCCTTGTAGATGGTTATCTCTCTTGGTTACCCTTGTCCTAACAAAGACTAGAGTTCCAGAAAACTTGAAATTTGTAAAAGTTGGTTAATCAAATAATACATTTGTCTTCTGCCTTAGAGGTAGGAAGATCTTAATTAAATGGGCTTTGTTTGTTGAGGTTCTATCATCTTCCACCTTGATGCACAAAAGATTATTTTCTTCAGACATGCGTGCAATGTATTTATATTAGACTTTGTATCATATTTAGCATTGTGCAATTTTGAAATACCATCATGAATAACAACTGTCTCATACATTATTACTGCAGATGAGACATTTCACACAATGAATAGTGAGTTAAGGGAGCTGCCAGCTGTGGAGCTTTCCACTCTCCCCATAATCCTTAAGGTTCTACTGAATGATTCAATCCTGTTGATTGCATTCTATTTAGATATATTTTTGTTGCTTTCGAAAACATTTGTTATGTTTACTCATAATGCTCTTCTTCCTCATTTATTCCTTTTTTTGTTTTATGAAGTTAATGGTTTTTTATGCCTCTCATGTCTCTTGAACATTTGTATTTGAGCTTATATTATAATTACTTGCAATATAGAGTAAGTAGACTATTTTCTTCTCCTTCTGGGTAATGTCTTTTAGAATCCTTAAATTTTCTGTGCACCCTGATTTTGCTTGGAAAGCTTCTTCAAATTTAGTCTGCACAGGCATGCCTGTTTATATAATTGTTGATTAAGTTGATCAATTTTGTTCTGTAGACTGTGACCGAGAGTGGCCTTGCTGATCAGATGCGGCTGACAGAACTTATATTAAATGATGTATGCTTCTTTTAAAACTCTGCTCAAGTGTACATTTTCTTTTTGTTAATTTCTTCTATATGCAGATGTTGTGTAATTTAGTATAGTGTAATTAACTGCCACACATTTATCTATTGTTAATCTTGATGTTTCTGTCATATTAAGTTATCAGTTGTGGCTGTGTTATGAACTGAATGATTTGGTATTCCTCTAGTTTCTTGACTTTCTAAGATTGTGTAATCTCAGTGATCTTCTATGTTATATGGAGAGAGATTAAAACATCTTTCTCCTTCATGTAACTATGAACTTCATTCTTGGTTCTGTTTATATTTTCCCTATGGATGTTGTGTCTCTATCGTTTGATTTCCTGGTTTTTATTGTTTCAGTTTCAACTTTATAGTCTAATATCCTTGTCTTGACTTTCCATATATGTTAGTTTCTAAATATTTTAGACCTTCTGAATTGAGTTTGATTTTAATGCAGCAAGATTTCTTCCAGAAGCTTATGGAGCTATTCAGAATCTGTGAAGACTTGGAAAATATAGATGGTCTTCACATGATATTTAAAATAATCAAGGGGATAAGTTAATTCTCTTTCTCACTTGATTGCTCTTATTTCTTAGTTAAGACATGCTTGTATTTCATAGGTGATTCATGGATCTGTGGCTTTTGTTATTGGTTGTTTTACAGTTTTGCTCAACAGTCCTCAAATTTTTGAGAAAATTTTTGGGGATGAATTAATCATGGATATCATTGGTTCCCTTGAATGTAAGTCCTACCACTGTTTGTTATCAGATTTATTATCTGTGACTATTGCTGGATTGACTTGAATGCTTAGTTTGCAAATTTACTTATATAACTTCTAAACTGGGACCTATTAATCCAAAACTTGAGTCTTAGCTTCTGCATGATAACTTCATATTTTAAAAGTTGCACAGAATTGCCATGATACTCTTAACTTTTATTGCAAGTAGTTATGATGTGTAATTTTATGTCATTATTGAAGAATAAATGTCTGTTTTTGCAAGTGATTGGTTATACGAGAAGCAATTCTTTACATGAAATTTTTAGGTGAAACAATTATCTTGCATTGTTCATTGGGTTGAAGTTGTTTGATGCTTGTTCTAGTTTCCTGTTTTTTTTCTTTACAATTGATTATTTTTCTGAGCAACATGTTGGGTTGCCATTTAGTATCAGATGCGCTTTACTCTATTCAATTCTGGATTTTCTACTTATTCCTCGTATGATATTCCTGTATGCATACCCCATAATAGACTATTTGCTTGATAGTTTATATCATGTTTTGTTAAAGACAGTTTCTTCTTCTTTGGTTTGCAGATGATCCCGATGTTTCTCAGGTGCAACACTATCGGAATTTTCTGAAAGAACATATTGTTTTTAAGGAGGTAATTTTTTCTTAAATGGGTCATACTTCTTAGAATGGTGGTGTAGACTGGGGAGTAGAGGGAGTTTAGATCAGGATAAAGAAAATCAAGGTGCTTAACCTGTAAAAAAGAATTAATTTCCTATTTTTTGTTTTTTACAGGCCATTGTGATTAAAAACCCGATGGTCCTGTCAAAGATACACCAGACTTACCGAGTTGGTTATTTGAAGGTATGCATCTTAAAAGCTTGACTAATTAGTTCTACTCATGTCTTTAGTTGTGTAATTTTTGCTTTTGATTGCTTTTTTCAGGATGTTGTTTTGTCAAGGGTGTTGGATGAGGCCACAGTTGCCAGTCTCAATTCTATAATTCATTCAAATAATGCTACTGTAAGATTTTTAGTGTTTGTTGTTAATATATTTGGCTTTTTGTTTGTTTTGCACTAACTGCGGTCTCATGTTGTAGGTTATTTCTTTGTTGAAGGATGACAGCACCTTTATTCAGGAATTGTTTGCAAGTTTGAGATCACCCACCACATCTTCTGAATCAAAGAAAAATCTGGTAATTGTTGACATTAAAGTGAAGTTTTACTGAGTTATTTTTCATTTGGTTATGAATGCTTTTTCCTTTACTGTGAAGCTAAACGTTGTGAGCAGCAGATCTTTGGAGATAGATCAAACTTTGTTGACTTTGAGTTCTCTTAGCCTTCCTTTGCTTGTAATTTGTCTAAGTTGATTGATTTTTGTATTTTCTTCTTTCCTGGGTTTGTGTTCATTCTGAATGCCTTTGTTGTGTCCCGTGTCTTTCTGGAATATTTGTTATCTGTAGCTCTTTACATGGGTTTAAGCTCTATGGTTTATTCCATTTTACTTATGTCTGCATTAATCCTGTCAGCTTATTTTTTCAATAGGTATATTTCTTGCACGAATTTTGTAGTTTAAGCAAGAGCCTGCAGATGGTGCAGCAGCTTCGACTATTTAGGTATGCTTTTCTACAAGTTAGACAGCTGGTATTGAAATTGTTTTCATGTTGCTATATTGGTACTAAAAGCTTCCGCTTCTCCAGAATTATCTTTTAAACAATTAAATTTTTTATATCTTATGGCTGAAGTGCCCATTTTGTCAATCATTTTAGGGATCTTATGAATGAAGGTATCTTTGACATTATCACTGATGCTCTGCAGAGTCAAGATAAAAAGCTTGTACTAACTGGGTAATGGCGGCATTTTTAGTGCATCTCTTTAATATATTTCTTTCCTTCTTGCTTTGTGTGTAAACTTTTAGTTTCCTAATTATCAAGTCCTAACAGTAGGTCTATATAATGGATGCAGGACAGACATCCTCATAATGTTCTTGAATCAGGACCCAAACCTTCTGCGCCCTTATGTTGTTCGCCAGGAAGGAATTCCACTTTTAGGACTTTTGGTACGTGTTTTATACGAGTTTGTTGGTGATATGGTGTATACATTGTGTGGAAACACAAGAATTAGGTGAACTTAAGAGATCTGCCTCACTGTGTTTTTTATGTTTGTATATATATGGAGATAGAATCAGAAGAACTGATATAGTTGTTTACTCAGGTTAAAGGGATGATAACAGATTTTGGGGAGGAAATGCACTGCCAGTTTCTTGAAATTCTTCGTAGTTTACTGGATTCATTCACATTGTCAGGAGCTCAGGTGCCTACCTTGATACTTTATTTCTAAGTGCAAGTGTTATATTTTGGTAGATGGGAAATTGTATAGACTCACAATTAACCTAAATTCCAAAATAATCGGGTTAGAGTTACATGAATGCTTTTCTTCTATTCTTCATAGTTTAAGGTGACATGACTTTCGGGTCTAGCTTGACCGCTTTTCCAACCTTTACTCGTCTTACGTTGCTTTACTGCAAGAGGATGTGGTGCCGTTCTTTATTGCACTTCTTAGTTCTTAGAGAAGCACAAACTTGTATCAAATTAGATTCCAGGCTGGTTGCAAGATGCGAAACTTGCAAACAAGTGGCAATTGGCTCCTCATGCTTAGAGTTATAGAGTTATTGAATAAGCTGAATATTGATAAAAATTGGCTTGTGTCTAAGCTTCCCTTTATGTCTATCTAGCCCAATCAAACATCAGCAGGCTTATGTTTGGTCCTCTGTGTTCTACAGATCACTCAGAGGTTGTTACTATGTAACTTACTGAGTGATCATAGTAGACGAAAGTTTATCACGTGATTTTCATATCTCATATTTGTGTTATTTTTACATTTAGAGTCCACAACATTTTTGAGTTTATTTATGCAGGTGTCAATGTTTTGGATGTTGATTTGTGTTTTATTATATGTATCTGCTGATTGTTGGAAAATTTTGTCACTTGTACTCTCATGTAAGATTTAATTTCTTTTTTTCCATGCTGGTTTGATTGCTAGTATGTTTAATTTTCTAATTCCAATTCTTTCATATAAGCGCTTGACCTTATGTTGTTTTTGCTGCAGAGAGATACAATTATTGATATTTTTTATGAGAAGCATTTGGGCCAGCTAATTGATGTCATAATATCATCATGTCCCTCTGATGAGGCTGGCCTGTCAACCAGTAAATTGGCAAGCAATGCTGGAAGAGTTGAAAGTCAAAATAGCACAAAGCCTGAAATTCTATCAAACATATGTGAATTGCTGTGTTTTTGTGTTGTTCACCATCCTTATAGAATAAAGTAATCTTTTGGATACCTCTTGTGTATTCATCTAGAAAATTTTGGCTTATTAATCTAAGATTTTAATTGGATTTTCTTAATTGTTTGCAGGTGTAATTTTCTCCTTAACAATGTCATAGACAAAGTTTTGTTACTTACAAGAAGAAGGGAAAAATACCTAGTAGTTGCTGCTGTTCGATTTGTTCGCGCTATTCTCTCTCGTCATGTTAGTGAATTCAGTTTAAGCTTTAGAATAAATTCATATGCCTTCAGCATTGAATAGTTCACACTTACCCTTAATGCTATTTTAGAATCAGAAATTACGATGAAGATATAAATGAAATTGGAGGTGGAATGATATCTGATTTGCTTTTGAATTTTTTTTTTATGAAATTTGCTTTTGACTGTTGGTTGTTGCATATGGAGGACATGGGAACTAGTTTCTCAGTTTGAATATCCAGATATGTACATGCTTATCTTTTGATATATGGAGAGTACTGATATGTTGCTCTGACTATTCATTTTTCTTCAAGTATCCAATTTGGACACTTATTTGACTCCTTTATCAAAGTGGACATGGGCTTGGGGCCTAGAAACTCCAGATATAATGGGCGCATACCATGTCTGACACTTACTTTCAAACCTGAGCAACGATAGGTACCGGGAATAACATATAATATGGTTTGCTGATTGTTGGTAGAGATCTACTGCCACTGGTGTTTCTACCGTCGTCATTTCAGATGGTTCACTTGTTAAGTATTGAGTTATTATGTTTGTTTGCATAATTGCTACCCAACTGTGAAGGGTATAAAATTATACAGGGACAGGGTAGACATATTTTCTCTCTCCTTTTTAAACTTTCTTTTCCACTCACTGGGCCTGCTGTGCCTGTGATTTTTTGTATTGTTTTTATTTTTTTTTCATTTTGTGCGCTTGCAAGTTGCAATTTCTAGGAGTATGGTGTTCTCATATTTATAATGTTATTCTTCTTTTTATTCTTTCAACTTCTTGCAAATTAGCAATTTTCTGGCTGGTAAATATATTTGACAGTTGATTAAGGCTGTTACATGTTTTAACTAGTTAAATTTAATCTGTAATCTTTTAGGATGAACATCTGATAAGTCATTTTGTTAAGAACGACCTTCTCAAACCAGTTGTAGATGCTTTTGTTGCTAATGGAAATCGTTACAATCTGCTGAACTCTGCAGTCTTGGAACTTTTTGAGTATATCCGCAAGGTGGAGTATTTCTTGTGCTCTAAATTACGATATTAGACATATCTGGAAGATTCTATCTGCTAATACCCTTGTTTCATGCAGGAAAACCTGAAATTATTGGTTAAATATATAGTTGATTCATTTTGGAGCCAGTTAGTTAAGTTTGAGTATTTGACTTCTGTTCACTCTTTGAAAGTTAAATATGAGCAGGTATTCCAGTTCCTGACCAATTTTACAACTGATACTTTTAGATCCAGAACTTCTTTGATATGACTTCTCTATTTGCAGTGCTTGGAAAATTGTGGAACGAAAACGAATCTTAATGCTTTGGACCCACGAAAACGAATTGATGAGCGTGCTCTGGAGAAAGAGGAGGAAGACTATTTCAACGAGGACAGGTATGCTTTCATCAACAGATGAGTTACACTTTTCCTCTAAGCCATTTGCTCTATGGTGATTGAATATGGATCCATAAGCAGTGATGAAGACGATACAGCATCTGCATCTCATACTCAGAAAGTACAATCTCAGCCTGTTTTATCCAATGGAGTTGCTACGAGTTTCCCTTCATTAAGGTATTTTAGTGGCCTCATCCTAGATGATTGATTACTGACAATGCTTTACGGTGTGTTTGGGTTCATAATTTATATAATTCATTTAATTTTGTAGCCCAAGATCTGGCGGACTCGTTGACTATGATGATGATGATGAGGATGAAGACTACAGACCGCCTCCCAAGAAGCAGACTGAAACCTCCGAGGAGGATGAAGGAACCATGGAGTCCCTTAGGTTCAAGCGTAAGTTGACTCCTAAGGAAAAGGAGCATGAGCTAGCTAAGAAGCAGCGTTTGGGTAAAAGCTCTTCTAAATCAAGAGATAGTGTATTTGCGGCTTTGTGTTCAACCCTAAGCCAGGCAGTGCTGCCTAGTAAGAAAACTACAAACGCCATCCCTTTATCTACTCGATCAGCTGAGGGGAACAAAGGTTTGGGTGAGGAAAATCATAAAGAGAACGAATCTGGCAGTCCCAGAAGTTCTGATAACAGCAGTTCAGTAGAGGACAATCATATAGAGAAGGAACCTTCTGGAAACTGTTCAGATTGCTTGCACGATAGCCCTTCAGACAATAGACAGTTAAGTGGAGAGGACTGTCCGTTGATACCTCCAAAATCCTCACCTGAAATGGCTGTAAATGGATCTTAAGTGGCAACTTGTTTTCCTGTTTGTTTTCTTCGACTCAAGGATGTGCTCGGTGACTAAACACTCTTGGGTTACCAAAGAAAAATGTGGAGAAATTCAGAAAGTGGATGATCAGGAAATTCTGAATTGTTTATCGGAAGGGATGGTTGTGTATAGGACAACAAAGGGCTGGAAGAAATGTACTCAATTATGCAGTCCAATCAGTCTACCGAGGCCTTTCTGATGCTTTGAGCTGCGCCAACTGTTGCTTCTGTAAAACATTACCTTTTTGACTAATTTTTTACCCACTGTTTGTCTGTTCTTTTTAATTTTTCCGTAATCTATTCTTGTCTTATTCAGCTTTGTGAACCGAGAATGGGCAGTAATATTTGCCCTGCATAGTAATAGTGTCCTTTTGCTGTTCAGTTTTGTGGTGGTTGTGGCTGTTACAGAGAGAGAGAGAGAGAGAGAGAGAGAGAGAGAGAGGGTTTAGGATGATGGTTAGAAGGCCAAATTTTCTTAATTGTAGCTCAAACCTCATTTATGGACCCACTTGTAAATTAGAACTTGAAATTAGGCAACTTCACTTTTGAAGGGGTTTTCTTCATTAAGTCAGCAAAACCCAAAATTTATTCCAAATTTCATGGCTATATTCGCAATTTTCAACTTCCTTTTACTTTGTTCTTGCTGTGTAATTCCTCTTTTATCTTCTTTCTCTTCCTTGCTTTCTTCAATCTTCCTTTGGGAAGATAATTAATGGATTGGGCCTCGACAATACTTAAATATGAATGGGTTCCGATCAAACAAATCAGAGAACATTGGGCTTGGCCACGGCTACCGAGTGGAAAGATACATGGCGAAAATAAAGATCAAGAGAATCGCCACTAAGACCGCAAATCAGGTTCCATGCATGGGACACGTACGTAAGGTCTCAGAAACACGTGTCCTCACTCTTGACTTTCTCCACTTCTCAGTTTTCAACTCCTACTTATAGTTTTTGTCTTCTGATTGATCTGCCATAACTACCATTGTATCTCTGAAGAAGTTGAACTTGAAAACATTTCCAAGCCAAAACGAGCCGCATCGTATCAGAAACCTATAGGTAACAATGAGCAGTGACTTGGAGACGAGGTCTTTGTTGGATGAATGGCGTTGCTTCGACAAGGGAGGCTTCTTCGACCTTGGACACCCTCTCCTCAACCGCATTGCTGAGAGCTTTGTCAAAGCTGGTGGCGTACGTAATCTCTTCTTGACCTCATTCTCTGTCTAGTATTCATTTCTATAATATTTATATATGTCCCTTTTTTTCTTTTTTTTTTGTAGATTGGAGCAATTCAGGCTGCTGCGAGGGAGGCTTGTTTAATAGCTATTGAAGGTATGCACTTTCTTTTAAAGTTCATATTTATCGTTTTTTGTTGTTGTTGTTGTTGTCTAGTTTCATTTTCAAGTGTGATTTATAGGGTGACCGATATTGGGATGTGGGGTCGTTGTTTTGTTGCAGGATCTGAATCAAGTAATTCGCCTGATATCACAACTACCAAGAACAAGAAGCAGCGCTTCCCTGACCTCAGAGGTATGTATCAATGCCTGCTGATCCTTAATAATCTTTTTCTTTCATGGTGACACGTGTTTCTAGTCTGACACAAACTTCACTGTCTCATGCAAAACTTCTATGTATACCAGTGGCTGATACTTGCAAGATCCCATGGCCACCCGGTAGGCTAAAATTTGTTGACACTGAATCTGAAAAAGTTGCTTTTACTTTTTGGTTTCTAGATCTTCATACAAATTTCTGATGCTTGAGCCTTAAAATACTAGTAGAACTGCTAAGCTTATTAGGATTCATTCGCCCCTAGAGCCCTACCGTGGACGAAAGACATAGCCATCCAAGGGAAAACAACCATGTCGTAAGCCCAAGTCAAATCGTCTCTTCGAATTCTCTTTGCCGTTTCATCTGAATCCCTACCAAAAGTTTCATCCGCTATTTGGTTTATGAGAATTTACTCAATGCAAAGTTTAACTTCTCTTACTTGTTGGGAGATTGGGAGTTTCATATATTATTCCTTTGCTAAGTTGGCAAATCAAGCGAAAGTTGAAATTGCTTTATCATGTTGTTTGCAGGAGAAACCAATCGAAAATCTCTTGAAGCAATGGTGAGTCCTTTCCCAACTATAAACTTTTAAAGTGGGACTTGAAGGTTATGATCACATTCTACACTGATTAAAATGAGCCAGTCGTGATACCTTTTGCACTTAAGTAACCAAAATTGATATTGTAAAAGCCTGTAAATTTTTTTAGTAAGGGTTTTCATATGCTGTATGCCCGAAGACAAGGCTTTTTGGAGTCATCAATTTAGGTGTATGCTAATGCCAGGTGCCTGCAATTGCCTGATTTTATTCTACTAATGATTCCATTTTTTGAGCTTGCAGCATCTCAATCATGGGCTTATTGTAGCAATAGAAACACAATTTGTTTTTGTTTTTTTTCCCAACTTACATTTTGCAATGTTTTACAGGTGAAGAGCACTGGAAAAGAATCTGTACAATGGGGTAAGTAGAGTGCTTGGACCCGATTTAGTTTCTCTTGAATGAATAGTCAAAATTGAAATCGAAGTACAAATGGTTGATCTGCACTGGTTCATTGACTTATCAAAGAGTATTGATCATGGTCCATGAATTGAATTGAATTGTACACTGCAGGGCTGGCTGCAGGATTATACTCAGGTCTTACATATGGGCTAAAAGAGGCTCGTGGAGCTCATGATTGGGTAAGATGAACAACTTATCTGTCTTTTAGTTTCATGGGGTAAAGAAGTACTTCAATCTCCACTTAATCATGGAATCATGAGTGGCATCTGATGAAAAACGTGATGATTGTTGGCCTGATATTGTGCAGAAAAACAGTGCGGTGGCCGGGGCAATTACAGGAATGGCGTTAGCACTCACATGTGAGGAAACTTCCCACGAGCAGGTTGTGCAATGTGCCATTACCGGAGCTGCTCTTTCCACTGCTGCAAATCTTCTGACAGGAATATTCTGAAGTTGTTAAGACAGAACTGGAGTTATGCTGCTTCAGTATATGAAGTTCCCTTTCTGCCTAAGACCGATTTGTAGCATGTTGGTACTTCAATTACAAGAATCTTCTTTTCTATGATGTCTCTTTCATAAGATAAGTACAAAGGATTTGGCCATAGCAGCAGCTTTATTTTGAAGGTGGAGGCATTTTATTTTATTTCTAATTTTCCATTTAATAATTGTATGGGGAAGCAGCTAATTTCAATGGCAACAAAAAAAAAAAAAAGTGTGTTTGATGTGAAATTCAGTTTCTTTAATCTTCAACTTAACTAAAAGCCAATGGATTTGTAAAATGTGGTTCATTTCAAAATCATAGTTGGAATATAGACACTTTGGACTGTTAATAAAAAAAAAAGAAAAAAGGAAGGCTCGGTGTGCAACTCGTTTATTTTTTGCAGAGATTATTTTCATGACTCGAATATCACCAGTTTCATTTAAAAAAAATATTTTTGAAAAAAATTTGAGAATTCAAAAGTTAATGGTAAATTTTTTCATGGATTTATCAAGAATTTTTTAAATCTTTGTTTAATACAAACAATATATACTGTAAAAAATGTATAGTTACAGTTATTCTCCATAAGGAGAATTTACAAAATGCTAATACAAACAATGTTTCTCAATGTCAAATAAATCACTAATATGAAATTTGCTGAAGTCAAATTTTTTAAAAATAAGAAATATTATAATTACTTAGATGATGATATAATGATGATATAAGTAACATAAAATTCTTTGATTGAAATTTTTGTTTTATATTGATATATTAAAATTTTAATAATTATTTTTTTACTTTAACAAAATTATATATTCATAAATATAAGCTCTATAAAAATAATAAAAAGAAATATTATAAACTTAATAATTTAAAAATATAATTAAAATAATATTAATTTTATTAAATTTTAATTTACATACTTTTATGATAATAAATATTACATTTATAATATCAACATTTGTTAGTTCAAGTGATTAAGTTCATTTTTTTAAATAAAATTTTGGTTTTAAATTTTGTGAATAAAAAAAAATATATTGAAAGAATTTATTTTCTTACGAGATCCGATTTAATTCGATTTCAAATTAATTAAGACTTAAAATAATTATTGGATACTGAGATTTTAGATAAAAAAATTACATTTGTAATAAATATTTGAAATTTAGATTAAAATTATAAAAATATTGATAATTAAAATCATAACCATAATCAAATATTGTTTAACAAAAAATTAATAATAATACAAATCAACAAATCAATATATAATTTTATAACTTCCCTTTTTTCACGTAGGTTTTATTTACTACTCCATTATTTATCAAAATAAAAATACATAAAAAAAAAAATCCACCGCCTTAATTCGCGGTTTGAATCGAATTACCTTAAAAAATATATCTATAGAGACGAAAAGAGCAAGCCCCGCTCTCATATAAATAAAAAATAATATTACTGTATGTCTTCCTTTTTGCCTTGATCTTCCCCGACGCGAACAAGTCCTGGTACGCACTATTTCTTTTCTCCGCTTTGATTGATTTTTCACATTCCAAACCCTACCCAACCCTAATATATAGGGTTTTCTTTTCCTTGGTGGATTAGGTCCTTTAATTTTCCCAAAAGGAATTTTAAATTTAGGGTTTGATAGGAAGGAAAGCCCAGAATTGATTGAACCTTTTTGTTTCGAAATCCGGGTTTTGCGATTGTCTTCAAATTCGATTTTTTTTCTTTTTTGTTGTTTATGTTTCGTTGTTTTGAAGAAATTTTGCATCTTTACCTACGATTTATTGGTTGTTAATTGGTACTTTGGGGTTTAATAGGAAGAAAAGCCAAGAATTGATTGAACCTTTTTGTTTCGAAATTAGGGTTTTGCGATTGTTTTCAAATTCGAGTTCTTTCCTCTTTTTGTTGTTTATGTTTCGTTGTTTTGAAGAAATTTTGCATCTTTAACTACGATTTCTTGGTTGCTAATTGGTACTTTCTGTAAAATCGCATCTTCTTTTTGACCCAATTATCTTTCCTGATCTTTTAATTTCTTTGTTAAGAGAAATTTTACATTTTTTATTTAAATTCACAGGTAAATATTGCGATTTTATTGTAAAAAATATATTTTTTTTCACATTGCATAGTCCGTTGGTTAATTTATTTGGTACTGTTTGTTTTGGAAGGAAGAAAATTATGTCTTTATCCTATTAGGCAAATGAAATGATGTTATTGAATATTTGAGTGCAGAGTGCTGGAGGATTTGGGTTGAATTGAATCGTTTTGTTTGAGATTGGGTAATCTATATATCTGCATAACCTGGTTTATTTGTTGGCATATAAAAGATGTCGAGTAAGAAAGAAGAGAAAACTCAGGCTGCAGCTGAAAAAATCAAGGCTGCAGCATTGAGTGCAGCGAAAGGTCTCAGTCGTGCACAGGCTGAAAGGGCAGCAGCTGCTGCAGCCCGCAATGTTAATGCTTATGGGCAAAAGGAAGAGGGACCTAGCAGATGGCAGGAGAAAAGGGAAGCAAAGAGGCAGATGTATTTAATGAGTACCGAGAAGGCAGTGAGATTAGGTGAAAGGAAAGATAAGATGACAATGTCTGCAATGGGTGCATCACAGTGCCAAAGGTGTTTTCAGGCAGGGCATTGGACATATGAATGCAAGAATGAACGGGTCTATATGTCACGACCCTCGCGTACTCAGCAGCTTAAGAACCCCAAATTAAGGATGAAGCTTTCAATCTCTTATGATTTGGACAACCCAGATGTCAAAGATGACAAAGATGACAATAGGTCTAAGAAAAGCAAGAGGAAGTATCGGTCAGATTCTGATTCTGGTAGTGACAGTGAGGCTTCTGTTTTTGAGACTGATAGCGGTGCCTCATCTGTTACCGGCTCAGGTTCTTCTTCAGCAGAGAGTAGCACAGATTACAGTTCCTCATCTGAGTCAGAGGAAGAGAGGAGGAGGCGGAGAAGGAAGAAGAAGCAGAAGAAGGGGAGGCGTAGAAGGTACAGTTCATCTTCTGAGTCTTCTGATTCAGACTCAGCTTCAGATTCTGAGGACAGGAGCAGCCGAAGGAAGAGCCGGAGGCACAGCAGAAGGCACTGAAAGAGAAAAAGCGGTATACATATTGCCTGTTTGATGTTTGACTTGCCTGCATTAATTCCAGAGAATTCTACCCTAGTACTTCTTTGTTGTTGTCTTTCCTGTTGTAACTCTGAACTTTATGGTCTTACACATGCTGGAGATCAAGCACTCTGAAATAAGTTAGCTAGATGTTTTCATTCCTTTTCCTTTTTCCTTTGGGAGGTTTTGTTATGACAATTTGACAATAGTTCCCAGTAGTTGTGCATTACCAGACTTGTTTTCGGATTCCTTTTATGAAATGATGATTGTAGCATGAAAATCCTCTTTGTAAGTATTAGACTTCGTCTATGCCAGAAGAATTCTTGTGTTCCTGACTTCTGTGTATCTTGAATCTTGATATATTTGTGGAGGCTCAGTTAAATCTCCTATCGACTTTCTCTGTTGATCTCATCAAAATGCCAAAAAAAAGTATTGAAACCTCTGCGACTTAGGCTTGACTAGTGAGCTTATTCATTGGTCTAAAGCAAGTGTTCTGAGAAACAGACATAGCTAAAAGAACAAGCGAAACAGCTCTCAAAATTCAGAGGAAAGACTGTAGGTAAAGCATCTTTACGACATGAGCGTCTATAAAATTTAGCCCCGAAAGGTTAGGCTTCCTTTCGTGTACATATATTAGTGCACGCATTCTCGCTGTACAGTGTCTTGCATGGTTGGTCTTGGTCGTGTTCAACATATTCTATTCTTCTTTCTTCACGACATTTTAGATGCTACTAACAATTTCAATGTTATCATTGGCAGGTTCATTAACTAAACCAATACATCCTTATGTGATAGGCAATGCTGGATTCAAGTTGAAAAAGATGAATTTAAAAGCTAAATGAACAAAGACTCAAAGACTAGAAGATATACCTCCAAATTTCAACAAGGTTTATTATTGTTTGAACAAGTTGAATAATATTTTTATTTTAATTTCAAAAAAAGGTGATCATGCATCAATCAACTGAATAAAATATTTCCAATTTATGTGTTTTGTCTGATTTAATCCAAACTGTGGACATTGGTGGAGAGATTGAGGTCTAGTCGCTCTCATAACTTGATGCTCACATCTGGTGAATGTAATGTTTGTTTTCACAAACTACTTCCAGCTTTTCTGCAACTTTTTCCCAGTGCTGCTTTGTTAGGTTAAAACTAAGCAAGTAATTTACAGGTTTCTTTTCACAGGTGTGGGCTAGTTTAGGCTCAAGCTGGAGAGAGATTTTTTTTTTTTTAAATTTTGGAGCTGAAGCCGGGCTCTAGTCACGATTTTTTTTCAAACTAGATATCATCTATACCACGTGTCTACATTTGGCAGTGGACCCACCTCTTCAGTTCTTCACAGGAATCGGATCCTAAGAGACTAAGAAAAATTTAAAGTCAATAAACGCAATAGAGTGCGATGGAAAGCAAAATTAGATACTCGAAAGAATAAAAAAATTGTTTTAAGGATCTCATTTGGACAGACGGAAAAGCTCTTGCAAGCCTCTGGGATGGCAGCGGCTGGAGGTTTAGTAGTGGCAGGGCTACTTCTTGTATGCTTTGTAGCTGCTCTGCTATCTTGTTGCAGGAAAACCATGAAAGCTCCTGGAAGGAAACATCGGATTTTCAGGTCCGACTTCGAAAAAGATCCTAAAGGCTATTTTCGTGAATTGCGCAAACGACAAGGCTGAGAGATCAGAAGAGATGAAAAGTCTAACAGATCAGAATAAGAAGGTTTACATTTCTATTTGTGTTTGTGAGAGAGTGAGCGTTATTTTCTTTGTGTTTCTAGTCTTCTGTTTGTCTTTAAGCTATGTTTTAAGGAAAAGAGCTGTTGTAGATGAAAAGCATGTTGGATCAAAATTGGACTGAAATAACTGTTACTCATAAATGCATCGAAATCAAAGCATGCTTCAAATAAAACAAAGTTACCTGAAGATTTTCTGTTTTCCTTTCTTTGGGGATTGGTAGGGAGACCTTCACAAATTAACATGTCGACAATTTTTTTTTTTCTCGTTATAAATGATGCGACTGTCTGATGTCTATACAACAATGATCCTTTTTGGTGGATAATTTTCCACAACCATTACTGGCTAATTTTCCCTTGAGACCTTTCCTCTAGAAAGAATCTGAAGTATTAATCAATTACCAAAATTGGATCTAAGGGAACAGTGAAGAAAAAAAAGAATGAAATGAGGCAAAAACTTTTAATTATCTACAAAGATGGTCTCACTGTGGGTATCTATGAGGGCTGCGAAGATGACAATGTCGGCATAAACAAGTCAGATTGGCGTCTCAGTTTAGATGAGAGCTCTGCATTTCTCCCAAAGTAAGATTCTGCGTTCGACAGCATGACCTGAATATCATGCTTTACTGCTTCTAAACATCGATAGTAGTTGTTCTCCAACCTAGAGTGGATGATATCAAGAGATAATGGTACGGGGTACCTGCCAAAATACCATTATTCCAAACATTCAGTCACATCTTCCACCCAAAAGCCGGAGAGTTTTCATTAAAATTATTAATCAGGATGTATATGCGTGTGCTGAGACCTATTAACAACTTTGAGACTGAACATCCACAGAAATGTATAAACCATGACTGCTAGACATGATTTACCTGTTTGTAAAATTAGACTTCTGCGAAACTTGCTTCAATTTATTGACTGCATATTGATCCTGCAACATTTAAAGCAAAAAAAATTAAGAAGAATTTCATGCTATAGCTTCCAATAAGTTCGATCTAATGCCACAGTGCTACTTGAGCTTAGCTTGAGTGATAAGGGGTTGTTAGATGTCATAAGTTTCATTACCTGAGCTTTGTGGGAAGATTTCTCCAATTTGGCAAAGACAGAAAGTAGCTGGTCTCTGATCTTACTATCAATATGAGGCTGCTCCCACTGAGTATCCGCTTCAAAGAGCTCCCAAGGACTGTGAAGTTGCGGTTCCTTGGGCTCACTCCTGTACTGAACAGAGTACCTTTCCCATGGACTATCGGGAAATTTATAAGATTTGGGTTTCACGGCCACAACCCGGCCATCCCACCAACTTCCATCATCTCCACTCTCATCTTTCCACCAGACCCTGCACTTATCCCTGCAACTCCAATTTCTATGGATGGCAGCATCAAAGCGAGTTCTTTCTACAATGAAGTCAGGGAAACCAGTCAAGTCAGGCAGAGTCAATTTAAATGATCTATCGAACATGCTGGAAGAAGGGTCTGTAAATTTGAGAGTCAGTTTACAGCAACTTTCCCCAGACCCTGGAGATGTGGAATAGTCTAGCCCTTCAACTCTACAAAATTCCACTGCCCTTAACATGTTTCCCCCCTTCAGTGAAGTCCAAGGTCCTGCTTCCCTCAAGCTAATATGATCTATATATTCTTGATGCCCCTGAAAGCACAGAAGCTACCAAATGTAAATCATTTTGTAACTATCAAAATAAACGTACAGAACTTAAATAACAGGAATGGATAAAAAAATTTGTATTTTAATCTTACCTGTCTCAAATATACAATTTCATCAGCTAGTTGGGGAATATAGCGGGACCCCTCCTCATGTGTTGTCAACATCAACCACGATCCTTTACGGGCTGATTGATGGGGTCTCCGTACTGGACTAGTGTCATGGAAATAGTAATTACTTCTCCTATTTCTAGCAGACCTTGATCCAACTGCCATCCTTGAACTTGATACCCATTCCTCGCTAGGAAGTTGAGACCCATTTGTAGAAACATCCCGGGTGCTTCTATGTAAGTCTTCTGACTGAAGTGCATGACCTGCCTTCAACCTACCGGACCGTTTGTTATGAGGCCCATTCATTGTGCCTTCAAGGAGGTCTGCTACCATACTCTTATTATGGTTGCAATCATTTGTAGTGCTTTCTACCATGGCACCACTGCCCTCTGACTTGGACCTATCTCTTTGTGTCTTTGACCTTCTATAAACAACATTATACATCTTTTTTGAGTCTGGATTTAACCCCCCAGAGTCATGAGAAGTCGACATGGGAATTATATTAACTTGAGCATCTGAATCTTGCAACCCATCAACTTCATTATCTGAACTAATTTCATTGGATCCATCAACTAAGGGTACTTCTGAAACCAAGTCCTTTAACCTCTCAGTGGAGCTATCATTATTTAATGCAGCATACCGACCATGCATATGACCTTCTCTTGAAGGTTTCATTTTCAGCCCAGGACTTTCATTGTCAATCGTGGTCCTTTCTGAGAAAAACCTTAACTTAGTTGAAATAGCCATATGGCCCTCTTTTACCTCAGAAGGCTGATCAGTTCCATTCTGATTAAAAGTTGGGGCAAGTACATCCTCAGCAGACCTGTTAATCCATTTTGATGATTCGGGATAATTTATATGCTCACTGGGACCTGAGTATTCTTCACCATTAGCTAGACCATCCAAAACTTCCCTGTCATTCCCTGGATTCTTCTCAATTACTATCACTTCACCATTCATATCCACTTTACAAGTTTGGATATCTGTAGCCAGGGATGCAATAGCACAAGCCTTTTCTGGTTCAACATATCCATTGACATCATTTTCTTTGACGTTGTCAAGATATAGCGTAGACCCAGTATATGCATCTGATAATAAGGGTTCACCCAATCTCAAACGTTTGGAAGTACGAGCCTTGACTCCTCCCCACTTCATTGCCCCATCCTTGTATCCTTCGGTCAGGTCTAAATTATCTTCAATCTTGTGTGGTTGCCCTCTTATTCCTCTACCGATCATGCTATAGTTTGCTTCACCAGAAGAACACCCCAGGTCCAATGAGCTTATATGCTTTACACCTCCTTCAGTGGCTTCTTCAGAAGCTTTGCATGACAAGCCTGCTGAATTTTCCTGTCTGTCAACTTTTCTTTCCATTGTGCTTTTTGGTGGCACAAGCTTATTTAGACCCCGGCCAGGCAATTTAAGGACCAATCTTCTCCGATTCCCAGAATTATGAGATTCAGTAAGTGCATTAATATTAGCAACATCCTCAGACTCACCAAAGAAGACTTCTTTTCCTTTTGAATGTTTGATTTGTTCATTTGGCAAAGCCCTACCAGATTCATCACTGTCAACATATGAATCTCGTACCATAGATTCACTCTCTGATGAATCACCTTCAGAGTCATCTTCATCTTCAGCATCAGTTGATGTTCCAGTTATTTTAGAAAAGAAGTGCAAAGCATTGCGTGCAGCAGCTCTTCGAGGTCTCGATGATTTTGATGTAGAAGGCTTTCTCCATAAAGCTTTTCGTCCATTTTTTGATTTCCTAATCCGGTCATTACCAAATGAGATGCCATCGCATTCATCCAAATTCCTTCTTTTAACACGCCTACCAGAAGATGTCATGATCTCAATCTGAAGTGGATGAAAATTCAAGTCAACCAAATGCCTCCAAATACGTTGAAATATAGCAATGAAAAGGATATTAAACTTACTTCAGCCTTTGGTTTTTTCCTTTTTGATCGACGAAGGGCATCTTTGTGAGTATCATCAATCTCACTATCTTCTGAACTGCACTCGGGATCACCAGAGAGAGAACCTAAACTTCCTTGCTCCCCTCCGGTAGAGTACTCCTCTGTGAAATTATACTCTGAATCATTATCATCACTTTGCACTTCATTTTCAGGTTCCCAATCCATGGCATCTAAGAATGCTGGCAGTGGAGCAGCAATTGCATCTAAGTCTGCCAACGGCGGGATTTGGTAATCCTGGTCTAGACTGAAATCTGGCCCCACAGAAAGGTTCAAAGCATGAGGATTCCACTCAAAACCCAAAGCACCTAATCGTCTTTGCTGGTACATGGTCTGATAGGGTTCTGTGTATGGTATCATCCCTAAAAGTTTCCAACACAATGAGCAGTTATGAAAACAAAATTAACGGAGAGTGAGGGTAATGGAATAAAAAGACCCCAGTCATTTGGGGCAAGTATGAGTAGATTTAAACCTGAGTCACAAAGAAGATCTTGCATATTCCGTCTATATGTACTAAGCTGAGTTTCCTGAATTACAAATATCACATATGCTTGAAATCATCAGAATTTCAATGATGAAAATGTAAAGAGTGTTTTAATCATCTAAAAACTCAGTGATCAGCTATGATATGCAAAATATTACGGATGGGATATGAGCAACTACACATAACTAGGGATGATTTACTCAAGGCAATGACAATATATACTTCACCAGGGTGCAAAGTTGCTAATCCGCTAGACCCAAATGTCTAGGAATGGAGTAATAAATCATTGGATAGCATTTCTGCTATGATGCATTCTTAACAATCAACTTTGATATGCTCCTCCCTCTTCTCTTTCTAAACACTCATAAACACAAATGTGCATGTATGACCCATGCACTTGACAAGCTGGAGCAAGAAAAACAAAGTCATTCAAGGTGAAGAGATAAGAAGAATACATTATTCCCAGTAAAAATGGCATAAGAAAACTGTACCAAGTAGAAGACAGCATCCATTTTAAGTTTTAAGATGACGACACTAATAAAGAACCATTACATATATTTTTCCGTCTTTCAAATGCAAGTAGACCATATAAAGGAAAAGTTGCCATAATAAAAGCTCAAAGATGGTCAACCAACCAGGTCTATTGAATTCCCGGAAGTGTCGTGAATAAGTGGTCGATAATCACCGAGAAAGAACTGTGGGAGAAGTGAGTGGAGTAAGTATCATTAAAAGCTTAGAACCTAGTTTTTGACTGCAAATAAAAACTGATGAAAATGTAACAAGCTCATTGTGATACCAGATACCTGATCATATTTGGCATCCTTCTGAGATTCCCCTTGGCCAGTATTTAGTATGTATAATTGACCAACATCATCTGAAAGTATAATGGATGTCCCATCCCTATTTTACAGATACAGTGAATTGTAACATGATAGTAACTTTAATATTGCAATATAAAAACAGGGAGACAGACTTTCCCTAAAGATTCCAATGGTATGTTTAGATGAGAGGAAAAGATAAATCCTTTGTAGTGCAATCCAGCTAAATAATAATACTTAGCGCTATTTATGAATCCAATAGAAGATTAGAAACATCAAAAAAACTTTAAGCCTTTGATTGGGAAATGGGAACTACAGGGGAGAAGGGGAGCAAAGGGTAAGGCTCCCCTTGTCTGGATTGTTTTAAAAAGAAAAGAAGGGTCATGACCTTGTTTGGTTAGTGGAAAGGGAAGGAAATTAAGCAACATATTCATTTAGGCATATTATGTATATCCTGTCAAACAAATTAACATGAAGTAAAAAGCAAGTTTGATCAGGTGAATACAATGCTATATACTTTTGAATTATACAGGAATTTATACAATAAAAGGGTTCTCAATCAAGCTTTCTGGTAGTGGACTTACGATGAAAACTTCCCATCTACTAATTTGAAACGAGCAATTTCATATATCCGAATTGGTGTACCTTCCCATATCTACAGCCAAAAGAATATGAAAACACATCAATAAACAGAGAAGACCAAAAAATACATCGTCCGGCATGAAGGAGCTTGAAACTCACATCCCAAACAATGGTTCTTCCATCATAGCCAGCACTCATAGCTATCCGTGGGTTGAAAGGATGAACATCCAGGACATATGTCTTAAAAAAATGAGTAAAATTGTCAGATATAACTATGAAACAACAGTGAATCCAACTATAGGCACCCTCAAATTCACAAGCATTCACATTGCAAATTAGAAGGTAAATAGGCAAGCAGTCAAAGCAGAGCAAAAGCTAGTCAAACTCAGATTATAGATGACTGGATGATGGCGCACCAATAAACTTTATCCTGTTTGTAAGCCAAAGAGATCATGGCTCCTTTATCAAGAAAGAATTCCTTTGCTCCAGGGCTTAGATTCTTACTACAATAATATATCAGTAATAAAGTTTTTATGTCAAGGGAGCATTTGGTTTTTTGCTCTTTTCCGGGGATTTTCCATGGTTGTGATCAAGTAGGTCTCATTTTGGGTTTAATTAGTTATTAGGGCTCTTATATTGCCTTTAGTTTATACAAGTTGAGTCTTATCCCTAAGTCTAATGATTTAAAATAAAAAAATCCTAGTACAACAGGTTAGTATTTTCCAGACTTTGTAAGAGTTGATGGAAAAGTTTTTAATCTGATGGTTACGCAATAAGGAAAATAAGCTAGCTATAAAACTTGGCTATTAAATTGCAAAATTCCATCCTTCCCCCCTTTCCATACTACCTTCCATGCAAAGTCTACATGTAATAACACCATTATACAATAATATGCAGATTGGATCGCCAAGGGTGCATGACTTCTAATTGATCACCAAGTTAAAAATGACAATAACTTATTTCCCACTTCTTTGCAAAAAGAACAAAAGGCCAAGAGCAGGAAAGCAAACAAAACCATCACAGGTCAGAAAATAAGGGGGAAAATGTCAATAAGGGTACTCCATGAAAATATAAGAAACATGCAACAAAACTGATGTCAAGAGCTTAAATGAACAGTACAAGGTATGAAATGTGACTTTCATACAGAGAGGGGCAGTAAATGTAGCCAATAAATCATCCAGACCACCTAATTACATAAATAGAATGTAATAGCCAGTTTCTACTCTAAACACAAGAAATAATATATAAACCATAAAAATAATTCAGCCTTGGATATGTGAACAACTTACAGAATCAGTATGACCAGTCAAAGAATGAACTAAGCTACCATCAGCAGCATTCCATACACATATTCTACAGTCTGCATCAAGAGAATATGTTATTCAGCCAAAAATTACAGCTATTTATGCCCCTGCAGAATTCCAAGAAAAGAGTAAAATAGTGCTCAATCCTAGTCCAGAGAACCTTTAAAAGTGCCCAAGTAAGCCTAGAACTAGCTTTTCAAAAGAATACATTACACATTACAAGTTGACAACACTAAATATTTAGTGTAGCTTAACAGTGAATACAGCCTAAACTGAGCTTAAAGTTTTACTCTATTAAATGCTATAAAAGCACCCAAGTTGAGTTCTTAAACTTTTGTTAAAGTTAATTGAACTAATAAACCTTCCTGATGACTTAAGTACCGAACCATACACTAGATTAACGGAAAATATAGCCCAAACTCCATGAAGATAGTTTTAATAAGCTAAATACTGCTAATACCATTCAACAGATAGACATCAAAGGAGTGGGGGAGGGGAGAAAGGAAGGTCTGAATCAACCACTCAACTACAAGGGTCTTTATAGATGCATAAGAAATGAAATGAGCAACAGCATGAAATACATGAAGCACCAAAGTCAAGTTATGCTTTGACATATAATCAGGGTGATCATGAGAGGTTTTAACTCCAGCTACATGTAAGAGTTCCACCCTTTAACCTTTTTCTATTCTTTTAGGGAGGGGAGATAGATGTTACATCAGCTTTTTAAGGGAATAAAGTGCTATTTGATAAAACTGAGAAAAAAAAAATTCTATGGTAAAAATCAAGTCATTGCAATTTAATTTTCAATGCATGAAATTAGCAACCAAATGTTTCCATTAAAAGATCAGGTGAAAAATAAATACCCATGATAGCAGCAAGGACAAAGCGGTTATCTAGGCTCCAGATTATCATATTTACACCACGAGGAGTTGGAAGAATTCTCTGGCGTGGACCCCCTCGTGGTGGTTGTGGAGGCAATGGTGGGGGTGGAACTTTGAGATGATAATGTTTAGACCAGCGACCCACTTTACCCTGAACCAAAACATATAAAAATAAGCTCCTATATCAAACATACATTAGGAGAGGGGAAGGTGTGGTTGAAATCATGAACTTAATAGACAGATAAATGATGAAGGCATGGCAAAAGATGGAAAACTGATGAAGAGTGAAACTGTTTATAGCCAATAATAATTTACATGTGATCTACGAGATCTTGGAATCCAAATAATTGCACTGCCATCACGGGAACAGGTAACAATGTTGTCTTGGGAAAACCTGGAACATATCATTGACCATATCAGACAACAAAATAGGCTTTTGTATTCTTCTTCAAAAGGTAAAGTCCTACTAAAACTTGGAAGCTAAGAAATCCCCTTCAGCACCTATTCGCCAAGAGGATTCTCAAGAAGGGAGAGAAAGATCCACATGACGAAAAAAAAAATACAAGACTTGAAGAAAATACCCACCAGGAGTTTCTAAATTTTGGAACACTCTCTTCCTTCAAGCTGTCTGCCACAGAAAATCTTGATGAAACAGAACAACCACTGCAATATAAGGCAGTAGCATAAATGGAAATGAAATTCTATTACTAAAATATCTGAGCAATAGAGTATGATAAACGGACCTGAACTGCACATAATTGACATCATTCTCGTGTCCAGATAACACATCAATCTCATGATTTGGTTGGTCTGAATCATCTGTGTTGGGTTTACAAGCAATCCACACCTGCAAATGATCAACAAAAATGAAATTCTACACCTAAACTTGCACAATTACAAAAGAGAAGGTAAAGCAGGACAAAATCTTGGAAGAATAAGAACAACTTATAGCAAACATGCATAAAGTGTACCCTAGCTAAAGTGTCTGAGCTACCAGTGACAAAGACAGTTCCATTAGCATTGAATGCACAACAAAAAATTTGATGGCTCTGTTGAACAGGAGTTGAAGATGAACCAGTGTTCTTCCCTGCAACCATTTTAGCATTGCTATGTAAAATCTGTTAACTGAGAGGCATCAAAATAATTAATAAAAAGGTAAAAAACCTGCTATAGAGTCTGAAGGCCTCGGAACATATATCCGTGGACGGATTTCAGCATTCCTAGCATCCCATATCCTACATGTTCCATCATCAGATGACCTGCATAGAGTCAGGAAACACTACATTAAATTTCAATGCAAATGGCAATCATGTACCAAAAGCTAAGATAATCATTATATCAACCACAAAGAGGAGGATTTAACAAAAAGATTTACATGAAAATCAATTGTGGAAATTAAGCAAATCAAAGTACCAAAAAACAATAATATAATCAGCAAAATCAGAAAGGAGAAACAAACCAAAATTCTGGTAATACCTGTGAAAACTGAAATATTAGAAAGTGCATCTTCTGTATGCCTCATAGTTGGGCACTTTAACCTTGTATTATATGACATTGTAGGGCCAAGTTTTATTTATTTATGTTCTGGGTGAGGGAGATACTATGACAGAATTTGACAGTTTTGATGACTAATACACACAAAAGCAAAGGACATTTGGAATCGGTCTTACGATAGAAGCTGATATACAGAGCCTGGCCTAGGACTAAAAGCAATGGCAGTAACAGCTCCAGTATGTCCACGCAGAACCGAAATTGGCTGTCCATCTGGCAAGTGCCACTGTCAACGAGCAGGAAACAAAATCACTATCAACTAAGTAAAATACAATTTTCTTAAGCAGGAAGAGAAGAAAGAATTAAAAAGATGCAGGGGATGCTTACAACACGAATAATACAGTCATTTGAGGAGGATGCCACCATAAAATTATTGGAACTGACAGCCAGGTCAGTTATGTCACCCTTTCATCCAAATATAAAATAATGTAACATGTAACTAGAAGAAATCAAAGATAAAAAGAAATAATTGCAAGATATGTCCATTATAGCTCATCAAACTCACTTCATGTCCACGGCAGCTGGCCAAGCAATGCGCTGTCTCCATAGACCAAATTTTCACAAGACGATCATCAGAACCAGTAATAACATACCTCCCAGATCGATCAAATATTGCTGCAGAATTTATATAAAGTCAAAAGAAGTCAATCTCAAATTCATGATGTCAAGAAAAACCTTGACAAGTTGGAGCTTTTGAGTGCAAGCAGGCTAACGCTAAAAAAAATGTTCAAATACAAAAAGACAACAATAGGTCAGTTGTGACAGTAGAGGCCACAGAAAATCCAGAATCCCTCAAAAGCAGGCAAGACATCTTTAATGAGCTCACAAGTCCATCAACATAAGCTCTTCTCTGTGACCCCTCCTGTCTGTTGACCTACCTCTCTCTCTCTCTCTCTCTCTCTCTCTCTCTCTCTCTCTCTCTCTCCTGTTTTATTTGGATTTTTATTATTTTTTTATTTACTTTGGGGGGAGGTAAGGGGGAGGGAAGGGATGGTTGATAAGCATGAATGCTTAATTTACGACAAACAAATAGGCCTAATTAACCCCAAATCTGAAGCACATTGTAGCATGTTTACTCACCGATATGATTATTCTAAATACATACCCAAAGCTCAAACTGCAAATATGAAAACACAAAAACTATACCACAATAGACAGCATTTCGATGCCCTCGTAACCTCTTGATATTTTGCATCTTCTGCACCATAGTTGATGGTTTTGCAATGGCATAACATGCTGCACGAATAGATGGTGCACGATGATGTCTTGCGAAACCACCCCCAATTTCCCTTAAACCCAGCCCACGAACCTGATCTGCATGCATATGAGGCCACCGCATATGAACAGGAGGACGTTTGACTTCACTTTTTCCTTTATTGCTATCATCTGAAAGGTGAAGAAAACCAAAATTAAACTTTGTCAGAACAGGGCAATCCCATAGAGGGAAATTAGTGGCAGAAGGAATTTCCTGAATAAAAAGAGGAAGAATGAACAATAGAAGTTCTTTGACAATCCAATGAAGAAATAATATTCTAAAAAAAAAAAAGTACTTCATCTCATATTTTTGCTCTAATATGGTTTCCAAATTTAAAATGCAAAGGAATCATGTTACATGGATGAAATAAAGCCACCTACGGCTCAAAAGAGAAAAGCGCCCTGTTCCCAAAAGAGTGGGGACATCAGCTGCATTTGGAGTGTGTCTCGTACTTATGCCTTCCAAAGGGGAGGATGCATTTAATAACAACTGCTTCAAAAGCTTTATCAAGTGATCTTTTTCAATGTGAGGATTCCTACACAAGCATAAATGGCACAAGAAATAAGTCAAACTTTTTTAAGAAAAAGAATGTTGCATGAAACTCACAAAATGTCTATTACCTGCTTAGTTCTAAGATAAGTTACATATGAAGGACCATAAACCAATAACACATTTACTGCTATTTGATAGACATCAAACCATCACCTTAAACAAACTAGATGCTAATCACATACCTTTCCACCAACTGAGCATAACTTAATGGGAATGACATGCCATCATCATTTTCATGTCCACTATGTGCCCCTTTCCTTGAATACCAAGCATGATACCTTCTGGGTAGAAGTTGATTTTCAAGCAGTTCATTCCAAAACTGTCCACATGTTCTTTTACAGGGGCCGGTTGAAAGGAAATGCATAATCAAAAAGTAAACCTCCCATAGGTTGACATCTACATCATGCTTCTCAGGATCACGCATTTTTGGATTTGCAAATTGAACATTCTCTTGCACCTTAGTGGAAAAATGCAAAGGCTTCATTTTAACAGAAGGAGAATCACTGGAGGGAACATATTTCTGGAGAGCCATATAACCTGCAGTTTAGAACAATACAATCAACACATTTACACACGACAAGCTCCAACTGATTTGCATACGGTGACAACACATAAAAACAAGAGCACAATGACATGTATAACCAAAATATCCTTTAGGTCCAATGCAAAACTACCATGAAAAACCAACAAGAGAAAGAACCTAAGATCTCAGCACAAGCACAAAAACCCTAACCTCAAATCGAACATATACCAAATTCAACCAAAAAAGTGATCTCAGAACGCATTAAAATCAAAGTTGAACAACTGACTTCTCTCAAAGTCTCAATCAAAACTTCAATTTAAGGAATTCAGTTTAATTTCAACTGCAAATTCAAGAAATTCAATATCAAAGCATAAGCATTGAAAAAATAGCAAAACTACCTTCACAATGTACCTCGTGGATTAACCAGAAGGGCAGTCACCGGAAACTCGAAACTCTCTTCTACACATTTGAAAAATCCACAATGCAAACGCCTGCAACAACAAGAACAAATGAAAAACCCTAAATTCAAATAGTTTTCACTGCTAACAATCAAGAACCATGAATGCTTAACTCAAAAAACTAACAAAAAAATTACCTAATTCCACATTTAGTCCGATAAATGCACAAACCACTCCGCAGCGAAAAGAACTAAAATAAAACCAATTTTGAAAAAAAAAAAAAGAAAAACAAGAAGCCTTATCTAGGTCGATACCTTCAATGGAGAAGAGAAGGTTGTTGTTAGAGTAAAGCGATGCGTTTTGGAGGTTTCAGTGTGATCCTCTTCAACTTTAGAGGATTTGAAGTGGGAATGGGGATCGAGTGGAGAAAATAATCGCTGGATTTTTAATTTTAAATAAATAAAGGGAGAAATCGGAAGGGGATAGCGTGTGAAGAGCACGCGCGAGATGAGGGATTTGATTCTTGTAGGGAGTTCTGTGTGTGTTTTCTGTTGGGGTTTAGAGAGAGAACGATGGGATTCTTAAACGAGAGACAAAGAAGAGGAGAAAGAAGATGAGAAACGGAGGATTCAACGCAGCGTTTTATTTCTTTACGCTCACACTGTCACATAAACAGAAGAAAATAGGATTATCGATGAGGAGAATTTCCACGCGCGTTAAACGTTGCGTGCTAAATAAATGCAGTGCAAAACGACGCCGTTTGATCCCCGCTGGGGCGCTGGGCGCACCGCTCTGGTTGGAGTTTCCTGGTTCGTTATGGTACGTTTGTTTGTACTTACATCAGAGGATTTAACGCACGGCGAGACAAGCCCACCGGTGGGCCCTCGTTGGCTTTGGTTTTTGTCTTAACTGCAATTTTTTTTTATAAATTTTTTTTTCTTTCCTTTTTAATAAATTGAAAAATGTTTTAATATCTTATTTCCATTTGATTCAATTACATATTTATTTTAATTATTTTAAAATAAAATTAAAACCCTCTCAAAAGCCTTAATTTTTTAAAAAATTATTTCATAAGTACATACTTTATAAAATCTAAAAAATTTCATATAATTTTTTTACCAATATTACTTGAGAGTTAATTCCTTAAGTATTTTTATTAAAAAATATAGAGCTAATTGTTGAAATTAGTTTTTAAAGTATGCAAAATACTAATGCTATATAAGCTAAAGAACATAATTTAAATATGAAATAGAAATATTAAGATTTCGTTTGATTATTATTTTTATTATTTTTAATAAAAATAAATAATAAAAATATAAAAATATCAATCAAACGAAACTTAAAAAAATATAAATATTTGAGTTTACTTTTTTTATAGACTAAAATTTATTTAATTTAATAAATTGATCTTTAATAATATAATAATAAAATTTATGCTCGAAGGTTATTATGAATTAAAAAAATTTTATATATGTAACGTATATTTTAACTCGATGAATATAAATAAGAGTAGGAGAGACATGAGAGGTAGATTAGGAATTAAAAACAAAAAGTTTATTAGGCTTAACACAGTCTAAAAGGCAGTTAAAGCATAAAAAATAAATAAATTAGGAGATGGTCAATTTCAGTGGCAATAGCATTTTCTTCACCTATTTAACTTTGTTAATATCCACAAAGAAAATATTCGCTTGTTTGTCATTTTCATGATTGCAACTTTTGCTCAATGGCTGTATAAAAAAAATAAACTACAAAGTTTAAACTTTGGCTTGATAATTTTTGGGAATATTTTGGTCCAAAACTAGGGCAAATTTAGAATTGTTGATTGAATTGAATCAATCTTTGGAATCTTGAAGTAATAAATACATGACATTTTTGTGTTGTCAAATAAGGATTTTTGTTTTTTTGAAGGAAAAAAAATTTGGTGGATAAAGGTAAGGGAGATTTTTTCCTTCAAGAGTGTGTAATTGTGATTTTTACAAATACCCCCACCTAACATTCCATTTTTTTCCATATATGGTTTTTCCTTTGAAAAATGACCCAGATTCAGTTGTCTCATTCACTTTCCATTTCTCATGCATTTCTCCATATTTTTCTTCTAAAATAATTTTTATCAAAATTTTCTTGTTTTGGTAAGTAAAAGTGATTTTTTTTTTAATACAAAAGAAGATGTAATTTGAAAATAAGTAAAAATATGATATATGTTAATATTTGAATTTTAATTTTGTTAAATATCATTTTTAAGAGTAATTGAATGAATTACCTTATTTAAATTTGAGTTCAACTTTTTTTTATTCACATGTAAATGATAATTTTTAGGTGAAAAGATTATAAAACAAATCTGATAATATAAAATACGACATTATAACACAACGTGAATACGTTACGAATAAAAAAAACGAAGGTAATTCATTTTATTATTTTGGCAATAACTATATATAGATTTAGTAAAATAAAAAAAAATTTCATGTTTTCGTATCACACGAATTATGATACATAATTTTAAAATAAAATATAATAAAATACATAAATTTAAATATTTTATATGATATGAATACACGAATCGTTAACGTAATTTTTTTTCAAAAAAAGTATATACATGTTTTGGGCCACAATCCTTAAAGTAATTTTATTAACACTTCTGTATGGATCCATAGTGCTTCATGGAAGAGATACAGCTCATGGTTGAGGACTAGAAATACTAGTTGGGTCCGAGGGTGTTTCGTTTGAAATCATCTTATGGGCTTAAAATAAGTCCAAATTATTGTTTTTGATCCAAGTTATAAAACACTATTATTGGGTTTTTAACGTGAAAAGTCTGTTTATCATCTGCTGGAGGGGGCTGATTTTAAAACACTGCAAATTGCAATACAACAATGCAGTCGTATTGTCTTGTTGTGCTTTTAAAGTATATATAATCAGAACTTATATTATATGAACTTTTCATCTTACTTTAATGTATTCGTATGGATACTTTCTGAACACTATTATTCATAATTTCGTATGGGTATATGATATTTTGATCCTCAATATTGAAATAAAGAATTATAAAAATATATATGTAACTTATTCGTGTCAGGCACATATGATATATTCATATTTGATACAGGTGATATTCTATCCTGACTCCATTTAGCATAGCCCAAACTCTATAGATATCAACATAAATACAACAATAGAATGTGTTCGTGTTAGATATAAACGACATACTTTATATCTAATACAAGTGATCTCCTATCTCGAGTCCATACAACATAGTTTAAACTTTATAGATATTAAAATAAATAATTCGTATTAAAAACATACGACATACTTATATCTAATACATATTATTTATCTCAAAACTCTACAGATATTAATGTAAATATAATTATAGATTATATTCGTGTTAGACACTTATAACTAATATACCCATATTTGATACATATACTTTATCCCGAATTCATGTAGCGTAGCTTAAACTCTATCACATAAAACCATGAGTTAATTTTTGATAAATAGGGAATTATATGAAAAATAATTTATTATATATTGAATGCAGGGATCACGTTCAATATTGTTCTTCCTTTGTGCTAATCTTTCTCAGCTCTCAGACTTTTCTAGCTAGTTTCAACTTGAGCAATTTTTTTTTTTTGTTTTTTAAATTACGATTGAGATTTAAACCCAAAACCTTTAATTCTAAAACCAACTGTAATATCACTGCATTAACAACTCATTAACAAATTGATTTCGACGTCCGCAATTCAATTAATCATATATATTATGCTTTGGTACAGTAAAGCCGCCGGCTGCAGTACTTATTAACAAAAAGACAACAGCACTCACGAAAGTCGTTACAAGAAAATAGATGTTTTGCCACGTAACGTTTGGTCTTAGTCAAATTAATATGTAGATATCTTCCACAAGTAGTTAGCTGAGTCATATGACAATGGCATGTTCATCAAACCTAGCTACTTAACTTATCTTAAATTAAATCCAATATATGAATTACATAATCAAGAGTTAGGCATCCTAATGTGTTCATAGGTTGATTTTGCAGATTTTTTTTTTATTAATCAAATTGTTGTAAGATGTTAAACACCATGGAAGGACAGGTCAAAGGCGGCTAGGCCAAAAGGTTGGGTTGATTTATGAATGGTAATGGTGGGGTTTTAATAGTTTGGGAGATTTCCATTTGATAGCCAACTAGTCAAGCAAAAGAAAACACAGCCACTAGTGTTTTAAATGGACCAGACAAGGTCATGGATTTCGTAATCACACCAGCAAGTTGTTGAATGATTAACAGTTCTTTTGGTCAAGAAAAAACTTTTTACAATTTTCTTATATTTATTTAATTAATTTTGTTGAATGGAATAGAACAATGCGATAACAGGTATAGGATTTGATGTTGGAAAAAATAAATACGAGAATAGAAATAATGAAAAAGAAATTTAGCATATGAGAAAAATACTTTTAAAAGATAATTATTTCATTAGAAGTAATAAAAAATGATTATATTAAAATATTAATTTCTAATAAATGAATAGACATAAATTTTTATTTTAATGATTATTACCATTTGTATAATCATGATTTATATAAGCAATCATCTATTTATATTCAAATAATTATAATTATTTATCACATAATAATTGTTTCTATTTAAATATAATTACTCAAAATATAAATAAAATTAATACAAAAATTAAGTTTATTCACAATAATTAACTCTTTTTATTTGATGTGAGATGTACCATATTCTAAACTATTAACATTTAATATATAATAAAATTCATCAAGCAATCTTGATTTTTATGTAGTATTTTATTTTAATCATTAATTTTTAAATTCTAAAATTTAGATTCACGACCTTTTTTATAATATTTTAAATTCATTAATTTTGTCAATCATCAATGTAAGGTGATTATTGAATATTAAAGTGGTATAAATTTTAGAGTTTATATTTGATATATTATCAATGTATAAATTCTACACACTATCAATGAATCAGATAATATTACTTCATTAATGAGTAAATATCAATCTTTAAAATAAAATATATAAAAATTAATATTTTTTAAAAAACTTGTTAATAAAATGACATAATCTGATTCACTTCATTAATAAGATAAAATCATTCAATTCACTGACAGTATATCTATATACTGATAGTATATTATTTTTCTACTACGAAGACATGTTTGAATGTCCCTATATGACGTTGAGATTTTGGACATTTAATGTAATTTCTCTGTAACTTAAAAGTGAACCTAATTCAAGACATATTTCCACACAACCATTTTCAACGCATGGTTTAGGAATGTGCTTGCATTTGATTGTTTTAGCTCATTCTTTACAGTCTGTAAGGTTTGGAAAAGTCGAAAAAAGAGTCTCAAAAACCTAAAAAAGAGATAATTCATGTATACCTACAATTTTGAAAAGAAAAAAAGAAAGAGAAAGATCAAAAGAAATGAAAAGGACATCATATAGGAAGATTATCATGAATTGAATAAGTTAAGGAAAACCGCCCTGAAATTAATTCTTTATTTCATATGGCATATTATACATCTAGGTAAATATCCACGCAATTTGTATATAAAGAGCTGAATTGTATGGGAAGGTCAGAAACATACAGTCCAAGCGACTTGATCTATTCTCAATGGCTACCTTCTCTTCAAGTAATAGTTCCTTCATGGCTGCAATAGTCCTTCTAGGGATCTTCGCAGCAAACTTGGATCAAACAGGTTTCTTTCTATCTCCCGTCTGTCTGTCTGTCTGCCCTATTTGAGTCTTTCTGCATTAGTTAGGTCCTTACCATTGTCCTGATCATTTGCTTCGGATGCAAGTACAAAGTTTCAAAACAGTGAAGCTAGGTTCTATATAATATTCCAAGAATCTGTTGTTAATTTCCATTTTGGTTGGATTAATGGACGAAGTAATGGTGTAATTACAGTTTCTGCGTATCCTTATTCCTTGCATTAGCTTTTTCTTATTCATTAAATGGAAATAGAGTTTTAAAATACATGTGGTAGAGTGTTAGACTCTTTTCAATGATTAAGTTTAATTTCTGACAGTCTTAACTAAAAAAAAAAAAGAAAATGATCCAATGGCATGCTTGCCTGGAAACTCCTACAATTTTTTAGTTAGATTATTCATGTTAATAGCAAGAAAAGAAAATTTTGTTATTCCTAGCAGCAGCCTTCGGGTTTATTGCTTTCATGGTTTTGAATTTTATGTTATCTTTCCGAAATTCCAATCGAGCTTTAATTAATAAGAGTTCTGAAATGCAGGTGCGGAGCCTGTTGGTGTTTGTTATGGAATGCTAGGCAACAATCTTCCAAATGCATGGGAAGTCATCCAGCTGTACAAATCACAAAACATCAGGCGAATGAGACTTTATGATCCAAACCAAGCAGCTCTGCAAGCTCTGAGAGGCTCAAACATCGAAGTAATGCTAGGTGTCCCAAATTCTGATCTTCAAAGCCTTGCTAACCCTTCTAATGCACAGTCCTGGGTGCAAAGAAATGTACTAACCTACTGGCCAAGTGTCAGGTTCCGGTATATTGCGGTTGGAAATGAAGTTAGTCCTGTTAACGGTGGCACTGCTTGGTTTGCTCAATTTGTTTTGCCTGCCTTGGTGAATGTATTCAATGCAGTTCGATCAGCTGGTTTGCAGGACCAAGTCAGGGTCTCAACTGCAATTGACATGACCTTGATTGGAAACTCCTACCCTCCATCAGCAGGTGCCTTTCGTGGGGATGTTAGGTCGTATTTGGACCCGATCATTGGCCACTTAGCATGGGCCAGGACACCTTTACTTGCCAATATTTACACTTACTTCAGTTATTCAGGCAATCCAAGGGACATCTCTCTTCCCTATGCTATATTTACTTCCCCTTCACCTGTTGTATGGGATCAAGGACGTGGATACCAAAACCTTTTTGATGCAATGTTGGATTCATTATATTCAGCTCTTGAGAGAGCTGGGCAAGGGGGCCTGCAGGTTGTTGTCTCAGAAAGTGGATGGCCATCAGCAGGAGGGTTCGGGACAACGGTTGATAATGCACGCACTTACCTCACAAATTTGATCAAGCATGTCCAAGGAGGAACCCCAAAGAGGCCTGGAACAGCTATAGAGACTTATCTGTTTGCCTTGTTTGATGAGAACCGGAAGGAACCTGAGCTAGAGAAACATTTTGGGTTGTTCTACCCAAACAAACAGGCAAAATATCCCCTCAATTTTGGTGCAGGAAGAATCTGGGATGTTTCAGCCGAATATAATGCAACTATTTCTCTTAAAAGTGACATGTAAGGCTGAAAATCATGAGAATTTGGATTTTATTCTATTTCTCCCAATGTATTTTCGTCTTAAATAAGTGAGAAATCTGCCAGCAATCAAGTAATTTCTTGGTATATCTGGGATCAATGCAACCTTAAGCGTGTTTAATATGACCTTCCTATGTTCAAAGAACTTTAAAAGTAAACAAAATTTACATTTTAACGCGTGAAAAGTATGTGAATTACCTTAACACTCAAAAGAGTTGTAAACGTAAATATAGGCTTTGATACTTACATGTAGCAAACCATACATGGCTACAAACACAATAAACTACACCCAAAACGACTTCGAGCATAATGAACAACACCCCACCCCAACATCTAAGGATGCTTATTTATTTATTTAGGCAGAGATTATTGACATCGCTATTGTTCCCTTGCATGCATGCATGGTGGATTTGAACTTGACCGATTAGCCAATTGTGATTTGAGCCCAAAACCAGTTTTTTGGCTGGTGTTGTTTGCCTCCCCTTAACGGTTTGAGCTTCTGTGTCAGTTTGAGATTGGCCATCACTGATTTGACCACCACCAATACCTTTGTTGGTAAAATCTGCTTCCCCGGCAGGTGAAGAAGGGTTGCGTGCACATCTAACTTGCTCGTTAGACATTTCTTTAGGATGGTTATAACTAGTCCAGTAATGAAACAATGCAAGCAGATATTGAATAATGACAATTAGAGATTAAGAGAACAAAAATGTGAAGCCCTGGTGAAAACAAGCACATATAAACATAAACAGATCAGAGTCTCCTATGGGGGAAAGTTGACATTGTTGCACTTAAAGCAGTCTTCCATGGAAAAAGTACATTGTCCCAAGTCAACGAACATATTCATCATTCTTGAGGTTGCCACAGACATTACATTCCAATACTTTAGAAGGAGCACCATCAGATGGGGGCAACGGGGCAAGTGTGCCCCAACAGTTTTCACGACTACACATGTATCTAAAAAAGAAATAGGCATGAGGAAAATTAGTGTTGCCTGCTTCAACCCCATGTTCTGAGTCAGAGGCTATCATTTGTTCATCGCTGTCCTCATCCATGAACTCCTCCTCCTCCTCCGCCTCCACATTCCCATTATCATCAATAAAATCGGCTTCATTATCCGACCAATTGGCCTCCACCTTGCATCGGTCACAATCACAGTTAAAACCATAGTCCTCAGCCAATCTCTTCTGTCTGGTGGAGAAGTTAAGATTGACAGGGAAATAACTCAAGCAAATCTCCCTACCTTGGGGTACATCATGAATCATCCTAACAATGATGTCAGTATTCTGGTCAGGAGCCGCATCAAGGTAATCAAATCTGCAGGCATTAGGAAGACAATCATGGTTGAAGAAAGACGCCTTGGGATAGATGCCGTAAGCACGAACAGACCTCCGACCATCTTGTTGTAGAGAGATGGGTTCCATCAAGCCAAAGGCGTTGAGCTTATCTTTGGCCAACAGAGCTGCGGTGAGTTCGATGGAGAGAGATAATGAAGGAGGAGGGCAGAGGGATGAAACAATAAAATGCAAGAATTGGACAGCAGAAGCATCAGAAGGAGAACCCTGGCCTTGAAGAGAAAGCAAAACCTGGAAACAGGAGGGGGAAATAAGCACAAGATTATAGGCAGCAATAAGGAAACGGGCTTGTACTTGGCGTTCAAGAGGTTGAGAAATAAGAGGGGAGTCACAAAGGCGACTGAGAGCCTGGCAAACCCAAGGAGAATGAGAAGCAGCTGTTGCCATGGTTAGGCAATTAGGACTGCAAAAGAGATGATGATGAGAACACGATGGACACGGCATTACATTTGCTGATGGCAAGAGCGTTCTAAAGCAATTGTCACAATAGGAGGCAGAGGCAGAAGATCCAGGTTTAATCAGAGGAAGAGAAGAGTAGACAAGGATGGGAGAATCCTTGAGAACAATTTGTCCTGCCCTCAAAGGTTGCGAGGCCACAAGAGCCCTTCCCCTTCCTTCCATCTCCGCTAACCTTAATAAGGATTCTGAACCATCTGACAACATCCTTTTACTTCCCACTCTGTACATATACAAAATATTCAACAAACTTTACAATCCACAATGCTGAAAATATAACAAGAGCTCAAAAACGGTAAATTCAATTCTTTTTCACTAATGTCAAATTCCTCTGTATATCCTGGAGATAATGCAAGACAAAATTGATTAATCATGTCAAAACGATAGCCTTTTTCCCTTTTCTCCTTCAGACCAACCTCCATTTACTCTTAGTTGGTGATAAAAAATACTTCTTTATATCATATTAAGTTATTAATCCAACAAAATAATGGTAAAAGCTGCACCCAGAAACATATATGCAAAGAATCCTGGACTCACCAAATTTAGAAAAGCAACGATCAGATTTTATTTTGAAAAGAATGGGTATGAAAGTGAAGTTATAATTTTAAAACTTCAAAAGATTATACTAAAATCATAGTATAAATGAAAAGAAACAGGTTCCAATTTCAGTCCCATAGATAAAATCATACAGTGCAAAAGAAACAAACTGAAAGAAGATAACCAGATATTCAAGAAAAATCAATAATGTAGAGAATTAGTCACCTGAGTGTTTGAGCAGACACCAGCCAGGAGATTTGTTTAGCTTCAAGAAACCAAATAAAAAGGGGAAGATGATTGAAAGAGCTTCAGTTCAGTTGCGGGGAAAGCAGCAATCAATGACACTTTGGTTAGAGGCTTTAAAGCACCTAGGGCTTTTTTTCTTTACTCTTTACCGTTGCTACTCATTAATTTATGGGTTGGATTTTGACAAAGAGTAGGCCTAGCCTCCATTGACTGGGCTTAATATGGGAGTTGAATGAGCTTGAGTTTTCTGGCGCAATTGAAAAAAGACAGTAACTGTGGCCGCTGGGATTCCAGCCCAGGTCTCCACGGCCACAACGTGGAATTCTTACCACTAAACTACAGCCACGTCATGACAATCGGGGAACATTATCAAATATTAATTGTTGCTACTAATGCGAACCACGCAACACTTTCTCGCTATCTTGTTGCGTCATGTTGAGGTGCAGGTTCATGGTTCCAATCTGATCTTTCACTACCTGATTGCTGCAAGTTTTGCTGCCTTTGCTTCACAGATATGGGCTGCCATGGACTTGTCTTTTCTAAAGAATGACTTGCAGTGGGAGAAGTGATATCCAACACTAGGGGTCAAACTGTAGCCTCTGGATCAGAAAACACTGTAGTACAGGTACTGTACCATTTTCCAAAAAGGAAAGGATATCTCATATATATATATATATATATATATATTCAACTTATTAACATAATCAGTTTTCAATTTTATTTTTATCAAATAAACTAAAATAAAATGTGATGACAATTGCAAGAAGAGAAGCTTCTGACTAGTAGTAATTCATGCAATGTGTTGATTGGTAAAGCTACAATAAAGTACAACAACAATTTATAAGATTAAATTATTTCCTATAAAATTTGTAGTTCAAGTTGATACAGATAATAAGATGTTGAGTGAGAGTACTCAATCGACAAAGGTGATGATGTAGGATTTTCTTCTGTCTTATTGTTCTTATACTTGACTGCAAAGTTGCTCTTAGACTAATAAGGAGGACGGCAAGGAATTGGAAATGCCGGATGGTACTGAAATTGTGCTGGTGGTGGAGGTGTAGGTGGCGGTAGAGATGGAGGAGGAGTGGGAGTGGGAGTGGGAGGACAACCGTAACACAGATATGGTCCAACAGGCTGTCCATATGCAGAGCCAGGAGGCTTTCTCCTGCACTTGCACCTGCCAGGGTCGGTTGTGGCTTGGTCTAAATGATGATGTTTATGTGTGACCATGTTGTGAACCCCTCGAGCAACTCCTGGATAGCACCTTCGACGACAGCCAAAGGATAGACCATGTAACGATCAGCTGCCCGGTGAAGCTTATCAAATCCATATTCTACAGAGTCACTCACATGATCCCTGACTTGATTCCTCTTCATGGCCTCGTTGTTTCTTCTTTCTCTTTGCTTTTGGAGGCTTGTCCACGACCTTCACACTTGTAAAGAAGAACTTAACGTTCTTCACAATTAAATAAATAGAGGAAGAGGAATAAAGTTTGTGCTTGAAATCAAAGCTATATATTCCATATCACTTATCAGGAACTTACAAACGGTGTAGAGTAATTATTCCGGAATCCTGACTACATCATCATTCATCATCATCTAACATTGTCAGTAAATTAAGGGCTACCATTTGCTAAATTCCCTACCACATTTCTTTGATCTTCTGCTTGAAGCCTTGATGGTGTAAAAAATCTTTCATTAATGATTAGATAAAATCTGGCTTGGCCTAGATTTGAAAGTTCAATTGGAAACCGATTTATTTTTCTTTTCAAAAAGAATTTGCATTTAATTCTTTTGGTACTTCAGCGATATAAAGTTTCAAAGATTAGTTAGGGGAAAATTCTTTAGCAGTGGCATGTTTGTGTTTTTGTTTCTCTTCTGTCAAAGATTAGTAAGGGATTAATCAATTGAACTTTTCTTTGTTTCTACTTCGTTGTTGGACAGATAATCGTTTTACTACTGAGATTGTCCAAATAATATCTCAAAAGTAACTCGAACCAGTTGGATGTTGGACTTGATAATATTGTAAAAAAATTTATTGGAAGTTCAAACCATCACCTCTTACTAAAAGCCATGGACATATATTATTTTATTACATAAGCAGAGATCAATCCTTGACCTCTGGTTTCAATACTTTGATTTTCAGATACTAAGCTGATGTCCATGTACTACCAAAGTTACTAACTTTAATTGTGCCACTACTGTGGTTGGTCTTATTTACGGTCCGAATCTTTAACATCGGTTATCAGTATTGCCCAGGGCGGCAATAATTATAAGGATATGGTTAGTAGACATGATCATGATGGTGGGTGGTGGTGGTGGTGGAGGGGAGGAGGAGGAGGAGGAGGGAGGATAGCAATAATTGTATACATGTGGATAGGGCTGTGCCTATGGGGGTGGAGGGTGACGGCCAGAACCGGGATTTGGTGCAGGTGGCGGCGAGCGTTCAACAGGGCAAGGCGGGCACGGCGGGCACGGCGGGCACTTTTCCTTATCTCGGTCTCCAGGATCTCTATCAGTGCACCAGTCGAGAACTCCTCGTGTAAATCCCCTGATACCCTCTCCAACAATGTTGCCTCTCACCTCATTCTTGCCACCAGTATTGCTACGTTTACTCATAGTTGCAATGAGAAGCCAAAAAAGGCTACAACCAGCTCTTTTTTTTTTTCTTTGGGGGCCTGTCCACCTGCCTGATACACATGGTGAAGATGGCATGGCTTTATATAGATATAGAAAGATGAAATCATGCGAGTCTGCTTAAACGACAAGTCTTTCTGTTAATTACAACAAATTGGGGAATTTGACAATATTTCGTCAGGTGTTTTACATCAGCAATTAGCCAGAGTAAACTGATGCACTGGAATGGACCAGGGTGCCGAATCTCGGCAGCCACCCGAGGCAAATTGTTCATCTTATGGATGCTGCTTTTATCTTACATTTTCCATAGTGTGGAAGCTTTTAGCAACTCAAAATAAACAGAATTTTCTCCCATCAAATCAAAAGACAGCAAAATTAGCATCAAAGACTCAAATCTTATCCTCTTTAATGGGTATAAATTCTGCTGCATGCTTCTCATTTACGCAGGTTTCAGAGTAACATATAACATATATTGCAAGAATCTGCCAAAGTAGAATTCATGTTTTGCAATGAGAAAAGGATATAAAAAAGTGCATTCAATACTAGTGCATTCCCTTTGCAGAAATCCTTATCTATTGTTAATTTGTATGGAAAAGCTAGCACGTGACAAAAAAGATGCTGACAGCGGACATAATGAAGGAATATCCCTATCCCCACTGCGTATTAACACAGAAGCTATGCGCATTGAAGCAGATACATTCATTATTGCTGCTTTTAATGGTGCTGTAAATGGAGTTGCTCCAGTGGTGCTCAGTTGGCTCAAGTAGGAAAGACACCGTGCTAATTAACTGATGCACCAGCACCCCATCGAATTCCACCGATTATGTAGCTGGCAGCTGCCTCTCCACCTGATCTACTGCTGCAGTCTCAGAACTATCCAGGACATCCAATTCCTGGGTTCCCCTCTCCCTGTCACTGTACAAAATGGTCACTTGGTAACCAAAAGATGTAAAATGTTAAGAATATGGACATTAATGATACTGGCCCGCATAACGATGTATTCAAAATTTTCATCTTTTTTTCTTTTATATATATTTGAAGTTAGTAGATATTGAAACGTGATCATGAAAATTAAGAATCTTATGCTGCTAGAATTTGCAACTTCGGTGGTGTTTGATCTTTCACTCGACCCGTAAAATATTATTCATTTTAATTTAAAAATCTTATAATTTTATCTCACAAAAAATATTTTATTAATTTAAGTTTAAATCTTTATATATATCATAATAAAACTTCATATTATTTTGATATGAAATTAAAACGTTACAAATTTCTTCAATTAAAACTTGATATCCTTATTAAGTCTAACATAAAACACACAAATTTATCAAATAACATCAAATATTAAGTAAATCTCATAAAATGCACATAAATCTATCGAATCACATCAAACATTATATAAATCTAATACAAAATACATATAAATAATAAGATCACACCAGACGTTGAGACTCTAAAAATGAGTCTCATCGTGTAATATTTAATATTTTTTATTTATATTATATTTATATTGTATTATATTTTAAATGATCAAATTTACAAGTAATTTTATTTTCAGATTGCGATTGGAGTAAAGTTTTCAGACAAGCTTAGCTGAAAATGGGCCACACAAGCTTTGCCTTTGGTCTGCAACAGCAGCTAATTAGGTCAGAAATAAAGACAAGGGAAAGAAAATACTAGAAATTGAGTGGATAATGATAAAGAAACTTTAGGTAAAAAAACAAATAAAGTAATGATAATCCCTATGAGTGCCCCCAAAATAAAGTTGATGTTGTACTGAGATTGCTGGGGTTATTTTATTTAATTTGTTTTGGTATCACTTGTTTTAGTGTTTTTCTTTTCGCAGTAAGGAGCGGCATTGGGAGGGAGGGAGAGATGTATCATTGTTCATTTCCCTTGTTTAGAAAACAGTTTTACGGATGCTAATAGATTGGATGGAGGTAAATTTTTACTCATTTCAAATTTAATTCAATTTTATAAATTTAATATTTGAATTTGATATTAAAATATTATTTTTATATTTAAATTCATTTTAATTTATATATATTTAAATTTGTAAATCTAAAATTAATTAAATATAAAATATTATTTTTTAAATATAAATATAAAATTATATATATAAACATAAATATAAATTTATATAAATAGTAAAAAATAATATATACAACATCCTTTTACCTCCCACTCTGTACATATACAAAATATTCAACAAACTTTACAATCCACAATGCCGAAAATATAACAAGAGCTCAAAAACGGTAAATTCAATTCTTTTTCACTAATGTCAAATTTCTCTGTATATCCTGGAGATAATGCAAGACAAAATTGATTAATCATGTCAAAAAGATAGCCTTTTTCCCTTTTCTCCTTCAGACCAACCTCCATTTACTCTTAGTTGGTGATAAAAAATACTTCTTTATACCATATTAAGTTACTAATCCAACAAAATAATGGTAAAAGCTGCACCCAGAAACATATATGCAAAGAATCCTGGACCTCACCAAATTTAGAAAAGCAACGATCAGATTTTATTTTGAAAAGAACGGGTATGAAAGTGAAGTTATAATTTTAAAACTTCAAAAGATTATACTAAAATCATAGTATAAATGAAAAGAAACAGGTTCCAATTTCAGTCCCATAGATAAAATCATACAGTGCAAAAGAAACAAACTGAAAGAAGATAACCGGATATTCAAGAAAAATCAATAATGTAGAGAATTAGTCACCTGAGTGTTTGAGCAGACACCAGCCAGGAGATTTGTTTAGCTTCAAGAAACCAAATAAAAAGGGGAAGATGATTGAAAGAGCTTCAGTTCAGTTGCAGGGAAAGCAGCAATCGATGACACTTTGGTTAGAGGGGTTTAAAGCACCTAGGGCTTTTTTTCTTTACTCTTTACCGTTGCTACTCGTTAATTTATGGGTTGGATTTTGACAAGAGTAGGCCTAGCCTCCATTGACTGGGCTTAATATGGGGTAGCCGGTCCTATCAACATCGCTAGAAGTTGAATGAGCTTGAGTTTTCTGGCGCAATTGAAAAAAGACAGTAACTGGGATTCCAGCCCAGGTCTCCACGGCCACAACGTGGAATTCTTACCACTAAACTACAGCCACGTCATGACAATCGGGGAACATTATCAAATATTAATTGTTGCTACTAATGCGAACCACGCAACACTTTCTCGCTATCTTGTTGCGTCATGTTGAGGTGCAGGTTCATGGTTCCAATCTGATCTTTCACTACCTGATTGCGGCAAGTTTTGCTGCCTTTGCTTCACAGATATGGGCTGCCATGGACTTGTCTTTTCTAAAGAATGACTTGCAGTGGGAGAAGTGATATCCAACACTAGGGGTCAAACTGTGGCCTCTGGGTCAGAAAACACTGTAGTACAGGTACTGTACCATTTTCCAAAGAGGAAAGGATATCTCATATATATATATATATATATATATATATATATATATTCAACTTATTAACATAATCAGTTTTCAATTTTATTTTTATCAAATAAACTAAAATAAAATGCGATGACAATTGCAAGAAGAGAAGCTTCTGACTAGTAGTAATTCATGCAATGTGTTGATTGGTAAAGCTACAATAAAGTACAACAACAATTTATAAGATTAAATTATTTCCTATAAAATTTGTAGTTCAAGTTGATACAGATAATAAGATGTTGAGTGAGAGTACTCAATCGACAAAGGTGATGATGTAGGATTTTCTTCTGTCTTATTGTTCTTATACTTGACTGCAAAGTTGCTCTTAGACTAACAAGGAGGACGGCAAGGAATTGGAAATGCCGGATGGTACTGAAATTGTGCTGGTGGTGGAGGTGTGGGTGGCGGTAGAGATGGAGGAGGGGTGGGAGTGGGAGTGGGAGGACAACCGTAACACAGATATGGTCCAACAGGCTGTCCATATGCAGAGCCAGGAGGCTTTCTCCTGCACTTGCACCTGCCAGGGTCGGTTGTGGCTTGGTCTAAATGATGATGTTTATGTGTGACCATGTTGTGAACCCCTCGAGCAACTCCCTGGATAGCACCTTCGACGACAGCCAAAGGATAGACCATGTAACGATCAGCTGCCCGGTGAAGCTTATCAAATCCATATTCTACAGAGTCACTCACATGATCCCTGACTTGATTCCTCTTCATGGCCTCGTTGTTTCTTCTTTCTCTTTGCTTTTGGAGGCTTGTCCACGACCTTCACACTTGTAAAGAGGAACTTAACGTTCTTCACAATTAAATAAATAGAGGAAGAGGAATAAAGTTTGTGATTGAAATCAAAGCTATATATTCCATATCACTTATCAGGAACTTACAAACGGTGTAGAGTAATTATTCCGGAATCCTGACTACATCATCATTCATCATCATCTAACTTTGTCAGTAAATTAAGGGCTACCATTTGCTAAATTCCCTACTACATTTCTTTGATCTTCTGCTTGAAGCCTTGATGGTGTAAAAAATCTTTCATTAATGATTAGATAAAATCTGGCTTGGCCTAGATTTGAAAGTTCAATTGGAAACCGATTTATTTTTCTTTTCAAAAAGAATTTGCATTTAATTCTTTTGGTACTTCAGCGATATAAAGTTTCAAAGATTAGTTAGGGGAAAATTCTTTAGCAGTGGCATGTTTGTGTTTTTGTTTCTCTTCTGTCAAAGATTAGTAAGGGATTAATCAATTGAACTTTTCTTTGTTTCTACTTCGTTGTTGGACAGATAATCGTTTTACTACTGAGATTGTCCAAATAATATCTCAAAAGTAACTCGAACCAGTTGGATGTTGGACTTGATAATATTGTAAAACAAATTTATTGGAAGTTCAAACCATCACCTCTTACTAAAAGCCATTGATATATATTATTTTCTTACATAAGCGGAGATCAATCCTTGACCTCTGGTTTCAATACTTTGATTTTCAGATACTAAGCTGATGTCCATGTACTACCAAAGTTACTAACTTTAATTGTGCCATTACTGTGGTTGGTCTTATTTACGGTCCGAATCTTTAACATCCGAATCTTTTGGTTATCAGTATTGCCCAGGGCGGCAATAATTATAAGGATATGGTATAGGTAGACATGATCATGATGGTGGTGGTGGTGGTGGTGGTGGTGGAGGAGGAGGAGGAGGAGGAGGAGGAGGATAGCAATAATTGTATACATGTGGATAGGGCTGTGCCTATGGGGGTGGAGGGTGACGGCCAGAACCGGGATTTGGTGCAGGTGGCGGCGAGCGTTCAACAGGGCAAGGCGGGCACGGCGGGCACGGCGGGCACTTTTCCTTATCTCGGTCTCCAGGATCTCTATCAGTGCACCAGTCGAGAACTCCTCGTGTAAATCCCCTGATACCCTCTCCAACAATGTTGCCTCTCACCTCATTCTTGCCACCAGTATTGCTACGTTTACTCATAGTTGCAATGAGAAGCCAAAAAAGGCTACAACCAGCTCTTTTTTTTTTTCTTTGGGGGCCTGTCCACCTGCCTGATACACATGGTGAAGATGGCATGGCTTTATATAGATATAGAAAGATGAAATCATGCGAGTCTGCTTAAACGACAAGTCTTTCTGTTAATTACAACAAATTGGGGAATTTGACAATATTTCGTCAGGTGTTTTACATCAGCAATTAGCCAGAGTAAACTGATGCACTGGAATGGACCAGGGTGCCGAATCTCGGCAGCCACCCGAGGCAAATTGTTCGTCTTATGGATGCTGCTTTTATCTTACATTTTCCATAGTGTGGAAGCTTTTAGCAACTCAAAATAAACAGAATTTTCTCCCATCAAATCAAAAGACAGCAAAATTAGCATCAAAGACTCAAATCTTATCCTCTTTAATGGGTATAAATTCTGCTGCATGCTTCTCATTTACGCAGGTTTCAGAGTAACATATAACATATATTGCAAGAATCTGCCAAAGTAGAATTCATGTTTTGCAATGAGAAAAGGATATAAAAAAGTGCATTCAATACTAGTGCATTCCCTTTGCAGAAATCCTTATCTATTGTTAATTTGTATGGAAAGCTAGCACGTGACAAAAAAGATGCTGACAGCGGACATAATGAAGGAATATCCCTATCCCCACTGCGTATTAACACAGAAGCTATGCGCATTGAAGCAGATACATTCATTATTGCTGCTTTTAATGGTGCTGTAAATGGAGTTGCTCCAGTGGTGCTCAGTTGGCTCAAGTAGTGAAAGACACCGTGCTATTAACTGATGCACCAGCACCCCATCGAATTCCACCGATTATGTAGCTGGCAGCTGCCTCTCCACCTGATCTACTGCTGCAGTCTCAGAACTATCCAGGACATCCAATTCCTGGGTTCCCCTCTCCCTGTCACTGTACAAAATGGTCACTTGGTAACCAAAAGATGTAAAATGTTAAGAATATGGACATTAATGATACTGGCCCGCATAACGATGTATTCAAAATTTTCATCTTTTTTTCTTTTATATATATTTGAAGTTAGTAGATATTGAAACGTGATCATGAAAATTAAGAATCTTATGCTGTTAGAATTTGCAACTTCGGTGGTGTTTGATCTTTCACTCGACCCGTAAAATATTATTCATTTTAATTTAAAAATCTTATAATTTTATCTCACAAAAAATATTTTATTAATTTAAGTTTAAATCTATATATATATCATAATAAAACTTCATATTATTTTGATATGAAATTAAAACGTTACAAATTTCTTCAATTAAAACTTGATATCCTTATTAAGTCTAACATAAAACACACAAATTTATCAAATAACATCAAATATTAAGTAAATCTCATAAAATGCACATAAATCTATCGAATCACATCAAACATTATATAAATCTAATACAAAATACATATAAATAATAAGATCACACCAGACGTTGAGACTCTAAAAATGAGTCTCATCGTGTAATATTTAATATTTTTTATTTATATTATATTTATATTGTATTATATTTTAAATGATCAAATTTACAAGTAATTTTATTTTCAGTGAAGTTTTCAGACAAGCTTAGCTGAAAATGGGCCACACAAGCTTTGCCTTTGTCTACAAAAGCTGCTAATTAGGTCAGAAATAAAGACAAGGGAAAGAAAATACTAGAAATTGAGTGGATAATGATAAAGAAACTTTAAAAAACAAATAAAGTAATGATAATCCCTATGAGTGCCCCCAAAATAAAGTTGATGTTGTACTGAGATTGCTGGGGTTATTTTATTTAATTTGTTTTGGTATCACTTGTTTTAGTGTTTTTCTTTTCGCAGTAAGGAGCGGCATTGGGAGGGAGGGAGAGATGTATCATTGTTCATTTCCCTTGTTTAGAAAACAGTTTTACGGATGCTAATAGATTGGATGGAGGTAAATTTTTACTCATTTCAAATTTAATTCAATTTTATAAATTTAATATTTGAATCATTTGATTTGATATTAAAATATTATTTTTATATTTAAATTTATTTTGATTTATATATATTTAAATTTATAGATATAAAACTAATTAAATACTAATTTTTTAAATATAAATATAAAATTATATAAATAATAAAAATAATATATATTAGGTTAGATCAAAATGCTTTTACATAAAACCTGATTGCAATTTTTTTAAAAAATATTTTTACCCAAAATTCGATTTAAAAAAATAATTGATTTTATATGACCTAATCGGATTGAAACTCGAATTAAATTGCAAACTCTATACAGTTTTAATGGAAATGAAAGGGAAAACTTCACTTTGTACACCATAACTAAAATCAGCAGTATATATTTGGAAGAGAAACATTTTTCATTGAAAACATGTATCTGTAGATGAACATGCTATCTGATTAATCATGCACTTTTCCTGCTTTTAGCTCTTCTAACCAATAAAGTCAGTAAAACAAGGGTAATTTTAGGCCTAAAAGAAGCTCTAAACGTGATTCTGCCTAAACTAATGTTAAATTCGTGATTTAGAAGAGTTCATTAGATGATAAGGGTACATTTGAATAGTTAAAAACTTGATTTTGATGATATTAAAATAATAATAATAATAATTATTATTATAATTATGATTAAAAAAATTTAATAAAAATTTATGTTGAATGAATGTTATTAAAATTGATATTTAAATTTAATTGATGATGATTTAAACTTAATTGCACTTTCAAATGTAATTGCATCCAAACGCCCACTAAGATGAGATGGAACTCCTATCTTGGTACGAGTACCATTTCGTGTATCATGTAGGCATTAAGAATTGTTGTCATCCCAGAAAGCAGGGAAAGCATGAGATGACATCAGTTATTTTTTTCTTGCGCTACAACTTCTTACCTCCAACTGATATCCTTAATGTAGAAAAATTAATCTCCTAAATCAAGGAAAAAAAGGACAGTCAGAACCAGCTGTGACAAACAGTTTGCGGCAAACATTTCATTTGACCAAAACCAACAACTGCGATAGGGTTCACACACGTTTCCCAACCACTCACCGAACCTTCAATAGATTGCTCTCATTTTACTAATCCTTGAATAGATTGATAAAGGATAAACCATCCTTTTTTTCTTTTGATTTTTTATTTTTTCAAGATAAGCCTTTGTTTTGTTTATATATGCCCCTATGCCAATCCCCAAGCTCTCCACTTTCCAACTCTTCAGCAGCTTTCTTCTCTTTGTTTTCTTCGATTTCTGTTCCTGTTTGAACTATGATTCTGCCTTCTTATTAGCAATAAAAATTTCTTCATCAGGTTTATGATATGAACTGCCTTTCATCATTCTCACTAGTTCTTTTCTTTCATTCAGTGTCAGTTGTCATTCTTCATTGGTTTTATGTCTTCTCATTGATCTTGGGTTGATTTTCTTTTCTTAAGAGATTTTTTCATTATCAAGCAAATTTAGGTTGTCCTGACCTTGTTCTTATTAGATTTTACTGAGTTTTAAACCCAAATTCTAAGGCTTCTATCCGAGAAAATGTCGAATACTCAGCCACAGATGATCTCAGGGTCCGAGGTAGATGGTCGAGTCATGATCATGGATGAAAAGAAGAGAAAGAGGATGCTATCCAACCGAGAATCTGCGAGACGATCACGAATGAAGAAGCAAAAGCTTTTGGAGGATTTGGTTAGTGAGGTTGCTTCTTTGAAGGTAGAAATTCGGAATAACACCAACGAATATGAAGTTTTGATGCAAAAGACTCTTATTTTAGAGTCAGATAACAGTCTTTTGAAGGCTGAACAGATGGAATTGGCTCAATATTTAAGGAATCTGGAACTGATGCAAAATCAAATGGAACTATTGCAAATGAACTTGATGCAGCCTGGTGGCTTTGCTGATCAAATCCTTGACATCAAGGAACCCCATGTCGGGTCTTGGCAATGCCATGGTTCAACGCAACCTGCCATCATGGCTTCTGCTGGAATGTTCAACTATTAAATTTTGTTCCAAGATTTAGATTTGTCATTGCACAAAATGAATAGATTGAAATTGGTTCTCTTTTGTAAATACATGTAATAAATAATTGGTTAGTGTTTAAATTTCCTTGAAATGTTTGGATTATATTTACCATTGGGGAAATCCAATATTCACCATGTACTAGTCCTGAAGCAAGCCTGATTCTGGGAGGCGCTCTTCAATCATTGAAATGTTCCAATTCAAAATCAAACAGGATTCTTTGTAGTTTCCTCTGCTAGGAATGGTCTCCCTGACTCAAGTGTGACCAGGGTCTCATCTCCAAAACATAAGTCAGATTTTCGCTTGATAGCTTCAATGGCATCAAAAAAATGTTGCTGGTATATATATAGTACATCAAGCTGCAAGCTTAACATTTGTGCAGAGTCAATCAAAGAAACAATTATTCAACTTCAAAAAGTCTAGTTGAGAGATTCTCCCTTTCTTGCCAATGAAGGAAAGTTGGATTTGTAAAACTTGCAGACATATCTGAAATCTTCAGCTTCGACAAGTCCACAACCATTAAAATCAGACAAGCTTTTGCTGTTTTTCAGAATAATCTTTTTTAATGGAAAACTCTTGGATGTCAAGTCAAAAGTATGATGCCGTTCAAGGTGAGAAAGATTTCTCACCCATGATCAGATTCTTGAAACCATGATATACATATATAGCAAACTATAGATTGATCAACAGATTGTAGATATAGCATAAAACTATTCAGACCTTGACCAATGCTATAATGCTTATGATATTGTGCAAGCATGCAGCCAACTCTTACAGATATTCTTTTCTATTCAACACTCCTCAAGTAATAATTGGCAGCTTCAATTTAGATGAGGAAGGAGAGCTACCTACTCAACTCTTATCAGGTTTTTCAGAGTTCAGGTTCCTCCATAGCTCATATTCCAGAAATCAACTTCATGTTCAAGAACACGCAAGAATGCCACTTCAGCTTTTGTTTTCACATCATCAGAAGCCTTCTGTAGCTGTCGATCAGCAATTTTTCTGAGAGAATTACAGTATAGACCAGAACCTTCATTGCCCCATCTTTGGCAAGTTTCCTGAAGCTCCGCTGGGGTTTTACAACCATCTTCCAAGCAGTGTGCAAAACTCTCCTGATATACAGCTTCAATTGCCCAAAAAGCTACGATTGCAACAGTATATTTGACTTCTGGGTTCATCAAGCTCTCCAGAAATCTGAAATAGCATGTAAATAACATTTTTGCTTTAAGAATTTAATCATGAACATATTTAGGCTCAAGGCAATGGGACCATGTGTAATGATCAAGAAGATAATTTCCAAGAGCCTATTCAAGATGTCCTCATGCATGAAAAGGAAGAAACAAAAAATTTAGATTGGAACTTTAACTAAATCATTCTTTTTTCAAACCCTATAATAATTCTATCTGATTGGTCTAAATGAACCAGAAACATTCAGCACCCCAATTAAAGCTAAGACCTAAACAGAATGAACATATATGCAGAGCTCAATGGACACCTACAACTTTAACATGGGCTAAATAACAGCGATTAAATCACTAAAGAAGATGAGGTTCTCTCCTCCCAACTTCGAATTGTGTTTCAGTTTCAGACACAGACAGAACTAATAAAATTACCAGAACTTAATCCAGTATGTCTCAAAACAACTGCTGTGACAACCCCTTATTTAGTATAACATCTAAAGTGTGACAATGTGAGATGCCTCATTTAGAAATGTTGAGTTCTTGATTCACTAAGTTCAAATCTAATGTCTGGTAGGCTTTGAGTTACTATTTTGTAAATATAAGAGTAGAGCTATAATACAAGGCTTGGCCTGAGCATTTTTGATAACCAAACAAGCCTAGCTTATAGTGAGGAATGTTCCATAATCAAGCTACACCTAGACACATATTCTATCGATCCGAACTTGAGCTTAAAATGACACTGACTTGACAGATTTGAGTTACACAAACTTGACGTATTCAATGAATGCTCGTTTGAGCTTGAGTTTGAATTTTATCAGGCCTGACTAGTATGTCAAGCTCATGTCAATATAAAGCTCAAGCTTCTTTAGGATACATCAACCAAGCTTGAATCAGTCTCATGTGAAGTTCAACCCTTCTTTCAGATTAATCAAGCCAAGCTCAAAAAACGGAGTTTGGCTGAGCTAGACTTACTACAGGCTTATGTTGGAGATTAGGATACCTTATTACCAAGTGTCAACTTCTTGTTGACTTTGAAACTAGTTGAATAAGCAGTTGGAAATTAAGAAGAATACTATAAGAAAATTTCCCATAAAATAAGTTTTGAATCTAAGTAGTTTTAAAGCTTAAATATGTAACTCAAAATTATGTATCTGAATGCTTTCAAGGGACTAAAAGTGTGAGAAAACATTAATTTACCGCTAGTTGTAATATTGTAATCTGTATATTTATATTTATATCTCTAGAATTAAGTATCTGTATCCTTAGAATTAAGGACAGAAAATTAGGATAGACAATCTCTCAATTATAGGATTAGTTTTAGAAAGATTTAGTTTCTTAGTTTATCCACTAGTTAGTTGTATATAAACCTAAGGTGCTTGTATAATTCTTTATGAGCAGTTTTTTCAATATACATTCAATTTTACTCTTAGTTTTCCATACAGTTTTATTTCTTAATTTTTTCACATGATATCAAAGCTTTAGGCTCTTCTTGGGAAATTTTTTTTTTTCAACCTTCATTGCCTAATTCTATTTCAGGCCTTTATAGTCAAATTTTGTTAAATCTTTCATTTTTATTTTTTCCTTCTTTGGCCTTCATTGCCTAAAATCATCTCTGATTAAACTTTTACTATACGATTCGTTTCAGTTCTGAGAAAGATAACCATGCTAGAGACTGCAGAATCTGCCATTATTACCTGATTTGAGGAAGTGACAACTGGTAAAACTACTAGAGTATTACAGAAGTCTCGAAAACAAAGAAAGTTGGATAAAGAAGAGATTGAGAAATTAAGAAACCTATTGAAACTCTTGAAAAGCCTACTGAAGTATGTTCTATGGGTAAGGTCTCTAGTTCAAGTAAAGCTTCTGGTTCTCATGGATTAAATATCTCGGTTAAGCCTATTACAAGTTCTTGGGTCATTGACATAAGAGCCAAAAACCATATGACACATTCCTCATAGAAGTTTAATACATATACCCTATGTTCTAGTAATAAAAAAATTGTTGTTGCAGAAAGTCCACTGACTATAGTGGCAGGATTAGGAAATATTCAAATTAATCCCTCATTTGCTCTTAAAAATGTTCTTCATGTTCCTGAATTGTCTACTAATTTGATATCTATACAAAAACTCACCAGAGACTTGAATTGCAAAGTGACCTTTTATCCCTCCTATTCTGAATTTCATGACCAAAGTTCGGGGAAGAAAATTGGACTTGCTAAGGAGAAAGATGGAACATACTATCTTAAGATATTAAACAACACAAGTAATATCAAGAATAGTCTACCTTTTTCATATCTTTCTGAAAAATCTCCCAATAAAGACAAAATTTGGCTTTATCATTTTCGTCTTGGACATCCTTCTTTTGGAACTTTGAAAAACATGTTTCCTTCTTTGTTCAAAGGATTAAATGTTGAAAATTTTCATTGTTGTGAACTTGCAAAACATAGACGTTTCTTTTTCAGTTAGCAATAAAAGAAGTTCTACTCCTTTTTACTTGATTCATAGTGACATATAACATCCCTCTACAATTCCTAATATTTCTAATGCAAGGTGGTTTGTTTCTTTCATAAATGATGTCTCTCGGATATTTTTACTTAAATCCAAATTAGATGTGAATAGTATGTTTTTAAGCTTTCAAAACATAATCCAAAATCAATTTGGAGTGAAAATCAAGAGATTTAGGTATGATAATGCAAGAAACTTTCAATCAAAATTTATCTACCTATTTCCAAAAGGAAGGGATTATCCATGAGATATCTTGTGTTAATACACCATAGCAGAATGGAGTGGTAGAGAGAAAAAATAGTCATTTACTAGCCACAACCTGGGCTTAACTTTTTCAAGCAAATGTACCCAAATCCTACTGGGGTAAAACTATTCTCACTGTCACACATATTATAAATAGGTTACCTTCAAGGGTTTTGGGATTTAAAACTTCTATGAAACTACTCTCACAATTCTATCCCAACTTTAATACCACAAACAACCTCACACCTAGGATATTTGGTTGTACATCATTTGTTCATGTTCACAATCATAATAGGAGAAAGTTGGATCCTAGAGCAATTAATAGCTTTTTTTTGGGGTATTCATTAACTCAGAAAGGGTATAAGTGCTATCATACTCTGACTAAAAAATTCTATGTGTCTGTAGATGTCACTTTTGAAGAAAGTAAACCATTTTCTACTCAACCTTATCTTCAAGGGAGACTTCATTCATGAAAAATAAGGATAAAGACTTCTTTTTACTTGATTTGTCCTCCTCTTCAACATTTTCACCCATTAATTCTTCTTAGTCTAAACTTGTTTCTTTTGAGTCCAAGTCAAACACTGAATTTGAGCCTGAACCCATTCCAAACACAAAAGATGTGACAAAGGATAATATTTTTCTTGATTCTATGAAGGAATTACGGGTGTAGTCAAGAAGGAAAGTTCTAGATCCTGAACCAATGCAAGTCTAAAAACCTAATTCTAACTCTGGAAATGAGGTAACTATTTAAGAAAGGAACTAAAGAATTTACTGAGCATCCACTATACCCAATCTCTAACTTTGTGTCATTTGAAAAATTTTCACTATCCCACAAAAATTTCCTTGTGAGCCTAAACACTATTTTTATTCCAACTACATTATTCGAGGCATTATCCAATGAGAAATGGAAACAAGCCATGAAAATAGAAATGGAGGCCTTAGAGAAAAATAAGACATGGGAATTGGTAGAGTTGCTTAAAGAAAAAAATCCAATTTTAGGTGTAAATGGGTTTTCATTGTAAAATACAAGACGGATGGTACTGTTGAAAGGTACAAAGCCAGATTGGTGGCTAAGGGCTACACTCAAACTTATGGAGTGGATTATCATGAAACTTTTGCTCTAGTTACTAAGATGAATACAGTTAGGATTTAGTTATCATTCGCTGCAAATTACAATTGGCAACTTCAACAATTTGATGTAAAGAATGCTTTTCTACATGGTGATTTGGAAGAAGAAATATATATGAAGGTTCCACTGAGATTTGAAGGTCATCTAGAAGCAAACAAAGTATGCAAGCTGAAAAAGGCTTTATATGGCCTTAAATAGTCTCCTAGGGCTTGGTTCGAGATATTTGCCAAAGTAATGCTAGCAATGTGATATAAGCAGAGTCAAGGAGATCACACATTGTTTATCAAGCACTCTGATTCAGGTAGAGTCATAGTTCTATTAGTGTTTATTGATGATATAATTGTAACCAGAGATGATGAAAAAGAGAGAATCTCTAAAACAGTATTTGGCTAGAGAATTTGAGATAAAAGAGCTAGGGAGATTGAAATACTTCCTAGGAATTGAAGTAGCTCACTCACGGTATGGTATTTTCATCTCACAACAAAAACATGTGATGGATCTTTTGAAGGAAACTGAGAAGCTTGCATGTAAACCTACAAATATCCCTATAAATCCTAATCATAAACTTAGAGAAACTAATGAAGATGTTGCTGTAGACAGAAAGATATACCAAAGATTAGTTGGAAGACTCATTTATCTATCACATACTAGACCTGATATAGGATATACTATGAGGGTGATAAGTTAATTTATGCATAGTCCTAAAGAAGTGCACCTATAGGATGTCTACCATTTATTGCACTATTTGAAGGCCAATCCTGGGAGAGGTATTTTGTTTAAAAGAAATTCAGGGTTGGTTTTAGAGGCATACACAGATGTGAATTATGTAGGTTCAGAAACTGATAGAAGATTCACCTCAAGCTATTGCACTTTCTTAGGTGGTAATCTTGTGACTTGGTGGAGTAAAATGCAGAATGTGGTGGCAAGATCAAGTGCTAAAGCAGAGTTCAGAGCAATGACTCAAGAAATAAACTACTAAAGTTAAAGATTATCCTAAAAGACTTGAAGATCAAGTGGAATGAACCAATAAGACTCTACTGTGATAACAAATCTACAATAAACATTACACACAATCCTGTGCAACATGACAGAACAAAACACATTGAAGTAGATCGGCATTTCATAAAGGAGAAACTAGATAGTAGGTTGATTTGTACACCGTATGTATTAACCAAGGATCAATTTGTAGATGTGTTGACTAAAGGTCTCAATAGTGCAACATTTCAAGAAATTATTTTCAAGCTGGGAATGAAAAACACCTATTCACTAGCTTGAAGAGGAGTGTAGGAAAACACTTTTTTACAGTCGATTGTAATATTGTAATCTGTATGTTTATATCTGTATCTCTAGAATTAAGAACAGAAAATTAAGATAGACAATCCCTCAATTATAGGGTCAGTTTTAGAAAGATTTAATTTTCTAGTTTACCCATTAGTTAGTTATATATAAACCTAAGGTGCTTGTATAATTCTTTATGAGTAGTTTTTTCAATATACATTCAGTTTTACTCTTAGTTTTTCACACAATTTTATTTCTTTTATAAACAGTTTTTGCAATATACATTCAATTTTACTCTTAGTTTTTCACACAGTTTTATTTCTTAATTTTTCCACAAAAATTAACTTCTGCCAAAGATAATTTTCATGGCATAAATCCTCCAAATCAATCATATTAAACCTGAATGTATCTTCAAAGTTCTGAATAGATAGTTCTGTAATGGTGACCATCAGTTTGAGGTAGGAAAAAAGTATTGGATTCAATCAAGAAACCATTTCTACCTAGGCACGACACCAAAGATGAACAATAAAAAAAGATGTCCATTTGATTGATGATCCCTAGGAGTCTATACAAGGCTATAAAGGATAAGAAGTTGAGACCTAACAATGAGGTCTCCTAATCACCCATATTCATGAAAAAATGCCATTAAACCCAGGCTAAATTGTAATTTAGACCTCGTATCCATTGGAATTTTTACTTTAGCATCTCAAAGAAAGGAATACGATCGTCACATATACATATTTCCATGGGCTCTACAGGCACTAAAATTAAAAAAAAAAAAAAAAAAAGAGGTTCAAAGCAATCAAAACAACAAGAATAATCAAAAGCAAAAACTCTTAGTAAATAGCATAACTAGAGAGGTTACCGGCAATATTCTTGATTTGCTTTCTGAGAAACAATATTTGAGAGGTGAACATCCCACTTGGAGGCTTCTTTCTTGAACCATGCAATCTCATCATTTAAAGCAGCCATACCTCCTAATATCACTTCCATATCATTACTACTATCATCTGATCCTTTCCAAGCGTTAGTCAACACACTTGATACAAGCGGCACAAAAGCTCTAACAAATATGTAATCCTGCCCCTGAATTACAATTATATAAATTTTTCTTCAGAAAGTTTTTGACTTTTGACACCATGTCAGTTCATAACATCAAGCAACAAAATTTGAATTAAAAGCAATCAAATTTTCATCTAAAAAAGCAATCTTTTCCACAGCTAGCATCTAATTTACACCTAAGTGGTAAGATATTGGTCCAAAAAGATCATATTTGAAGATGGAAATAGCAAGAATTAAGAATCAGAAAATACCAGCCATGTTTTAAAAGAGGAAAGATCAATGTTCCCATCTCGAATGCTGCGGATAAAAGGGTGTCTAGTAGCTCCAACATACAACAAACTGTGCTTTCTCAGCCATCTCTCAGTCATGGTGATCTTCTCCTCCATTTTTTGCCACTCAAACTTCTCTTTGAGACTTTGGAGTTCCGGAAATTAGTTTCCAGTTTCTCAGTACTAAAATGATGTTTCTCCTTGAACTGTCTTTCACTGTCGCTCGCTTATCTGTTCCCACAAGTGTCGAACATGCAAGTCAAAGGCCGTGCATATGTCAACCCTGATCTGCACGTGTAAACATCCTGGATCCAGTCTGGGCCGTGCTGGCCTCCTGGGGTTGCGGTCCTGTGGATTGCACACACATGTGCTTTTGGTGATTCGATGACCTGTCCAGGCAAAGCCTAGTTTATTGGGCTCTATAGCCAGGCCCTTAACTTAGGAAAAATTCGTAGATGGATGAGGGGGTTGGTGTGGCTAATGATTTGGGTTAAATTCAGCCGGTTCATAGAGTTGAGTTTGACAAAACAAAATGTAGAATACGGACTCAATCGTCCACGTATTTCAGAAAAATGGGAGTTCTTTGATGTGTTGATTTTCAAATCAATAAGGAATTGAATTCATACTTTTATCTTTCTACAATTTCGGTAGCTAGAAACATTTAGTTTCTTAACAGATTCAAGTTGTTGTCAGAGTAAATTTTTTCAAGTTTCAACTCTTTATCTAAATTGATGTGGAGCTATTATACGTTGGTTTTGTCAACATCAGATTCAAGGATTCATGTGTTTTGAGCAAGCAGAGACTATAAATTATTGTTGAGCCTATACATAGTCTTTGAGCCTAATGAAAATATGTTACTATGCCACCAGGCGCTCAGAAAACTATTCCAGTATATATATTCTAATGATAGGTAAAGCCAAATGGAAGAGAAAAGCATCATACGAGGAGCAGACAACTCAATACAACTATGAATAGATTTGCATCCATCCAAATTAGAATATAAAATTATAAGGAAAAGCAGAAACAACATTAAGAACACATGGATAGCAAATTGAGAGGTCTAGTTTCTGTGACAACATGGAATGTCGACATTATGTACTCATAAGGTTGACAGATTCGGTGGCCTTTTTATGTTGATTAGTGGAAAAGTAATGCTATTATCAGATTATCGGTATAATTGCCTTATCGTTTAGCTGCTGCTGCATTGTCAGCTTGAACTTTACTCGCTATTTCGCATCGGTAATCTGTTCTGCAGAAGTTCTATACTGTAACTAATTATCAAATAGATGAGGACATGGCTATAACAGGTATTATATGGAATGTTTAAAACTTTAGTGCAGAAATGGCTAAATGGTAGGATTTCTATTAATCTATGATTGACAGGTACATTGTAATTAGTGGTAAGAGGAGTCAGATTCAAACCCCCAAAAAAATGAATTTAGAGTCATGCCTCAATTCTCATAGTGACTGATGACAGTAATCATCACTTTACAATGACTTTGGATTTCTACTCAGCTCCTCTTGATGAAAAAACTTGCTATCGTGTCCTCTGCTGCACTCTTGAACAAATCTTGCTTCTGGTATCCTAGCTAAAAAACAAAAAACTTTCACTGATAACCTCTATAAAGTATTTTAAGTTCCAAGCATATTTTAAATCCAACTTTTCTGCGACAGAATCTGGTTTCTTTTATCATTCTTGTGTCATTTTAGTGGCAGCCATTGTGATTCCCCTTATGCTACAGTATTGTATGAGTACTGGTTTTTTTATCATCAGAATGTGCAGCCTTATGATTGGCCAGTAATGCAGTGGAGATAAATCACCTAATGGGAGAGGATACAGCCTCCCATGCGCATATATAAGTCCTCGAAGGAGATTGATCATTGGCTTAGCAGGAGTGTATTGCTTCTTCTTGGATACTCTCTAAAATCTTATAGTGAGATTATGGAATCTCATCAGGAGCTATTGGTAGCTCATATCACTGATCTCTATGAGAAAATTTCAAGGTTAGAAGACCTCAGTCCCTCCAATCATGTCAATACCCTCTTCACCAAACTTGTACTTACATGTCTGTCACCAACTGACATTGATGTCACTAGGTTGAGTGAAAGAGTTCTAGAAATGAGATGCAGGCTGATTAAACTTTGTGGGGAAGCTGAGGGAATCTTAGAGGGACATTTCTCTAATCTCATAGGATCTCATGCAAATCCACTTGACCATACCAGTATCTTCCCTTACTATTCCAATTACCTCAAACTGACTCATCTGGAATTCTCCATGCTGAAAAAACATTGCACCATACTTCCTAATCGAGTGGCTTTCATAGGCTCTGGTCCCCTCCCTCTCACTTCCATCATTTTGGCTACTAAATATTTGATGACTACCTCCTTCTATAACTATGATATTGACCCATATGCAAATGTCAAAGCCTTTCAGTTGGTTTCCTCGGACCCTGACTTATCGAAACGAATGTTTTTCCACACTGCAGATATTATGAATGTGTCAAGTGGCTTAAAGGAGTATGAAGTCATTTTCTTGGCGGCTCTAGTAGGCATGGACAAGGAGGAGAAGATTCGAGTAATACGCCACTTGGCTGAGCACATGGCTCCTGGCGCTTTTCTGTTGCTAAGGAGTGCCCATGGAGCTCGAGCATTCTTATATCCTGTCATTGATCCTTGTTATGACCTTCAAGGCTTTGAAGTTCTTTCAGTGTTTCATCCAACTGATGAGGTCATAAATTCAGTAATCATTGCTCGCAAACAACTGAATCCTATTCTTTCATGGAATCAAGAATTGGACTCTACCACCTTACCTAGCAAATGCTCTGAAATTCAATGCTTCAATCCTATAAACCATGGAAACATAATGGAAGAGTTAACCATTGATGAGCAACTGTTGTGAACCGTCTTCCTGTCCATGCTCTTCAACAAAACCTACGTGAAAATGGGTTCCTCGAACTCTCCTTTTTTTTCATTTTTATCCTCAATGATTCCAAATTGAATACTTTCACAATAAAATGTTTGTCCTTTGTGATGTCCTAATCAATTGTTCCCCATGGCCATAGCCAAGGAAAATATAATCTCTGTTTGTTCTTTTTGGTTGAAAATTTATGATATCTGATTATTGTCAACTAATGAATGCACATATTATCCTCCTAGTTATGGCCTTCTAGGAGGAAAATGGAAGCTTACTTTTATACTAACTTACTTGTATAACAAGCAAAGCAGTGAACTCCGAAAAAACACAATTCCTTCCTAGAAGGAAATATCTCACTTCTTTTGTTTTTGATCAATAAATTATATCATACCAAAAGCAATGAAAGTTTTAAAGGAAGAGGGAACTGTGAATCAAGACAGGATTGTAGTAGACATATGGTTTTGTGTCAAGACAACATCAAAACATTTGGAGATTTTGTTACGGGGCGGGGCTTACTTAGAGCTTACATTGCAATTCCTACTTTGTTTTCTTTTTTCACATTATTTCCCAAGTAGAAAGAGATTGATAGAATTGGTGTTCCTTTCCAGTTGACGACTAGGAATTTTCCATTCCTATAACATGTGCACGAATTTCCAGGATCAAACTGTTTGGCCACCAAATCTGCTTGATACAAAGCTTCCACCAGCCAGCACAAAGTTTGTAAAACTGCTTCTTCAAGCTTCAGTCTTCATATCCTGGAAAATCCTATCCTCATCCTATGCTGCAACAATATTTCAGATCTCTTGGTCCAAGCATGCAGCTGCCAAAATCCCCCTGTTTTGGTTACACTATCCATACAATATTCAAGGCAATCAAAAATTGCAGTGTAGAAAGATAATGCTTCAGAAAAGCATTCCACGAAAATCGTGGTTGTGTGATTTGCCTCAAACTCTGTGATGACTACAATGCATGGATTGAGGTTCTTAAGCACTCTTAGTATAGATTCCTAGCAATCAGGTTGTGTTAAAGTATGTCTCAGCTGAATCCGGTAGCTGATTCAGGCTTTATATTTTGCCAAACTCAAAGACGATGGCTTCACCATCATTTAACTCAAAGGTATATATTTTGCCAAACAAGTTAATTTCATTTTAAAATTTTAGAAGTCTCTTTACAAATGAAATCTCTTCTTAAAATTCCTCATCGAAACTCATCCTAGGAATTCGAGGGGCATTCATATTAACAGATAAAAGCTTGCTGCCATAGGATTGGCAATTGCTGTTCACTTCAAGACCTGATATATATTTATACTCCATTAATTTGATGACTATGTTCAGATGGACAGTGATTGCTATTACTATAAGCACTATGAAATTTGAAAGAGCATAAGCATAGAGCTTGTGTTTCCACCTATGTAAAATACTGCAAACTTTCAAACAAAAACAAATCACAACTCAGAGAACCTATAATCCTTATTTTCACAAGAAGAAAAAAGAAAAAAGCAACAATTGACTAGGAAATAAAACTACCATAACACTGATTCTGCTAATGGTAGTTTTATTTCCTATAATACTATCACCAAAGAACACTGATTCTATGATCTCTAAAGCCACAATTTACTGAGACCAAAGCAATCTTATAAGCAAAGGGTAAGGCGAAGCTCTGGGCAAAACTTGACAGCCTCTTACCTGTGCCCTCAATTATATCCTTTGCATCAGTTGCAACAGCAGTCATTTTCAGGAGCTCAAGAGAGCATTCATGTCGAGGTGCAAGAGATTGCATGAGGGCTGTCCATTGCACCCCATTTCTGATTGTAAAATCAATTATGTGAATCCTCTTTGCCTCAGAAACATTTTCCACAACGGCCTGCATGCCAGAAAATTGTGTAATCTGAGAAAAAGGCAATTCTCCTTGACATGCCATTGTAGTGGGGTTCAGCCTCATGGTTGCCTCATCAAAATTAAACAATGGTTTCCTTCTCAAACCCTTAGCTGCAGGCCTTCCTTTCTCTCTTTCAATCTTCTCTCGAAGAGCTTCAGAGAAATAATAGACCACTCAGTGAACAGGACTTCCAGTTTTGGATGACATGTAGTCACATTATTTCAGCAATCTGCTAGCACGGTCATATTGTTGATAGCCTTCTTTCTCTGCGGCAGCTAGAAGTAGCAAAGTAACCTCCACATCGCTTGTCTTCTGATCAGAAAGCCCAGAAAAAGAAAGATTAAAAGGATGGTCAAGCTTGGAAATACTATCAATAGTTTGGCAAGAGGACTGGATAAACATCTCTCCAGCAATCCTCATGACTTCTGCAGTTGACAATTTTCTGTCTTCCTTCTTTGCAAACACAGTTATGTCATTCACTTCCTCATTTTTTCTTTCCCCATTCAATCGTTTGAATCCGCTACCATAGTTGTTTAGCAGCCCAAGTGAGGATAAAGAAAAAGTGTACTGCTTTTCCTTCTTTGTCTCAGCAACATCTTGAATTCCAGTAGGCATCTGACCAAGCTTTGCAATTTCCCCCAGACATGTTTGAAGTGGTGGGGATGCAGCATTGAAACTTACTCCATCTAAAAGACCATAATCTGTAATTGTAAATGGTTGTTTTTGCTGCTCTTGTGGCCGATACTTGGAGAAACTGAATCCTTCTTCCTGCAGTAAGTCATCTCGGTATGATCCATAATCAGAAGACAAGGAATCAATGCCTCCAGAGTCCAGTCTCTCCCCAATACTCTGCTCCATAAAAACTACTTTGCTTCCCTCTATTACCTCCCTCAAAACTCTCAAAACCTTTATTAGAAGAACTAAGCATATCTGGAACTTCATCAATGTTCAGGTCATCTAAAGTCGTCATGGTAGACAGCAAGGAAACTAACAGATCAATATATGCTTCCTCAAGGAAACTAAAACAATGATTAACCAATTTTCAGCAATTTCTATGATGTGGACAAGAAGATTTTTCTTTTTCTTGGTAACAAGGAATATTTTAGTATTTTACTTTGAAACAGTCTTGCATAAAGTATGGCAACCTTATATATATTGATATTTCCAAGGTGGCCTGCAGCAGGCTGGAGCCTGGAACTGAACCATGTTTACATGAATGCCAATTGGATAAAATTGTGGATAAAACCAATTTTTATACAGATTTTTACTGAACTTTGCAACTCAAACAACAGTTGGAAACAGAAACAATGCATTCAGATGCCAGAATCAAGCTGATATCAATCAGCCAAGCATGGTTACAAATACTAAAAGAACATAGAAAAGTGAGAACACAAGAAACAAACATGATATAACTGACAAGGAAAAGTACATATAATAATCAGAAAATTAAACCTTGGTTAAGACATGAAAAGAAATCTTACATGAAAAGAAATCTTACAATGAAAAGAAAATTAAACATTATATAATTGCGGTGGAATTCAACCCCGCTTAGATTATGAAAATTCATCTCCAAAGGATAAAAGAATCAGTTGGAATTGAAAACATATCTCCGTGTCTGTGGATAAATGCATTTTCATATTATAGTTGTGTCTACCCTAGAGTTGGCTGCAATTGTTTTATCACAATTTGCCTTTATATTTAGTTTTTTTCTTTAAAAAAAATCCCATTTAGCTGCGCATACCAGTTTTAGTAAGGCAATTAGTGGATACTCTCAAAGGTGCCACTATGAAACAATATGAATGCTCAAAACATTCAGTTGAAACTCTTTGCAAGAATCAACTAACTCAAGAAAATCGGCCGAAGCTGAAGAGCTTAATTTAGTTCCATTTTTTTTGGTTTTTCTTTACATTGATCAGTTCAGTTTTGTAATAGACTAAATCAGTTATTCAATTTTTACAACCAAATTAAGAGAACTGATCTCTGCCCTATAGACAGCTTTGAGATTGACAGCCAAGTAATTGACATACATGTTGTCCTTTATTGGGGCAAAATCAACTTATCAGCTGAGGCATCAACCTGGGTTTCTTCAATGATGTTGGCTAGGTCCTAACCTGTTTTAAGTTCATCAAATTTTACAATTACAAAGCTCTTAAAAGTCTTGTTTTTGGCAGTGTTTAACATTTTTAAATGTAATGGTTTGAGGTCTTAAAAGTGAAAAAAAAATATATTGGTGGATGAAAAATTGACACAATATAAACTTGTGCTACCATTAAGAACCAACTTATTTATGATTTTTTTCTAAAACTTCTATGCCTGGAAAGTGAAAACCATCAAGAAATAGAAAGTATCTTTTTATTTGCTTTCTCTAATCAAGGCACTGTTTTCAGTTTCCATGAATCAAAATCTAATTTAAAAGATAATTTTAATTATTTTGACCCAACCCAATTCCATCAATAAGTTCATTTAATAAAAAACTTTAGGCTTGCATATAAAAAATCCATAAATCAAAATTAAATAATCATGTAAACCTGTATTTTTTTTAATTAATCAAACTAATAAACATTTAATTTCATTCAATTGAATTTTAAATATTTATTTTCACTCTATTAAACATGATTTTGATGAAAACTGGTGATGGATGCTAACTAATTTTCGTCCAATAAAAATTAATTGGATGAAAATAAATATTTAAACATTCAATTAATTACAATAAAAAATAAAAATTCATATGATTATTTTATTTTAGTTTAGGGTTTATCATCAATTTTTTTTTTAGAGCAATTATAAGAGAAATTCAGAATTTATATTGTTTTGTTATCTCTGATCATGCTTTTATATTACATACTGATTCAATAAAAATAGAGCACTATCGAAAGAGAGTGCTTCAGAGACCATCATCAGACAGGGATGGAGGTTTCAGGAAGCTTTTATCATACTAAGCAGAGGTGGATCTTAAGAAACACCGAAAAAGAAAGTTTCCCAAGAAGAAACAGAACCTCAGCAATTAGGCAAGGCCGGAAATGATATGAATAGACATGGCTTCCAAATTAAAGCTTTCAATGGTGATGTTCATAGGACTACAGTTCTCTTTCTATAGCAAATAGCAATAGGATACGTTTCACCTAAGTCAAATCATTCCCCATATAGGCTCATATATTGTCAAAGAAACGTACCCCCTGGCTTATATCTCAGATTTAACCTTTATGGGTTAACGCATAAAAGCCTGTTGCCATAGGATTGGCAATTGCTGTTCATTTCAAGACCTGATATGCATTTACACTCCATTAATTTGATGACTGTGCTCAGATGGACAATGATTGCTATTACTATAACCACTGTGAAATTTGAAACAGCACAAGCATAGAGCTTGTGTTTACACCTATGTAAAATACTGCAAACTTTCATACAAAAACAAATCACAACTCAAAGCAATCTATAATCTTTATTTTCACAAGAAGAAAAAAAAGAAAAAGCCACAATTGACCAGGAAAAAAACTACCATCACATTCACTGCTGTGATCATCCCCATGGACTTCCGCCATTGAACAGTTGAATGGAAGCCACCAAGCCTAGAGCGTGGCAATGTTAAGGGATTAAAGCCACAATTTAAAGAAACTTCCAAACAGAAAGAGAATGCATCGGTGTTCCCTTCCATCCAACAAGTAGGCATTTCCCATTCATATCAAGTGTACACGAATTCCCACAAGCAAAAGTATTGAGAACAAGGTCTGCTTGATACAGGGATGACATGCTTAATTCAGCCTCCCCCATTCCATACCGAGCAAAGAATGCCCTCCAAACGTCAAACTTCACATGTCGTACCTTCCTTTCCTCACCTTCAGCAGCTACCATGTTTCTAATTCCATCAGCAAAGAACACTGATTCTATGATCTCTCTATTTTTACAATTCTGTTTCATGCAAGTTGCAACACAATCGAAGTATGCGCTGAAGAAGAAAAGAACTTCAATGAAACGGTTCACAAAGGTTGGTGAGTTATGGTTGGCTTCAATTTCAACTACCACCATTAAACGAGGATTCATGACTCTGAGAACTCTCATTATATTTTCAAGCCGGTTTGGCATTGCAAGCATGCTCCTAAAGGCAAACGCAGCATAGACAGCAATCGTTTCTTCAGCATCAAGTTCAAAGTGATCTTCTTTGAGATCTAACATGTCTGGGACCATAACAATCTTATAAGCAAAAGGTAAGCCTACGCTCTGGGCAAAACTTGACAGCCACTTACCAGTGCCCTCGATTATATCGTTTGCATTAGTTGCAACAGCAGTTATTTTCAGGAGCTCGAGAGGGCACTCATGTCGAGATGCAAGAGCTTGCATTAAGACTGTCCATTGCACCCCATTTCTGATTGCAAAATCAATTATGTGAATCCTCTTTGCCTCAGAAACATTTTCCACAATGGCCTGTATCCCAGAAAATTGTGTAATCTGCGAAAAAGGCAATTCTCCATGACATGCCATTGTAGTGGGGTTTGGCTTCATCATTGCCTCATCAAAATTAAACAGCGGTTTCCTTCTCAAACCCTTAGGTGAAGGTCTTCCTGTCTCTCTTTCAATCTTCTCTCGAAGAGCTTCAGAGAAATAATAGACCACTCGCTGAACTGTATTTCCAGTTTTGGATGACATGTAGTCACATTGTTTCAGCAATCTGCTAGCACGGTCATATTGTTGATGGCCTATTTTCTCTGCAGCAGCTAGAAGTAGCCCAGCAAGCTCCACATCTCTTGTCTCCTGATCAGAAAGTCCCGAGAAAGAAAGATTAGAAGGATGGTCAAGCATGGAGATACTATCAATAGTTTGGCAAGAGGACAGGATAAACATTTCTCCAGCAATCCTCATAACTTCTTCAGTTGACAATTTTCTGTCTTCCTTCTTTGTAAACACAGTTATGTCATCGACTTCCTCAATTCTTCTTTCCCCATTCAATCGTTTGAATCCACTACCATAGTTGTTCAGCAGCCCAAGTGAGGATAAGGAAAAAGGGTACTGCTTTTCCTCCTTTGTCTCAGCAACATTTTGAATTCCAGAAGGCATCTGACCAAGCTTTGCAATTTCCTCCAGACATGTCTGAAGTGGTGGAGATGCAGCATTGAAACTTACTCCATCTAAAAGACCATAATCTGTCATTGTAAATGGTTGTTTTTGCTGCTCTTGTGGCCGATACTTGGAGAAACTGAATCCTTCTTCCTGCAGTAAGTCATCTCGGTAGGATCCATAATCAGAAGACAAGGAATCAATGCCTCCAGTCTCTCCCCAGTACTCTTCTCTATAAAAATTACTTTGCTTCCCTCTATTACATAACTCAAAACTCTGAAAATCTTTGTTAGAAGAACTAAGCATATCTGAAACTTCATGAATATTCAGATCATCTAAAGAGAATACAGCATTCGCCATGGTAGACAGCAAGGAAACTAACAGATTAAATATTCGCAATTTCCATGCTTTTAACAAGAAATTTTTTCTTTTTCTCGGTAACAAGGAATATTATAGTATTGTACTTTGAAACAATCTGGCATATAGTATGGCAACCTCATATAATATTGATATTTCCAAGGTGGCCTTCACCAGGGCTGGAACTCAACCATGTTTACATGAATGCCAATTGGAAAAAATAGACAAAACCAATTTTTATACAAATTTTTAATAGATTTTGTGACTCAAACAACGGTTGGAAACAGGAACAATGCATTCAGATGCCACAATCAAGCTGATGTCATTGTTGAGGAATTAATCGATCAGCCAAGCACGGTTACAAATACTAAAAGAACATAGAAAGGTGAGTACACAAGAAACAAACATTATATAACTGACAACAAAAAGAACATATAATAATCAGAAAATTAAACCTTGATTGAGACGTGAAAAGGAAATCTTACAATGCAGCCTGCAGCAACGACTGAAAATCCTAGAGAGCTTTGAGATTGACAGCCAAGTAATTGACATACGTTTTGTCCTTGGTATCTATTTCCATTCCCTTTTCGTCTGTATATTATTGGAGCAAAATCAACTTATCAGCTGAGTCATCAAACTTGGTTTTCTTCAATAATGTTGGCCTGGTCATAACCTGTTTTAAATTCATCAAATTTTACAATTACAAAGATCTTAAAAATCTTGTTTTTGGCACTGTTTGACATTTTAAATGTAATAGTTTGATGTCATAAAAGTGAAAAATATATATATATTGGTGAATGAAAATTTGACACAATCTAAACTTATAACCTGTATGGACAAAATTTGTTCTTTGAGCAAGAATCATACATTAATCACTAAGCCAAATGTTCGAGTGCTACCATTAAAAAGACACTCGTTAAAAGACAACTTATTTATGTTTCCTAAAACTTGTATTTCTTGAGAGTGAAAACCATCAAGGAATAGAAAGCATCTTTTTATTTGCTTTCTCTAATAATGGCTCTATTTTCAATTCCCAAGAATCAAAATGCAATTTAAAAGATAATTTTAATTATTTTGATCCAACCCAATTCCATCAACAAATCCATTTAAGAAAAACTTTTAGACTTAAATATAAAAAAAGACCCATGAACGAAAATTAAATAATCATCCAAACTCTGTATGATTTTATTATAATTAATTCGATTCTTATGACTTTAATTTCATTCAATTAAATTTTTAAATATTTATTTTCACTCAATTAAATTATCGATTTGATGAAAATCGATGATGACTATTAATCAATTTTCATCCAATAAATATGTAATTGAATGGAGATAAATATTTAAAATTTTAATTAATTACAATAAAACTGAAAAAATTCATATAATTATTTAATTTTAATTTAAGATTCTTTTGCTCTTCAGCCATTCTTTTGAGATCACTTAAGCCCAAATTAAGGTCTTCTTAGCCCAACTGAAGATATTAATGGGCCTCGACAGTCCCTTTCGGTCCAACTTAAATATGAATTCAAAATTTTTTATTTTAAAATTGTTGAAAATAGGAGTCACCAAAGCAGTTGGTAGGAACACAAAGATTTTTCCTTCATCCAATAAAACATCGCCACGTAATCAAATCTGCAGCATATGACGTGTCAAGTGAACAACTGAACCTTCTTTTCTTGTTTCCTTTCTTTCTCTGTCTTGTCGTTAAATAAATAAATAATCTCTCTCCCTTGTTCATTTCTTATCAATTTCGTATAAGCTCGAAAATACGTATTTATATACGGGCTGGTTTCCTCAGCTGGTGGGACGGAGGTAGTGGTGGTTCGAGATTCGATCAGATCGTGATCCAATGGCTGAAGACAAGTACAACCTCAAGAATCCAGCGGTGAAGAGGATCTTACAAGAGGTTAAGGAGATGCAATCCAATCCTTCTGATGATTTCATGAGCCTCCCTCTCGAGGTCTGTCCCAAATCTCAAAATCTTAAGGCTTTAGGGTTCTGGATGGAACAGGGACTAATTTGAAAATTTTAAGAAATGTTTGATTTGTTGTGCAATTAAGAGGCAAATTGTTTACTGATTTTGTTTAGGGATTATATTGAGGACTCTCATAATAAAACTGGGGTTTTTTAGGAGAATATATTTGAATGGCAATTTGCAATTAGGGGTCCAAGGGATTCGGAATTTGAAGGAGGGATTTATCATGGAAGGATCCAATTGCCTGCCGAGTATCCATTTAAGCCCCCTTCATTTATGTTGCTGACTGTAAGGACTTGCCTTTTTTTTTTTTTTTTCATTTTTTTGGTAATTATCTAGCTTGATGTGAAGAGAAGTTTGTTTGTTTTGTCCATTTTTCAGCCAAATGGGCGTTTCGAAACCCAGACCAAGATTTGCTTAAGTATATCGAATCACCACCCGGAGCACTGGCAGCCATCTTGGAGTGGTGGGTGTCATTTCTCTTGATTGCAAATGCAATGCGAATTTTGATGTAAATTGTATCCCAAATCGGGATATTGAGTGTGATGAAGAACTGTTTGTATGTTGTAATGTCGATTCCACCTTCTATTTGATGAGAAAAGCATTCACAAAAATGATAGTTGCAATTAGTGAATTGATATACTAACATTAGTAAGCATTCATTCTGGCATGTACTTAATCTGGCTTTTCTCATTTCATCCACCTGTGCTTTGGATTGAAGTGAAAAGGTTTTGTTATTGGTTTTTGTTTTAAGAGCCGATACATGGTTGAATTAGAAACTTTAATTAGTGAAATTTGAAGTTGGGAGAAATCTAGATAAAACATGGCTAATCTGGCTGTTGGTGTTGATAGTGAGGACTGCTCTGGTGGCACTGATAGCTTTCATGCCCACCAGCCCAAATGGTGCCTTGGGTTCTCTAGATTATAAGAAGGAAGAGCGACATGGACTTGCCATTAAATCTCGTGAAGCACCGCCTAAATTTGGGAATCCTGAACGCCAAAAACTTATTGATGAGGTATGTTTTGCTTAGATTACACCCTAATAATGTGATTTTGGTCCTCTGTTAATCAAGTTTTTGGTGGTTCAGATTCATGAATATATGTTAAGCAAGGCACCTGCTGTTCCTCAACTCAGTCCATCACAGGCCTCGGAAGATCAACCTACTGACAAGGATGGAGAAGCACAGGCCAATCAGCAAGATCCTGCTACCGTGATTGCTGGTAATGGGCTCCCAAATCAAACAGTAGATGAAAGGGTTGTTGAAGAGGAGCCTGTGGCTCCTGCCAATGCTAACCCCGTTCCTGTTGACATGAGGCTTGTGAGAGAGATTCCTGCCTGCGGACCAAGTATTCAGCCACTGCAAAGACCAGAAATGAGGGTTCAAAGATCTGCTGATGACCGCTTGTTTACATGGGCGGCTGTTGGACTTACCATTGCAATTTTGGTTCTTTTGTTCAAGAAGTTTATGAAATCTAGCGGACATGGAGCTGTTTTCATGGATGGTTCATAGTTCCAGCGAGGATCTACGATGACCTGTACTCGTTTTGACAAATTTAGTTCAACAAGAAACCTATCAAGATATTTATTAACATCTAGAGTGGATCAATCTGTAATTTATAAAATACCCTCTTGATAAATTCCAGCTAGTGTAATTATGGTAGATGTCAGCTATCACTTATCATATGCAGGCATGATTAATACACTTGTAAGTTTGATAATTCATTGCATGGTGAAACTCTTTAGATGTTCTGTTCCAGCTATCTAAAGTAAACACAATGATTTCAGTAGTTTGCAGAAACTGTCTTCACTGGAGTTAAAAGCATTAAATAGTGTTCTTGAAGTTCATAAGAAGACGGCAATGAACACTGAATTTATGAGCTTTTGGCATTGTCTATTTACCAAGGAAAAAGTACACTGCATTTCTCTCGTTAGCATAGCCGCATACAGGATGGAAAAGAAAGATGGTAGAGTTTTCTTTACAGTGGTTAGGTGCATGAAATCATTGTCCATGCACGATTAAGAAGCCATCAAGGAGTACAAAAGCAAGAGTGAGCTTAGGTCTCTATAGAGGAGCTCCAACATCAGAAGCAAAATGACATCTATGGTCAACCTCAATTATCATCTCACAAAAATATACCAAAACGAATTTTTTATATCCACCTGGGAAATCAAGGAACTTCATCTCAGCATGCAATCAAATGTTGAGCCTTTGCTTGAATTGCCTTGCAGCAATCAAGACTGCACAGGGGAAGCTTTGACTTCGAATCTTGATACTTGTATGTATTTGTACAATTTGGACCAGCACATTTTTCTCGGGGTGGGGGGTAACTAGAGGGAAAAGAAATCCATATATCCCACTAAGAAACTACCAGAAAAGCATATAAGTCATGAAAAGCACAAGACAGATAGATTTGTAAAGGTACCTGCATACCTGCATGGCACTGAATTGAATAGCTGTGGTAGACCAATATCTTCAGAAAATATAAGTGTTGTTCCAGCAGGACCTATAAACCATCTCACCGTGTTTGATGCAAGAATTTCGGATTTAGCAGCCTTTCCCTGCATTAGTTATAAGATCAAAATGCATGAGAATAGTGCTAGAAAGCACAAAGAAGAATGCATGATGAAAGGAGAGTCAAGGACCAGAGCCAATTCATCCCGCTGCTTCTTCATTTTTTCCTCCCTCTTCTTTCTTCCAGAATCTTGACCTAGTATTTTTCGGATTGCCTCAGCCTGAGACAAATCAAAGACGCTACTAAGACTGTTTCTCAAATGATTATGGAGCAATAATAAAATTAATCAAAAGCGCAAAAGAAATAACGGGTAAAACCTCAGCTTCCCTGGCTGCTTTCTCTGACTGCATTCTACGTCTCTGTGCAGCCTCAGCCTTCTTCAACTGTTGCTCAACTTCAGAAAGTTTATCCTTTTGTTCTATCATCACCAACCAATATTAAAATAAAACAATTTTCAGCGTTTAGCATTGAAAGCTCAAAGATACTTAAAACCCATTGCAGCTGTATCATTATTACCGATTCAAGTTATTAAAAGGAGTAAAGTGATAGGATCATACTAAGGGAAGAAAAAGGGAAGTAAATGAAGTAGTATGTGAGGGAATTGCTAACTTTTAGGTGGGGCACCAGGTAAACCATCAGGGAACTCAACAGGACTGGCACCAAGACCAGATAACAGATCTTTCCCAGACTGAAGAGCTCGATTACGTGTAGTGGGAGTTGATTCAATTCTTCCTTCCACAAACAAATCAACTGATCCCCTCCCCAGCTTCTTCCTTTTAGATCCAGGCTCATCATCTGATATAGGTTCGTCTTCTTCCACATAATCTCTATCCTCAAAAATAGCACTATCTCTCCCATTTCTCTCATCCTCTCCATCTTTGTAATTTGAGAGACCATTTGAAGCATTCAGTCTCCCTAGATAACGGATTTCCTCATCTTCATCCTCATCATCATTATTTATACCCACATCCAAGACACATCTTTTAGGAACCCGCTTGCTCTTACGAGTTGGCCCATTCCTACCAGTTTCATTCACAGCTAAACTTACTCCAGGAGCCTTTCCCCTAGAATAATACCCCTTCTCAAAACCAGAGCCACTTCTGGAGAAATCCTTCAATTGAACTCCATAGCCTTTTCCCTTATTGGAAAGATAGGAGCCTTTGGTGTCCTGCAGTGATTTTTTTTTTTGGCCAATTGCAGTGATTGTTCATGCAAAAACTATCAGGTTGGAAACAAATTAATGGATTGTAACAGAATATTATAAGAACGAATGACACATGGTTAAGTAAACTAATTTATGGCAAAAATATAAGTTAAAAATGACAATGAGACCCGATCAACACTTGCTTTTCCAAAACTTAGAGGCAGTAAACCTACAAAAAAAAATGTCAGAGGAGAAATGCCATCTGAAGAACCTCTTCGCATTGCAATGATAAATAGAAGACATATCTCAGAGAAAAGAAAGATAAAACTTGACATCAGATTTTTGGTCACAACAAACAATTCTTTACAAACAGAATAAGCTGATACCCATTAGCAATCCAGTGCTTTGTGAGAATTAGATGAAAATACCAGGAAAAAGGACTTCTCTCGAGTTTGAGGGGCATCAGAAAATTGAGAAGACTTAGTTAAGCTAGGAACAGGCACACCACCAAAGGCATCATCTGAAGCGGACTTAGGATGGATTGTAGAGGTAAACCCACCAAGCTTGAGCTTAAGTTTCAGCTTATTCTCACTTCCAAATCCATTAGAACCATTCTTAAAATTTTCTTCATTGCTACTGTTACCTATGGCTGGTGTTGGTGATGACATTAAAATGTAATTCTGTGTAAATGTCTGTTGAGTAACGCGTGGACGGCGCGATACACTACTCCTCTTCTTCTTCATGGCATAGCCAATGACAGCTAACTCTGAGCCGCCAAAGCTTTCCATAATGGCCAGGGTCCCAGGGAATCCAACTCTTTGACAGCAAATGACAAGAGTAAGCTCAAAATAGACAAGTAAAAGCTAAGAAAGCAAAAAAACCACAAAGGAAATTGAACAATCATATGTGCAATAAATGAAGAAGAATGTCCTCCAATTGACTGGAAAGAAATCCCCATAAAGAAAAAGAACAAAAAATTAGCAGATTTTGAATCTCACACTTATTTAGTCAACTTTGGTCCCTTTAAGTAGCAAAATTTTCAAACCAACCAAACCCAGGTAAAAAACTTCCTGGGTGTTTTTCATTTCCTGGTTATCTATTAAGAGAAAGTATTAAAGACAAAAACTAAAAAAGAATAATCAGCTTGAAGCATAAAATTCCCAAAGCTGAAGCAACCTAAAAAGATTCATAGACAGGGCTGCATTTTTCACCCTAAAAACTACACCTTGGAACTTAACAAAATATATCATCCCCCAACAACTAGCTAATAAGTCTATACATTTCAACGTTCAAAAAAAATCAAAGCCTTACTACAACATTTTCCTTTTAAACAAAGGACAAAACCCAACAACAAAATAAGAAAAGAAATCAAGAACAATATCAAATATTTACCCAAATACAACTGAAAAACAAAGCTTGACCCTTTACTGAGAAAGGGTTTTGTGAAATTTTCTTCTGCCTTGTTTTGAATAAAATTTGGGTTGAGAAAGACTGGAGTGTTTTGGCCTTCCAGGAATGGCTTTGGTAAAGGGTACTGTGAATGGAACTTTTTTTTATCTGCTCCATTCTTTTCAATTTCTTTTGGCTCCTAAACTAACCATTAAGCACCATATTTCTTTATTATTCAATTTTTCCTACATATGAAATTGAGCAGGATCTTGAGAAAGAGACAGTCAAAAGACCAAGCCCATTGGCAGCACGATTCATATTAGGCCTTGGTCCAAATATAGTTTTCTTTTCTATTATTATTATTAAAGAATTAAGGGATTAAATTCCAAGTAATGAACCAAAAAAAAAAAAAAAAAACTTAAGACAACGAATAAAAATAAAAGTGAATTGATGAAGCAAGCTCTTGTCGCCAAGGTTTAAAGGACGTCCTTTAGCGAGTTCAGGGCATCATTTTAGTAAGGGCAAGAATAACTCCAGCAATATTCATAAGATTCTCATTAATTTTAGCCATTGGAGAAACTCCCTCAGGAATCGGATTTGGCTGCCCTGTAAAACCATCATCACATGTTCCATAATCTGAAATGGCTGCACTAATCATGGTTTCAATGGTACCAACATCTTTAAGTGGAATTGCTTCAATGGCTTCTTGCATATTGTCCAAGGCATCATCATAAATTTCCTTGCAGTCGTTAAGTTTTGACAATGTCTTCGGGTTGGAGTATTTAGGGTCAGTAGCCATTTTTGCAGCAGTGGCAATAGCCTGTTTTGTTTGCTCAATGCCAGCCTTGATCAACATTCCAATTACGGATGCGAGGTCTGTTTTTCCATTGAAGAAAGGTGAAATGGTGGCTAAGCAAAGAGCAGGTTGATCAGTTTTGCCACATAGGCTTTTGATCTCAGGGTCAGATACTATTTTTGAGCCTGCTCCACTGTTTAAGGAAACTATTGGTAGCGAAATTTGAATTGTGGGAAGTTTTGACTTTAGAGATGATAGATCTGGAGATGAATCAGGGGTTTCCTGTGGTGGCATGGGGGGAACCGGGGCTGAGGCACTACTTGTAGAAGGAAGCGAGGTTGAGGCCTTACTTGCACGAGGAGAAGAAGCCGACGACTGTGATTTAGGTGGAGTAGGGGGAACTGGGGCTGAGGTAGTCCTTGGAGCAGGAGGAGAAGGCGGTGGTTGTGATATAGGAGTGTAGACATGAGAAGGTGGTGGCTGTAATTTAAGGGACGAGGCAAAAGATGAAGGCACTGCGTCACTTCGATTGCGGGGCACGCAAATGGCTTGCGCAGGGTTGAAGAGAATGATGCACCATACCAGGAATACAAGCAGTGTTTTGTTGCTTTTAGGTTCCATGTTTTCTTGGTTTTTTTTTGCAGAGATTGAAGGTGAAAAGAACAAAGAAAAATGGTCGATTGAAAGATGAACATATAAATTGTGAGGATTTTTTGGGTGGTTACTTCATTCATAGGTAGTTATCCAGGAAAAATAGGATGACCATTGGAAAAAAGTAGTCAACATGAACATTTACTGTTTTGGCATTGTTTTCCGGAGTGGGGTAAGGCCTTAATTTCTTTGTCAGGCCACGCCTTCCAGGCTCTTCCTGTCCTATAAATTTATTTTAACAGTGCAACAGGCCTACTAAAAAAGGAAGATTTGTCCTGTTCAGAAATTCTTGCCAATCATGACTATAAACACAGGGAGTAACATTTTCTAATCTGGGCAATTCAAGTCAAGCTAGTAGCTTTAGCTTGTCTAAAATTAGATGAATGAAGTTTTCAGCAACAATAGTTGAGCATTGAGGGAACCTGAGAGAAAATTTTCCATTTGACCTTCCTTGATATGATTAATCCTAATCAAGAAATAGCATTTATTTGTTGATTAAAAGGTTTCTTGACCCTTCAAAATTAAGAAATAGCTCTGGTGCTGTAATAAATTTATTGCAGAATAATGTACTGGTCCAATTGTAAATCCATTTTAGGAAGGCTATTTCATACATCAGTAACATCAGAATCTCCATTTTGTTATGTAAAAGTAAAATTATTCTTGTTCTAAGGCAAAGTTTTAGATTCAAATCCTCTCATATTGCTTGAATGCCTGGTTGAATTATGAAAAAAAAATTTACTTGACACAGACTCTGACTGTTGGAGCACCAAATTTCCTGTTGGAGAGAGCAATGCTACAAAATACAATTGTAAATCAGAGGTTAGGACCGATCAAGTGGCTCCCTGACTTCTCAGTTCTCACTAACTTAACATATCAAACCCCATAGCAATTCCAACAATCCCCTCTGAACCTCAGTTGCAAGATGAGGCAGTAAGGGAAACACCAACTACAGCAGAAAATGCAGCAATAAACATAAAGCCAGTTGAAAAATCTGTCATCTGCTGGCGTGACGAGGAAGGTTAGACTGTAATTATCTTTGGATATCAGTAAGTCAGCTATAAGTTTCCAATAAGTTCACTTTTACTTTCAAAAGCAGATGCTGCTTAAATTGTTGCATCCAAAATCTTAAAACCAGAAAGGCAATTTAGTTCAATTGTGCAATACAAACGCTAAGCAAAAGTTCCTAGAACTGCAGACACAATTTATTTCATACACAAATATACAGCAACAGGTTTAAATCTACAGGTTTATTTCATACAAAATAATTCAACATCCCATGCAAAACATAAGCCAGGCCAGACGCCAGTGAAATAAGGCATAGAGCAAGCGTAGCACTTAGTCATGGTGCTTCACCACAGTAACAGGGCAGGAACCATTATTCACCACATGGTTGCTTACACTGCCCATTATAGCCCTGAAGAAAAAAAGAATAAAGAAAATTAAAGAACATCAAACACAAATAAAATTCTGAAACATGATAATGATCAACCAGTAAGGAACTCAATCATTTATCTATTTCAGGCTTTTAGTCATAATGCAGCACTTGGTACTGCATTTAGTGTACTTGCTTGAATGTAATGTTAAAGAATACTTTGATTTGATCCAATGTATTAAAAACCTTTTTCTTCACGCAATAATTAGAAACTAGAAATATGAAATAAATAACTACTGTAAGACCAAAAAGAGTCTAATCTGGTAACAAATGTATGATTCCCATGTGAACAAACAGTACTTTTAAGGGAAAAAAGAAAGAAAGAAAGAAAGAATATCCCAAACTCATCAAAGCCATCAGTAATGATTCAACACTTTGAAACAAGAGATTTATTGATGAAATTTCACCTCTTAAGCTTGCCAAGCCCTCGATTTCCTACAATTATGCAGCTCAGAGGGATATGATCAATGGCCTCACATAACTGCTCACGTGGATCACCCCAGAAAATCTTCATGAGCACCTCAACCTGAGTGTACAGACACAATATCAATTAACTAAGAATTGCTACAACTGAAATTAAATTAAATTAAATTCAATTTCATGGATTTGGAGAAGAAATTACTTCTTTTTGCCTAGCAACAGTGCTGACAATGTCCAAAGTTTCAGGGTCAGGCTTTACCCCATACTTCTTCATGACAACAGGATCAGAGAACTCACTTAAAGGGATAAAAGCTACAAAATATTAAATGAACAAAAACATATTTAAGGCAAAGAAACTTTCATGGGAAGAAAATTTTCCTCTGATACTAATCAGCTAAGTTCCTATTTATTAAGCTTGAAACATTTAAGGGGATGATACTTGAATTAAGCAGACGCTTCCATTATATATATTCCTTTAATTTTACCTCCTAAAGAAAGCAGGCATTTCTTTGACCCATATGTCTGTAATTATAATATGTCTGGTCTGGTTTTTCTCGAGAAGCAAACAGAAAGCAAAAGTAAAAAAAGAGAAAAAAAAAAAAGGAATAGTATATACGTGAACCGGTGACTTCCCAAAGTTGCATCTCGCCCTCCTCATAATATCCTTCAGGTCGTACATTAACAAGGATAAGATGATCCCCTTTCCGGATAACGTTATCCACAGCCCATTTCAACGCATTCTTGCTGCTTGGAGAGAAATCCACAGCCACCCCAACTCTCCTATCACCCTCCATATCCCTCTCTTTTTCTCTCTGTTCACCGTAGATATAGGTATGCTTATACTTATATATACGTTAAGCCCTTTAAACCCTTTGTTTTTCTTTGGTTTCTGGATTGATCTGTGTTCTTCTGTAGAAATCTGAAATGTGTTTATATGAAAAGAGCCAATCCAAAACGAAAAAGACCGCAATTATAGAGAAAGCGACAGGACAGGACCAGAAAAGTTGTAAGTAGGGTTGTATGATTTTTCACGTTCTTGAGCCGTTTGATAGAAATTTAAAGAATTTCAGTGAAGATCAAACGGTGATTGTGCAGGTTAGAGGTTGGTTGAGAACTGTTGGATTTTTTCTTTCTGTCTGCTCGTGGCCCCAGGTAGATATTTTATGTCTTATGAATCTTTGCAAACTGGGATAAAAGCTACGGTCTGGTGCATATGAATTCTTATGGATTTTTATAAGAGGAGAGCACATGGTATTGATAGAATAATCAAGAAAAAGAAACTCAGAATAATTATAGATTAAAAATTAGAATATAGAAAGCTTCTTCTGTATCAAATTGATACCCTATAATACTTATCTATAATAAACATTTATAAAAAATTGATCTAATTGACAATAATTATTTTGATTTATAAATTTTAAATTCGAATATAATTAATGATTTTTTATTGATATCATTTTTAATATAAAATTTATAATATAATTATTTATTGTAATTAAAAATTGATTTAATTGATAATAATCATTTTAATCTCTAAATTTTGAATTTGAATTTAATCAATAATTTTTTATTATGATAATTTTTTATGTATAATTTATGATTATTATTTTTAAATTATCATATACGATATATTTTATTTTAATTTAAAATTTGAGTAATTTATCTATTTTTTAAATTTTTCGGCCAAAAAAATAACCAATCTACACTCCCAATTGCTAAAGGAAGTGCCTTCTTTTGCATGGTTTAGTCGCCCTCATAGCCACTTGGCTGCAGCCATTCCATTTTAGAATTTGAGAGATGAAATTTTCTACTTTTTATGTTTGGTTGAAGAATTAAACGTAGAGCCGTAGGCCTTTAGGAGACAGGACAGTACTTGAAACAATAGTGTTAACTAAAACAAAATGGGCACAGCATCTTTATCGCTACTCTGTTGGCAACATGCAGTGATTCCTCTCCTCTTTTGGTCACCGACTCCCATAAATTGATGCTCTGGGCATGGCAACTTGGCAAGTGGTCCTTAAAATATAAGGAGAAGAAATGAGAACATGTGTTGAGTAGGGATTTCGAACTTTTCCTTCAAATTTGTTTAGCCTTCGGACTTTACCATTTTTGGCTTTGTTTTCTACCTTGCGGTTCAATCCATTATTAAGATTTGGCATCGCACTTCTATTCCTGCTCCTTCTTTCCTTCGTCGGCCCGACATTTTAGTAGGCGATCAAATCCCTGTTCGCTTTCTTGATTCACACTAGCAATTTTCTTGACTCATGACACTTATACCATCACATAAGCTTAAATTACGACAAATTTCATCGTAGCGATTCCAAACACTGAATAAGGTAGGCGATTTCCAAAGTAGAATTTCCTCTCTTTTTTTTATATTTATATTTTAAAATATTTTTTCCTATTTCTTTAATAAATAGGTAAATAACCGTCCTTTTTAAAATTCCAAATCCCAAACAAAACAAAAATCATAAAAACCAAAAAAAAAAAATGCTCACTCTCATGTGAGAGAACTCTGTCTTCTTCAAGATCAAAGGGCCTCTCCCCTTCTCTCTCTCTCTCTCTCTCTCTCTCTCTCTGGAGATTCCAAAACGATGGCGTTTTGGTGGCCGATTTTCGTTCTGGCCTTTGCCTATGCGATCTGTCGTTTCTTACTGATCCTCATTCCTCCAAATGTTCCTTCCATTGACGTCGACGCCTCCGATGGTACGTATACGGATACGGAAAATACGTATAAAAAACTGTACTTTGCTTATACGTATTTCTATACTTACCGAAGCTGATAATTTTTTTCTTTGAATTTTCTTAACACAGTGTTGGGGAACCAAACTCAAGAAAACGGCTTCATTTACGTGAGTGTGCTTCTCAGTTGCTTATTTGATTTTTTTAATTATTATTCGAATTGTTTTTCTTTTTATTTAAATGAAATTACTGCTTTATAGGATTAGTTTAATGAATTATTATATTGTAATTCAGATTCAATTTTTTTATTCGGTTAAATATTAAATCTGAATTTTTTGTTAAAAAAAATAATTATTTTTATTGGAATGAATCTAAGGTAAATCCAATTGAAGCTGATTCATTAATGGAGTTTGTTTTGTTATTTGCTAATCTTGCAGTTGAGCTTTATGAATCTAAGATTATGTTTTGATTTTGTTATTTTAACTGCTTGCTTTTTTATTCTTGGGAAAGAAGCTGACAAGTAATAGAGTCTAGTTCTTGGTTATTTGAATCTAATGTGGAAATGCTGTGCAGGTACCGCCGAGGGGAAGGACACAACAGTCAGATAGAAAAGTTCAATGCTATGAGCCTGCTACCATGAAATACTTGGGCCATTTCCCAGCATTGACACCTGCTGAGGTTAGCGATGTTCAGGATTACGTTTACTAGAATTCACCAGTTAAAGAGTATTTATATGTTCATTGCTGGTATATTTGCCGAACCTTATGAGCACATGTACGTATTTATAGACTATAGAACACTTTGTGGGCTTGCATGTTTTTTTGTATGGATGTATCATGTTTCTACTGCTCATCATTCCAACTGTCTCAATGCGTATGCATAGGTTGAGGAGCGTGTATCACAAGCAAGAAAAGCACAGAAAATTTGGGCAAAAAGTAGTTTCAAGCAAAGGCGACAGTTTTTGCGGATTCTTTTAAAATATATTCTTGAACACCAAGAGCTTATATGCGAGTAACAATTCTGTTCTTCTATAGATAGAGAGTGTTTTACTTTTTATATCATTCTTTTTTTTTCCTTTTCCTCACATTTAAGACTTTCTGAAGTTCCTTTATATTTCCTCTCTTTTTTATTTCTGTGTATCAGAAAAGTTAAAAGTTGCATTTCTTCTGATTTCATGATATCGACATTAATTGAATACCTTTGTGTGACCTATTGTTTCATTGTCTTACTTAAGAGTCTCTTCACGTGATACGGGGAAAACAATGGTTGATGCCTCCTTAGGAGAAATAATGACTACATGTGAGAAGATCACTTGGCTTCTTTCAGAGGGCGAAAGGTGGCTCAAGCCTGAATACCGGTACTGCCTTCCAGCTTTTGAATATTATTTGTCCTTTTAGATACTCTTGGCTGTTCTGGGAGAGAGATCATCCATCACTGCATGCATCTTACATTTTATCACTGAGTTTGTGGTTGCACTCTGCTGACCTTTATTTGCTCATGGCAAACCATGCAATTGGTGTTTGATGTATTAACTTTGCTTCATCATCAACATTTTGTCTGCAAGCTTTGTGTTGGAATCATTGAAGATGAATGCCTTTCAATAGTCTACAGCAGCATCATATCAATTCTTCTGAAAATTTTTGGCTTTTAGGTGGCTTACTAGTATTTTGGAATCAATTACCAGTCTTTGATATCAGTAAAGTCTTAATTTATATATAAATAGTCATTTCAACTTGTGCAGATCTTCTGGAAGATCAATGCTTCACAAGATATCCAAAGTGGAATTTCACCCGCTTGGTGTAATTGGGGCTATTGTTTCATGGAATTACCCATTTCATAATATTTTTAATCCAATGCTTGCAGCAGTCTTTTCAGGAAATAGTGTGGTGATTAAGGTACTTAATGATGGATCATAGTAATTTTTTAGTCCGTTTTATCCTGTTATTCTTTGTCTTTATCAGTTTCAGAATGCTTCTTAGTTGTAATTTTGTGTCTAATCTCAGAGGCTGTAACCTAATGCCCAACATCCTTGTCCCTGTAAACAAGTTGCATTTACAGGGATGTATTTTGATATTTGTCACCAAGTTGACAGAAAACTATTTGATTGTAAGTGTAGGTTTCTGAAAATGCAAGCTGGTCTGGGTGTTTCTACTTTCGGATAATCCAAGAAGCTCTTGCTGCTGTTGGAGCTCCTCTAAATCTGGTTGAGGTAATTACAGGGTATGTATTTATTCCAACTATTTGGACGTACTAAGCTCTTTGTTTTTATGCAGCTTATATTAATTAGACTTCTCTGTCATAGCTTTGCTGAAACAGGAGAAGCACTGGTGTCTTCTGTTGATAAAACCATATTTGTTGGATCACCAGGTGTGGGAAAGATGGTATGATCTCATGAATGGCTGTGCTGTACCATTTAGTTGTTTTCCAGTATACTGAATTCACCTGCCTATTATTCGGTTCTGATTTTATTGTAATTGATTGCACAGTCTTTAAGTATGTCATGATGTTTCATGAAGCATATATTAAGTACTGTTCTTAACTATCAATAAAAGAAAATACACCACCTTTCATTTTTCATTTTTATTTCCCCCTAATTCCTATGTTAGTTTTGAATTCCGTAATAAATGAGTGTCTTGATGAGACTTCTTTTCTTGTTTTAATTGCAATTGTATTGACATGTTTGCTTTCATTGCAGATAATGAGAAATGCTGCTGAGATCCTTATGCCAATTACTCTTGAGCTTGGTGGGAAAGATGCATTTATTGTGTGTGAAGATGTTGATATTCCTCATGTATGTGATAACTAACATGATTGGACATAATCTGGTGATTTGTATATTCATTGGGATCTGAAGTTGCATTGGTGAGTGCCATTTGTGAGACTGTTTTCCATTATATAGGTTGCTCAAGTTGCTGTCAGGGCTGCTCTTCAATCAAGTGGGCAGAATTGTGCTGGGGCTGAGAGATTTTATGTTCACAGGGATATTTATACTTCATTTGCCAATCAAGTGACTAAGATTGTGAAGTCTGTTTCCGCTGTAAGATGTCCCTTCTCAACAATGTTAAATTAATATTGTGTCATTATGTGACTGATAGGCTATAACAAGCCGTTGCAGCTTTGCTTTTGATCTGGTCTATAACTTGTGTGCGTACTTTGGAATGTAATTGTAGTAGCGATTTTTTGAATTGTCAGGGCTGCAATTACTTACGAACTAAATCAGCATTCCCTGGAGTGAAATTAGATCTCTGATGTTTGGTTATTTTTTATAGGGCCCACCACTGGCTGGAAGATATGATATGGGCGCCATATGCTTGCTGGAGCATTCTGACAAGCTTCAAAGCCTTGTAGATTAGACAAAGGAGCAGAAATTGTTGCTCGTGGAAGTTTTGGCCATTTAGCTGAAGGTGCAGTTGATCAATTTTTCCCCCCTACCGTGCTCGTGAATGTGAACCATACAATGAAGTTGATGCAAGAAGAGGTAAGAAAACTTGTACTATTCTGTTAAACATAGCATTTGACATTTGTTTCATTTTGACCGTCCATTGAAGCATGCATAGCATGCTGCATTTGTAGCCAATCACTAGGAAAGAAATCATTTCAGCTTATTTGATCTTTCAGTGCCATATTTTTATTTTGCTAATTTGATATAAAATTCGAGTGCCATGCAGACTTTTGGACCGATCATGCCAATAATGAAATTTAGCACAGATGAAGAGGTTATCAAGCTTGCAAATGACTCAAGATATGGGCTTGGCTGTGCTGTTTTTTCTGGCAGTCAACGGCGTGCCAAGGATATAGCTTCCCAAATACAGTGTGGAGTTGCTGCAGTTAATGATTTTGCCTCAACTTATATGTGTCAGGTACTTCTCTTTTCCTCCTAGTTCTGTATATGGGATGGCCTTTTTCGCCCTCAGCTTGAGTTTAATCCCTATTAAAACCGTCTGTGGAAGGATTCCTTTGTCAACTCATATTATCTGTGTTTAACCCTGCTGAACTAAAGATGCCTATTTGTATTCCAGTCCCTGCCATTTGGTGGTGTAAAAGACAGCGGATTCGGGCGATTCGCCGGTGTTGAAGGATTGAGAGCTTGCTGTCTGGTAAAGTCGGTTGTTGAGGATAGATGGTGGCCTTATATCAAGACCAAGATACCAAAGCCTATTCAGGTCCGCCTTGCATCGGTAAAATACTTGATTTGATTATTCTTTTATATGCTGACTGATTTTTTTTTTTTTTTGCTTTTTTGCTCTGCCAACTATAGTATCCTGTTGCTGAAGATGGGTTTGAGTTTCAAGAATCACTTGTGGAGGCACTTTATGGCTTGAACATTTGGGACCGTCTACGAGCACTGGTCAATGTTCTAAAGATCATTTCCGAGCAAAATTCTGTTGCCAATAGCAAGAGAAGTGACTGAGTTGTTAGCATTATATTTTACTCCCTCTGTCCTAAAATGGTTGGCCTGACTTTTACGGAATTAAAAAAAAAATTAATTTTAATATTTTAATATTAAAAATAATTTTTTTATAAAAATAATTTTTTTTATTTTTAATGTCTTAAAAAAATCATAAAAATAATTTTAAAATATAAAAAAGGAGCTTTAGATGATTAAAAAAAGAAAAAAGACAATTTTTAATCATTATATTGAGGATTGTAATGATTCTCAAAATTCCATAAATTCAACTTTTTTTTTTCTCCTAACGAAGAAAGTTAAAGCAATTAGACATGTCCACGAGTTAGGTGTCTTGCTCAAGTAGACAATTTTTCAAGCCCAGACTCAACCAAAGATTTATTTTATTAACAAAAATGCTTTTTATTTTAATTTTAATTTTAACTATGAAGCAAAAACAGAGTCCTTGCATGCATAAAGCAAAGCCTGACCTCCCCGTAATATTGAACAAAGATTCCTAGAAAGAAACTGTGGGTAAGAACAAGCCTCCGTCAATGTAGTTATCATCAAAATTGCAGATATATCACACTGCATGTTTATCGAGGCATGTAGGAATCAAAAGAAGAACCTCACCTTCCAATCCGCCTACTTTTATAGAAACCTGATACAATGCCCTATTCACGCTTGAGCGCACGAGTGATCTCCCATGAAACTGCATCGGCCTCTGGTTGCCGCTTGCAATTCACCAATGCAACCATGAACCTTTCATTCTCTAGTGAGGAAGGATACATAACTTGCTCATCCTGGAATTAATTGATCCCAAATTATAAATTTAAAACCGTGAGAGGCAATTTGAAAACAAGAATACAAAATCCTTGTCCTAAGATGGTAAATGCACTGACATTCATCCTTTAACACAAACCTGTCTTTGAAAGCAAAAATAATATATGTAAAACCAAAACCTATAGCAATAATAACTTGGGAATTTATTTGATACATTATCAGCGAAATTTTTTAACTTCACGAAAGAGATTAAGAGACGAACAAATATAACACTTTTTTTTAATATACCGGGTATGTGTCACTCTGCTAATATCATTTGTGGAGTCTCAAAATTTCATTATCAGTGACAATTTCTCTAATAACATAATAGGTTAGCGAGTATAATTAATTCACAATAGCAAGATATTTCGGTACCTATGAATATGAAGTATTAGACAATTTAAAGTATATCCCTCCCCTTGCTTCCATGAATTCCCTATTCTTTTATGTCATTAAATGAACTCCTTTATCAAATTAGAAGTTTGATGCTAATCTCGTTTATATCCGCAAAATGAGAAGTATTTAATTTACACTTGAGAAGATGTGGTTACATTAGTGATTCATGGCATTACCTCAGGCAACTCATAGAATTCATCTGGTGATATCTGCAGCAACTCTGTAGCAGTTTGACCAGTACACCATGCAAAAGTTTTGGTGTTCTCGTCTGCAAGGGTGAGTTTCAGGTAGAAAGCACGCACAACTTCACCATCACAAACACTGTGACAGAAACTGCATTCAACTGCACCACTTGGCATCTCTTTGACAAAATGGCCACAAGGAGCATGTGAAAATCTTGTAGTAACATGATCAACTTGGTCAAGCCATACTCGACATATCTGAATATGTTTGAGACAGGAAAAGAAAAAGAATTAGCAAATGAAAAGTTAGGGTTTGACAATTAATTCATGCACATATGAGATGTGCTCATGATTGAAATGGATCAATTCCATTTTGTCATGATAGAAGCAAAAAGTTTGGTAGATCAGCATTGGTAGGCAATTGCTTAGGAAGCATTTGAAAGTTGAAACGGAATTCATGAACAAGAAACCAACATCATCAGCGATCCTTACATGCATAGAGCTACTCCTGCTTGAGAGATCAGAAAGGCGTGATAGCTTGTGAAGGCAAGATGAGTTTAATAATGCTGGCAAGCAACTGAGGTTGATGAGAGAAGCTCCAACATCCTTCTCAAACCATGACAGTTGAAAGCTGTGAAGCAAAACAAGCAGCCACGTCATCAGATGTTCACAAAATGCTCCTAAACTTCGTGCAAGTGGTAAATTTACCATAAACCTCAGATCAGGTGAAAGAGAACCATACATGTACAAATGTCAAGCTAGTCTTAACTGAATAGAAACTATTAAGATATATTTATGAATTCTCATGTATGCTTACCCATTTTGTTTTGTCTTAGAGCACTTCAAACCAGAAATATATGCCATGTGACCAAGGCTTACTCTTCCCAATGACCTGAGAAATGTATTATCAAGCAAAAATAAGAAGGGCAGGGAATAGAATGACTGCTACAATTCCATAAATTTAAGCAAACTTACGGTACCAAGATTGAGAGAAATGTAGCTTTGCCCAAATTGATCCAGTCACATCCTCAATTTTCAACAAGAAAATAACTTCTGCAGTATTTCTTTCTCGATATATGTCCGTAACCATGCCATAAAGGCTGATGCCAGTCATCTTGTCACGGAGGTCAACTACAAATGACTACAAAACTTTGAAAAAAATGTGAGAAACTAATATTAAATTAATTAACTGCAAAACCAGCACATAACTAAATATATCATGATTTGAGAAGTTGTAGGAAAAGGAGTTCAAATGATTGAGTAATAATAAGGCCAGCTTTTGAGGTTTCTGAAACAGAACTAGAATGAATTAGGATTATAAATGAACTCACCTGAAAAGGATAATTTCTGAAGTCAATGGAGCCTTGGGAATCACAGGGCAAGATCACTTGAGAAACTCTGGGACCTTGAGTAGGATCAACTGCAGCATGCAGCCTTGATCCTTGAAAGCGATTTTGCGTTGATGACAGACAGACCTAAGGGAAACAGAAGTTAACTCTCTATTCTAAATGGCAATTAAACCGTTCACATGATAATAGATAACTCACTTGTTCCTCATGTTGAACAAAAGGTACCAAGTATAATTGTGTTGCAGTTCCATATTCTAGACAAAACTCATCACTTGTTTCAATGGAACTCTCTGCAGAACTAGCAATATATGGTCTATCCAATGCGAGCATGCTTCCAACACTGCAAGGAATTGTGTCGTAGACTTAAATGCAAGAAAAAAAAACAATATCAATGTAATTTCCAGTGCAAAAATTACCTGAAAAGATTGGATAGGATTACTTGCTCATTCCACAAGAGAAATCTTAGTTTTACACCATCATTATCAACAAGAGTGATTTGCTTCCTCTGTAAACTACCACATTGTCCCAGAATTTCCAGTGATCCAATAGACTCAATCCTGTCAAGAAGAAGATAATGTGATGGATAAACCACAGAAACAATTGCTATAACTTAAAAACCACAGAAATAAAACTAAACCTAAGACACATTTGAATAAAAGTTTAATGAGATAAAAGAAAAATAAAAATTTTCATATTCAACCTAGAATACAATGAATACGAAACACCATTCTTCACTGCATCAAGAGAAATGGAAGAGAAAGAATCTGAGCAAAATTGTGCTCCTATCAGGATCGCATCATCATCCAGATCCTGCAAAACAAACAAAAAAAAGGAAAATAAACTTCTTACCCTCTTGCAAATGGAGAAAAAGAAATGTTGAAAGCAAGGTTTCCCTCAAAATAACGAATCATTGAGGAATTTGGCTTGCTTTGACCTTATATTTGCATTGAAAATCATAGATTAAACTTAGCAAGTCACCTCATCCAATAATATTACAAGATATTCCGTTGGCAATAACCGTGGGCTACCGGATCCTTCTTTGGCAGTTCGAAGATAGCACCCTGTAAGGAAAACCTCCCTCGCTTTCTTCAAAATCCCATTGGGAGGATCCACCAAGTCATAGTATCTACAAAGAGATAATCTCACAAACTTATTGGCAGCACAAACAGAAAACAACTACAGACTTTCCATCACTCTAAACTGATATATGGCATCCAGCATGGGCAATAAAACAGCTTTACATGGGTAAGGATGCATATGGACACGAGCAACTTTATACATTTACCTTCGGTGAAGATAAAGATTAATGGTATTGGAACTCCAATAATCCCCCAACGTAAGCATGTAGATATTCGTACCTAAAACAAAAGATATAGTTAGCCATTAAACTAAAGGCATAAGGGTAAAAAGGCTTCAAATAAAAATTCAATAATCATTTAAGCCCCTTGACATTTTATTGCAATCAATCAAGTCCTGAATCTTTTACTTCAGATCAATTGAACCCTTAAACATCTATTTTCACTCAATTAAGCCCTCAATTGGATGGAAACAGTTAATCAATTTTTCTCTAATAAGGGCTTAATTGATAAAAAAAAGTTGTTTGAGGGTTTAATTGATTGCAAAAAAACAAAGGGTTGGACGATTATTGAATTTTAATTCACGGGCTTTTTTGACACTTTTGTAAAAAAAAAAAAAAAAAAAAAAGGCATGGATTGTGATTGGAATCGATGAACATGAAACCTTAATTGTGTAGCTACCTGGAAGAACAAAAGCATCCACAATCACAACTTCCAAAACGCTACTTAAGGACAAGAAATTCTTCTCATATATAGTATCAATTGTAACTGTGTTCGGAAGCTTCGTTCTCCTATGTTTCCTTTTCATCTGATTTATAATCTCCGGCCTTTTCTTTGGAGCACCTATCCTATTTTGCTCACTCCACGCCTTGGAAACAATTAACAGATCAAAGATTTAATTATAAAAAAAAAAAAACAGAAAATTCAAATAAATCAAACGAATATTTGACCAATAGCTATATTAAGCTACGATAAGAAACCGCGATCACAAATTTAAACTTCTATGAATTTCGATTCCTTCTGTTAATGTAATAATAAACTAAAATGAGTAAAAATTGCTCAAAGTAAATCGATATTGTAGACACCCAATTGGGTACAAGAAAACTCAAAATGAAGCAAAAGAGAACGAGACTACAAAATCGTTACTTCGTTATAACGGAGCAAATTAGCAAAACCGAGGAAAAACCGTACAGTGAGTACAGTACCTGAGAGAGATCGGAGAGCAAAATAGCAGCAGTGACTCCACTTGAGTAAGAAATACACGTTTTAAGGATCCGAGACGCGACCCAGCTCCACCCGGGCCCACTATTACCCGCTTCATTTCCGTTCGGATCGTCGTCTTGGTCAGGAGACATGAAGGACCTAGCGTACTCGATAAATGCGAGAAACGGATCGTCTTCTTCTCGCTTTTGATCGTCATCAATTTCCATTACCGATGCTCCCTCTGAGAGAGTCGTCGGAGAATTTCTTCAGAAGCTAGAGTCTACACGGCGGTGGATTTTGCTATATTTGTTTTGGGAGGGAATTTTGAGAAAGGAAATTGTATTTTGGCGCGGTTTAATGAGTAGGGAGTAGCCAGCCTAAACAGGTCGAGAAATTATTAGGCAAACTCAATCATACGTTGCGTTTCGTGAGCGACGAAAAACACGAAATGGGCTTGGATGACATGAAGCCCTATGATAGTTAAAGGCTTTTTATAATTAACTGGCTAGGCTTGCTAACACTCTTGCTGTTTTGTTTGTGATATTTGGTAGTCTTTTGAAATTTAAAAATTTCATCGGTAACATTTTGAGTATTATATTGATCAATTCGATTAATTTTAAATTAAATAATTTTATTTTTATTAATTAAACTGAATTTTTTTATTTTAAAAATTAATCGACTAAAATTAACTCTATTAATTCATTTAATTTTCTCGATTCATTGAATAATAAAATATATTAAATTATATTATATTTTTAATTTTTATATTTACAACAAATTAAATTAAAAAATTTTAAAAAATTCAAATACCAAAATATTCAATTAAAAATTTTAATTATATATAAAAGTTATTATATTTCAATTAATTCAATTTTTGAATCAAATTAACAAAAATTAAAAATTTTTTAAAATTACTTTTGATATTTGAATAAAATTAATTCAATAATAAACTGATTAATCAAATTAAATCAATTTAATCGATTAATTCTATTAAAATTAAATTTTGAACACCCCTAATATCGTCTTAGACTTTGTTCGCTAGATTTTTTTGCCATTTTTTTAAGAATTAAAAAGCTAGTAAAAATAAAGAGAAAAAAAATCAAATACTTGAAAACAAATAATAAAAACATCAACCAAATGAAATCTTAACAATTAAGATAAGATTAAAATATTGTGCCTACGAGAACCATACTATAACTTTCGGTTGGTATTACGTAAGGAGAAACATCACCTTACCAACCATCTAATTGTCATAAATAATGCTTGAAGAAAACTCAATTTGACCATCTAAATTACAAAACTTGCATTAATACTAAATCAAAAGGCCAATGCTATCAAACCTCTGTAACCAACCAAAGAGAAAAGTATACAAAATGTCTTCTCAAAATACATCGAAGTATATAAACAGAATGGCGATATAAGAAGAACATGCACAGGCTAAGTGAAACCAAAATTAAGTGCAAAAAACATGCAGTCTCATTACAGGGTTAGTGAAGGAAATCTCAATAACATCTCTTCGAGGGCAATAATAATGTAGACAAACCTTTACAGTAATGAAAAGAAAAACTTCAAATTTCCTGTTGCAGCATCACATCGATGATCAACACGGGAGATTTGGGCTGATAATGTTCGTCGGTATCAACCTCTTCAATTTCCTAAATGCGACGTTGGGATATAAAGAGTTCAATGTTAGCATTAGCCAAATAATACACAATCTAACAACACAAATCCAGATTACCTACAAAAGAAAATGTTGTTACCTGAACCACATCTTCACCCTTGATGACACGTCCAAATACAAATAGTTTATCATTTAAATCTGGTATTGGCGCAGTTGTGATAAATAGCTGAAATGCCTTGCTATCTTCTTTAACTTTTGTAGTTCCAAGCATAAAAGCTTCATGTTTTGGACTGGTTAGTTACGAGAAAAGATTTAAGTTTTCTAACTGACAAAAAAAAAAAAAAAAAACAAAGGACACTCTATACGCAAAGAAAAAGTACATTCCAGATGACCTTGTGGTCAGTCTACCGCGAAGCTTCCCTTTTGATGTCCAGTCTTCAATGCCTCCAAGACCTTGTGAATGTCCTCCCAGAATGACATAGTTTTTTATCACATGGTGGAAAGGCATCCCCTTGAAATGCCCCTTTTGACTGCAAAATCGGTCAGTCTTAGGATCTTTGAAGAGTATAACAAATATTGATTTATATTAACCAGTGCATCAAGAAGCATTTAAGTCTCTTCTTTCCCACCACAGTAATCTTAATTGTCACAATAATCATGAGATCAGAAAGTTCAAGTTAGAGGAATTTTTTCCAGAAAGTGGTGAATAATTACATCTATATCCCATATTTTCATTTTCGGGTCATATGCATCAGATAATCAACAAGGAAAATTCTAAGACCCGTATTAGAACAACAGCAGCTTTACTGTTGGTAATCTGAATAAATTAAAGTAACCAGGATTAAAATAAGTAACATCTTTGGTGTAATACTTGCATACTAACCAAAGAAGAAAAAAAAATATCATGCTATTACCAACAGCTTTACTGTTGGTAATCTGTATAAATTAAAGTAACCGGGATTAAAATAAGTAATATTTTTGGTGCAATGCTTGCATACTAACCAAAGAAGAAAAAAATATATCATGCTATTAAATAGAAGTAAGTATGCCTATGTACATTTACCTCTTATTTAGATAACCATATAAAAATGTTTGCTACTGTAACAATTCTCAAATGAAGACATATGGCCACAAATGTAAGTTCTTTGAGCAATGAAGGACAAATTAAAGGAAACTCTAATTATCTCTCTAAAAGTGGTGAAATGGGGCAATAGAAAGATAAGAAATGTACAATTAAAGCATTGAAAACATAAAATTATTTGGTCATCAGACAAGGCATTCGATTCATACAGCCTTTTCTTACTCTAGACTGTTAAACAATATAAATCATATTTCCGCTAATCAATAGTAATAAAAAAATGTATAAATATACTTGGTAAACTTACCACAAGTCAAGAAATTTGTCTACAGTCTCAGGAGAACCATCTTTGAAGAGTTCTATAGTTATATACCCTTTTGATGTATTTAGAACCTACAAAAAGGAAATGGTTTAACTAAATAAAAAAGGTACAGGGTAATCAAATAAACAGTATTTATGCAATTACTCCATTGGAGAAACTTACAGCATATCCAGGAAGATCATACTTCTTTGAATCCACAATTTCATCAACATGCTGAATCAAAAAACAAAAATATTTAAGGGAGTCAATGAACAGAGCTTTCGACGAACCATTCGTGAAAATATTTTATTTCTATTCATTTATGTTTGTTTATTAAACATAACAAACAATTTTAAACAACATTTTTATATTCATTTATTAAATGAACTGAACACAAATAGAGGTCTGTTTGGTTTATTCATGTTTGTGAACAAGCTCATTTAAAGTTCATTTAAAATTCGTTCATTTATTGTTCGTTTGATGTTTCTTTATAATAATACTAACAAAATTAAATTTTTATCCTTTATCCTAATCTGATTTTAAAGTTTGTTTATGTTTGTTTTGATTCATTTATGCTATTTAGGGTTTATTTGTTTAAATTGATTTGGTTATGGTTTGTTTATTATTCATAAACATGTTCGTTTATAGATGTTTGTGAACATGTTTGTTTAACTTAATTGATTCAAACACAAATCGAAAGTGAACATCCTACCATTTAAACGGACCGAGCTCAAACGAACAGAGTAATTTTATTACTAAATACAAACCGAACCTAAACACCTCTAAAAATAAATGAAGAAACCAGGTACATTCATTCGTTCATGTTTGATTTGTTTACAGCCCTAAAATTATTTAGGGCTTCAACAAAATACCATCTAACACCATGTTTTGTAGGAAGGAAGAAAAACAAGGGGAAGGGAAAAAATACCTCAAATTTTGACAACCCAATTCCTGTTTGTTCCCTTGACCTGCTGCAATTAACAATGGAAACCAATTTACAAGCAAATTAATTTTCAGATGAATAAATAAAGATGAAAAAGAAAGAAGCAACCGTGGATAAGATTGGGATACCAAACCTTTGAAACCAATGCCTGTAAGTAGCAATTAAAGACAATAAAATCAATAGAACAATTAAATTGCAGAAGAGAATTGTAGTAACATTGATCCGAGTTGGCCCTTTCTTCTTTTTGCTTTGAATTAACAGTGCCTGAGGCTTTATCCTTGCCATCTAAGCTTAGCTTCAACTGTGAAATTTCAATAAGAATTTTAAATATAATCACAGCAGAGCAGATCCATTACTATTTCTTGAAAACTAACTTCACAGTTCAAACTCCGGCTTGGAAATTTCGAATAAACTGATTAAAAGAAATAAAAAATTTTGATATAATTCGATCCGTTGAATGAAAAAGTTGAAAAGTTACCTTTGAAATTCGAAGGAGTGATTCGACAGAGTTGTTGGAGGTTTGCTTTTGATCGTTTTTAATCTGAGATTAGGTGATGGGCTGGATTTTTTTCGGGTCTGGAGTTGGTGGGCCACCACCGTAGAGTGGTTCCGGATGTGGATATGCGTGTCTAAGGCGACGGTTGTGATCGCATCAGGAGGGCTGATGTTGGAGGTGATGGACAACCGGACTTTGCCTGTTGTTCCCTGCTTTACACGTTGGATCTCTCTCTCTCTCTCTCTCTCTCTCTCTCTCTCTCCTTGTTCTGAGTTGTGCAAAACGCGTTTCGGAAGAATTTGAACCTCCGTTGCTTCGCTGGACGATGATTCCTTATGGTCGGTTATGAGATTGATCGAACGGTTGCAGTTTCTTGATTTTTCGTGGGACCAAATCCAAGTACTTGCACTGCATTAAGCATTGGATAAGATTGTAGATATTAGATTTATTCGTACTTATTTAGTTTGGGTTTAATTAATTTTATTATTTCTTATTTATTTTCAGTTTATTTTTAAATCAATTTTATAAATTATTAGTACATTAAATAATTTGTAAATATATTATAGTTTAAAATAAAAAAACATTACTCAATTTTAATATAATTGTTATTAGAGTTTAAAAGTTGAATGATGGTTAATATATCGAATAACGTTTTGATTATTTTAAAAAAATAATATATGTTGGTACTAATTATTTTTATATGTTATTTTAATTTTTGATTTAATATAAATATATTTATAAATATAAATAAACTTATATGTAATAATATTATTAATAATTTACAAAATAAATATAAAATAATATATTTAAAAACTAAATAAATAAATTTAAAATATAAGAAATAATATTATCAACTTATCATTATATTTTTAAACAATTAATTTAATTATATGATTTTAAACACTTATTTTTTTATGTAAAAATTTATTAAGATAAAAACAAAAATATGAACAAAAAAAAATTTTGGTTTCATGAGTGTTAAACTTTAAATAGAGAGTATAAATATTTTTTTTTAAAAGTACTGAAATACTTATAAATTTTGATTTTAAGAAATAAAGTGTTAAAGAAAACAAATTACAGTAAAAAAATATATAAACTTAACTTTTAAGTATTATTTTGTTTATTAGTTTTATTTTTATTATATTAAAAATAATTAAATAACAAAAAAATAAATTATAAATTATAAAATATATTTCATATTTACGTATCGACTGAAACAAATTAATATATAAAAATAATCAATTTTACTCAATTCCAAATCTAATACAAAATATCATTTTTAAGTATACCTCTATTTATATAATTAGAATATACCAATCGATACCATCAATATTGAAATAAAATTAATAAAATTGATTTAAACCCAACTCAATATAATAAATAAGTTGAATTCCAATATTTATTGAGCGAATTTTGAGTAACATGGAATAGTTTTTCTTATTTATACCTTTAATTTTTGTGAGTCTGACAAAATAGAAAAATGACGTGCATCCTTTGTGATAGAATAATTAAATAATTTATAGTGTTCCAATAAATTTATTATATTTTCAAAGGAATGAGGTTGCAAATTCAAATTTTTGTCTAATATACTCTTTAAAATGTTATAATTACTATAGAAATTTGGGCTTTTCGCAACAATTTTTTCTAACATTATTAGTAACATAATATATATTTAATATTATAAAATGAAAAATGAAAATGATGGAGTTCGAACTTTTACTTTACATATCTTTTTAAGCTTTTTTAATCACTAATATAAATTAATTATATAATTTAATTTGTATAGATATGAATATATTACATTTTGTATTTATGTTTTGGGTAGGATTAGATAAGATTAGTGGAAACAAGAATTTGAATATTGAATTTAAATTTATAAATAAACCGAATACAAATAAACGAATGTATGTTTGTAGTTTATTTATTTATTTTTATAGATGTTTATATTTGTTAAGAAAATTACTCTATTCATTCGTTGAAATAATAAATTATTAGTGTTCGATTCGTATTCATTTAATGAAGTTAAACGAGCCAATTTTTGAATATTAAATAAATGTGTTTACGAACATATATAAATAAGTATATTCATAAATAATAAATAAATTATAATCAAACAAATTTAAATAAATAAATTATAAACAAATATAAATGAACCAACACAAATATAAATGAACATTAAAATAGGATTAAGATAAAAGATAAATGATAAAAATATAATTTTATTATTATTATTATAAACGAATAACAAATGAATAATAAATAAACGAATTTTAAATAAATTTTAAATAAGATTGTTTAAGAACATAAATTGAATCAAATAGACTTTTGTTTATGTTCAATTTATTTAATAAATTAATAAACATAAAAATATTATTTAAAATTATTTGTTAAATTTAATAAATAAATAAAATTTAAATATATTTACGAGCAGTTTATCAAAAATTTTATTTATTTACGCTCTTAGTTGAATTTTGTTTTTATATTCAAAGGATAATAATAGTAGTTACTAATTTAGATTTATTTTTTATATTTGAGGTGGCAAGATTTGAATATCAATTATTAAAATATATTAAGAATCAAATACTCTATTAATAAATATCAGCTTTGTTTGGGAACAAATTAGAATTGTATTATTATTATTATAAGCTTAGTAATTACACAACATATGAAATTGAATTTAAATTAAAATATTCTCATAAATTTGAAATGTTCGTATTGTTAAATTGGTCTCATGAACTTAGTTTCGAATAAATTATTACAAAATTTGGATGTAATTTAATCATTAAATTAAAATACTTAATATAAAATTTACCTATTTATTATAAGTTAAGATTTTATAAATATGATCGCGTCAAAATTTTTTATATTTTTATGTAAGGTAAAAACTTCACATGTTTTCTGCTCTAAGCACAAGACTCATAATCTCATATAGATTTTTTAGAATTTGAGCTTCACATGTAACTTTTTTTTTTTATTCTTGTAACTATTTTATAATCTCACGTACTTTTCTTTTTGTAAAATTAATGTAAATAAAATTTTCAATCTCTAAGGTAAAAATTATCGTATCTGAGTGTGTAAGATGGTGACCGAAACTTAAGCATTTGAAATGATTTCAATAAACGGTATAGAAAAAAAAAGAAGAAAAAGGCACACTAAAATATCATTCGGTATCAGAGGGGTTATAGACAGGGAAGGAGAAGGAAAAGATAGGGAAAAATGAAAGAGAGAGTGACGCTAACAGAGATCAAGCTCGAAGATTATGCGCATTTCCTTGAGAATCCGTACGATATAGCTTTGAGTTACCAGCAGCTTAATCAGGTTTCTATTCTCTTTCATTTCCAATTTTCTTTTCTTTTTGTTTTCTCGTCTGTTTGGTTGCCAGCAAAAGAAAACCATAAGACTGACAAACAAATCTCTAATTATTCTTTCCTCTTCCATTTTCTGTTTGGTTCCATAACAAAAGATCATCTATATGCACGGATTCAAAAAGATTCACAAGCGCAGCAGGGTAAATTTTCGCGATAAATCTGTTTTCGTTTAACTTTTTTTTTTTCTCTCAGGCTGACCTGTACGAAGCGTTGAGCACCATTGATCTGATGAAGCCACAGCACTCAAGGCTCAAGGACGATTTTCCACCGTACGATGATGGTTCTGCACTCACGCTAGAAAAAGTCAAGCAAGACCTTGAAACTCTGCTGTGGCGGAGTGTCCCGTACAATCAATCCAAGTCGTTCATGCTCCTACAGTGAAAGATAATCCACCTATATATAACGGCTCTGATGGCGTCTGTAGAGGCAGCGCCATATCATCGTTCACCATCACCCGTAAAAGGCAGAGATCGGGGAGGAGGAAGAGGATGAGCGCCGCGTATCGTGGCGACGTTGAACAACATAACGATACCGTTGGGGTTGTGAACGGCGTTGAGTCCGGCGTGGCACGTGATCACGATGATGGTCTGATTCAGCCCGAGTTATCTTCGTTGTACGTTGATACGTACAGTTGGCAGTTTTGACTGGATGGGTTTAATCCACGTGTCTAGTTGTCATTAGACGGATCGTTTTTGGCTTTTTTGGAAGACTGTACCTGATGCTGATTGTAATCATCATTTGTTTTTTCACTTTATGGGAGGTTAATTTTTCACAATTTTTACTCATACTTATACTTTTTACTCAACGAATTAACTACATAAGTAGTGGCATAAATTTTCCTTTGCTTAATGGTAAAAAAATTCACTATCAAATATAAATTAAAATTAACAAGTAGAATATAAAATTTTAATGATAGGCTTATCATGTAACTATTTTTATGAAATTATGAATTATAATTACAGTTAAACATTGCATTTATATATAAAAAATACTAATAATCAAATGAATTAAATGATTAATAAATTAAAACATAATTAAACAAATTTAATATAAAGTTGAATCAAACTAATAGGATTTGAACCTAAAATTTTAGGATTTTCCTGCTTCCTCTTATTACTAGATTAAGATCTTATCGACAATATGTGAGAATTATTTATACAAGATTTCGTGATTTCGTACATATTAAAATTGTTAATGATTTTGAACAATTAGTATATTTTGTTGTTAGTAAAAAGAAATTTAACCATGCTTCTCACATGTTATAAATTGTTAGGAGATATAATTTGCAAAGGGTATTTTGGCATGAAGAATTTGATTGATTCTTTTTAATTAATTTGAGTAGTAAAAAAAAAATTGGAAGGCTAGAAGGCAAGTAAATGTATATCTTGCAAAGGGGCTGATATTGTGCTATAAATAAAAATGAAGATGATTATGTTACAATTGAAACTGCCTACCTAGCTGATGAGCAATAAAAGTTTCAGAACTACAAAAGAAATTGAAGAAGCAATGCCAATGAAAGGTTGTTGCTGAACAACTTGAGGACAACAATGTTGAATAATTGGTATTTATACATATATATATATAGTCAAATATCCTTGAACATTGATTAATGCCTGAACTTTTCCTTTTTGGTAATTACGGTAGATGAGGATTCAATTCTGAATCTTGATTATTAAAATTAAAACGTCAACATTTTATCTATAGATCACATGATTAATGTACGGAATTTGTCATTGGATTTAGTCCTTCAAATCCATAATTACTTGTTGACATCATCTTCACAGAAAAGTAAGACATATCACTTGTAACTAGTTTCATTTATTTTCCCTTTTAACTTGCTGTTTTGTTAGGTCTTTGAACTGTGGCGACTGGCTTGTATAAAAAATTTCTGTTTTGAGATTGTGGAAAAACTGCCAGATCCGTTGAAAAAATTGTCACTCTACTCATTACCAGGTTCAATTTTATCATGAAATGATCACTGTTGCTTGCTCTGGTTTAGTTAGAATTGAATCACAAAAGAAAAGTTTTAGTTTTGAAGGGCAGTTCACATATATATATATATATATAAAAGAAAAGCTGAGTTTTCAAAAATATGTGATACTATGATGTTATTATTTCCTTCCATGTTGCATGGAAAATCCATGTTTTGTCGATGGAGATTCTACCACATCAAAAGCTGCTGCAAAATGTTGGGATTTTGTAATGGACAAAAAAGGGGCAATTATAAACTCCAAGACTACTTTTGAAGAACAGCTTTGGGATGTGATTTGAATTGAAACTGGCAAATCACAAAAAAGAAACACACAGAATGATTGATGATGATGATGATGATTCATATAGACATTTTCCTAGCTAGCCTGGCCAACCCTTTTCACATGGGATACTCATATAGACTTCTGCCATTGCCATTTCAAATAGCGGTATATATAACAGAGAATATATTAACTGCAGAAACAACAAACTGAATAACAACATTTGAATGACTCGGATTTTAGCACTGTGGCACCAAGCTTAGCCATCAATCTCTCTTGGAACCTTCAAGAACAGATAAGGGCAGAAAAAAAAAAAAGATTTAACATTTCATTTTCTGTTAAGAAAAAGCTGTTGCAGCCTGCAGCAGAGAAAGATATATCATAATCCTATACATAGCTTAGCCTGTAATTGCTTATATTGTACATTGATGTAGACTTGGAAGATATGTATGTATATGTATGTGTATATATATATATATGTAGAAAGTTGCAATATCACCTTATGTCTTGAATTCATACATCAATACATATGTAATAACTGAAGTTTAGCTTAGCTGATTTATGCAGTCACCTTTAATGCGTGGCAGATTGGAGGGGTGATAAGTTTTGGCAATTCTTTCACCTTGAACCTTATCTGATTGAGAGCCAAACTTAGGAAGAGTCTAGATAACATTAATTTGCATATATAACTTAGCATGTTCTGTATCAGATTGCAAATAAGTGTTCTAAACTCCTCTTTATGTTAGCCTAAAGTATGTTCGGCTAGCTGCTGGCCAGAAAGACACCATTTACTATTTCTGAACCAAAAACTAACATAATCAATGGATTGCAGCAGGGTTTGAACGATGATATATATAGGTCAACCGAGGCCAGAATATGTATCAAGACGATAAAGTAATTAATAAGCTTCTCTATCTCTCTAGATGATATAGTGACAATTGGCGTATGTACATAACTATTTATTGAGCTGTCCTTCAAGGTTTGAACAGAAGAAATTAAGGGAACTGACATGGAAACATATACAAAAACATGTGAATGATTACAATGATTCAGCGAATCACTTGATGACACCGTTGTTCCATTTTTGTGGTGCAGGCCATGTAGAGCGTTTACCACTTATCGTCCTTGTTAAATAAGAAAACGACTCTCTCTGAAACACTGCCAGCTGCTGCTTTTCTTTCACGCATCAGTAAATTTTAAAACTACCTTGCAAATTTGCTCACAGAAAAAACAAGAGGTTGTATCCACAAAAGAGGCATCAATTTTTCGTGCAACTTGATGATATGGAGCTCATAGAACTCGAAGGATAAAGGGGTAATAAAATCTAAAACAATTTCTCTGGTATATATAAGATTGAAAGTGAGTTGATTGTGGCAGTTAGCCTATTCAAGAAAGATTCAGTGATTGAAAACTTTTATTTCCCAACTTAGGCTGAAACCCAACTTGTTTCTTTTAAGCCAAGAGAAATGGTTGACAGCATAGGAGATAAGGTTCTGGTTAGGGAATTTGATGATGGCAGAGATATTGAAATGGTGGGGAAGCTTGAGAAAAAGTGTGAGATAGGGTCTAATAATAAGGGGACCTCCATTTTTACAAATATGATGGGTGACCCTTTGTGTAGAATTAGGTTCTATCCACTTCATCTTATGCTGGTGAGTGATGTCAACTTCAAACATAGAACCTAGATATCATTTTTTTTTACAGTTTCTTACACTTTATCTCTCATATGGAATAAACATTTCTAATGATTTGTCAATGTTTCCTTATAATACATGGTTTACTTTCTTTAAGGAAACCCATTGTCCCCATTGAGATCATTGTTGATGTAGATATAACTGATGAATGGCGTATGACGGCTGGTGTGCTTCAAAATGGCCTACAGGTAGCTGAGCTGCGTCAAAATGGGGAGCTTGTCGGAGTAATTAGAGGCTGCATCAAGTATGTCGGGACTAAATTTGGAGGAGCACATGTGAAGTTGGGTTGCATTCTAGGCCTTAGAGTATCTCCTAGACATCGGTATATTCTCTCTCAGCCTCTCTTCCTGCACAACGTCAATGTGAAGTCACTGTTATCTTTTTACAATCACATGTCTAGAGCACAACACTATTTACATTTATGAATAGTACAAATCAATGGATTTTATTAATGGTGAGTATGACAAGATCACGTGAAGATAATTAAAACAGCATGATCTTCCAAATAATCTTCTGCTTAATGCATAAAAAAGTTCCTTTTTCTTCTTATTCCTTTCTTTTTTTGAATATGTTTGAACAGATTTTGACATCAAATACAAACTTTGGAAGTGTAGATTATCAATTTTAATCATAGAGAAATTTGTTCCAGTACTTCCAGTTAATGCTATTCTTGAGGAATTAAACATTTAGGAGTAAATTAATAGTATAGCATTTAGGATGATATATAATGATTATGCTATAAAGTACGACATTTTGCTTTCACACCTAACTACCATTGAGTTGATTGCAAGCTGCTTGGATGTGTTCATTTTCCCCTTAAATGTATCCTAAAATTAATCATATTGATAACTAATTATGTATTCTTTTGGCAAGTAACATAATGTATATAATTTCCATTTTAAACAAATGTAGGCGAATGGGGATCGGATTAAAACTTGTGAGAGCAATGGAAGAATGGTTGATAAATAATGGAGCACACTACACTTTCCTAGCAACAGAAAGGAACAATGTTGCCTCTACAAACCTCTTCACTGCCAAATGCAATTACAGAAATTTAAGCTCATTAGTCATATTTGTTCAACCAATCAGTTTTGCAATGAAGGGTGGCCTCTCTCAAGATATTAAAGTAGAGAAGTTGACTATAGACCAAGCAATTTCTTTGTATGATAACAAGCTCAGAGGCAAAGATATATATCTGACTGACATTGACGCAATCCTGAAGGAAGAGCTGAGTCTTGGCACATGGGTATCTTATTTCAAACAAGATGAATGGATAGGTTTGCACAGTAAAGAGAAGAATAATGAAGATATTATTAGTACAAGTCCAGGCTCTTGGGCCATGTTTAGCATATGGAATTCTTGTGAAGCTTACAAGATTCATATCAAAAAGTCTCATCCATTGAAGTTTTTTCTTGAAACTTTAAGCCACGCAAGAGACAAGATCTTCCCTTGCCTTAAGATTCCAATATGTGATTCAGTTGAAAAACCATTTGGTTTCCTATTTCTTTATGGACTTCATGGAGAGGGAGAGAGGCTTGGGGAGCTCATGAAATCTGCATGGAGCTTTGCATCAAGATTGGCAGAAAATGTAAAGGACTGCAAGGTGATCATAACTGAGTTAGGTGTCTCTGATCCTCTCATGGAACATGTTCCCCATGAGTCATCTATGTCACGAATCGATGATCTCTGGTACTTGAAGAAAGTGAACGGATCCATCAATGATGAGGACGACCTAGGAATGACGGGAGAACTTGGAAATGTGGTTGTTGATCCGAGAGATTTCTAGAGTTCTTCACTAAATGTAAACTGATGTTTCTTATGGGGTTACCTGGAAAAGAAAAAAAAAAAACTTAAAAGCTTTTGTATTTTTACCTTGTTATATCAATATTTAAGACTCCAATTGCTTTCTCCAATTGCTTTCTCATTTGTATGCTTAATGAAATTTTCAAGTACCAAATTAATTTCTAGAGCTCAAAAGTCAGTCAAAATTTGATTCCTGAGTTGGTAACCCTACTGCCTCGTATATCAACAATGTTATCAATGAACATACCTAAAGAAAATGAGAACACAAAGATTTTGGAAATGCAATGCTCACAGCCTAATTCTATTGAACTGATATATTTTCTAGTGATTAGTATACAAGTTTTAAAATACATACCAGGTTACAAAATACAAAGGAAAAATACATATATTTGAATTTTGAACATAAACCTTATCCAGATTAACTAGATTTGATCTTCAGATGAGATAGGATCTGCAACTTGATTCTCTATCTGGTTTCCTTCAAATATATATACCGGCCTTAAAATTGCAATCCCATTGGACTTGAGAGAGTAGCTAGGGAAGAGTACGATCCCTTCTGATTCTGGTTGGGTCAAGAAATGAATCCCTCAGAGTCAGATATGATAAAAGTAGGGCCTGCTGGATCTCGTACAGGAGAACCATGGGATGAGAAGGGTCATTCTGAAATCAATGAAATATATATGTCACTATTAATTCTATACAATTTCAGTATTTTTTCCGAGCTACATGGAGAGCCTGGGGGTCGATTCTTCCATGTTGTAAGTCTTTAAGCATTTTCCTACAAAAAGGCTCGCCCTCGCACTCCCTATATGTATAGTTTTTTCTTTAAAATTCTTTGTGTTTTCTGTTTGTACTAAGTTTTAACGTCGAAAATGTTGTGTACTCTACAAAACAAGCACATCTCAACTATCCATCAGAGTATATTACTGGGATAGCAGGCAATGCTAATTCGTATATCAGTTCACTTGCCATTGTTACGAATATAACAACATATGGACCCTTCGGTTGCCAAACGAAGGCTAATGGATTTCACTTTCGACTTGGTAATTCACGTTTGTTTGGTGGATTTTATGGACACTTTTTAAAAAGGAATAATGGTACAGTATGTCTCAGCGCCCTTGGCATTAATGTTAAGCCCACCAAAAATCTGCCAACTTACACCGAAGATAATGGCAGACCTGTGGTTGTAAAACAAAAAAATATTAGGGTCATTGCCTGGAAAATGAATGGTTCAATAAAAGATATTTTTCTCAAGAGTTCGTCTAAAGTTAGTATGATTATAAATAGTGATATTGTGTGAGAGTTTGAGTGTTAATTATTTTTTTATATGCTTTTAATTGTGTACAATAAATAAATATTTTTTATTTTATGTCTATGGTTTTTTTTTTTGTCTTTTAATTTTTTGTTTTAATTGATTTGCTAACGATATATGTACGTTAATGATTTTATTATTCGTATATTTATGACTTGAACATTGATAGCATAATTAACTTGTTTTAATTCCTTAAAATTATTTTTTAATATATATTATTTTTATAGTTTAATCTACCTCTATAATTAATTTTTCTTTTATATTTTTTTCTAAAATTTTATAATTATTATTTTTATGAAAAAAATAATATAAAATCAAATGTCAATAAATTGCACATTCTTCACCAACAATTAGCATTATGTAGTTTATTAAACACCTTGAATACTTCAATTGGACATGCTAACATAGAATTAGATGATTTAGGAGTGGTAGAGTTAACAGTAGATCAGGACCAAATTGTCATAAGAATTGTATATTTTCTTTAATATCTATATTAAAATGATTTAATATTTTCAATTATATTAAATTATTAACTTTTTTAGGTCATCTAGGTGATTGGATAATATAACGTGAATTATTCTAAATTAAGAAATATTAAATGAAGTAAGATTAATTATTTTTGTTGAATTCTTTTAAGGCGTGACAAAATTCATTTGAACCAATTTTTTAATTAATTCAAAAAAATTTATATTGATAATACTGAAAACGAAATCATTATAAATGTATAGATGATATATAACAAGTTTGTTATTATAAGAAATGAAATTTTCTTAAAAAGAAAATGTGACAACTATCAAGGTTAGAAATTTATTTTATTTTAATTTTTAAAATTGTCTTTTAATATTTTTTATACAATAAAAACTTATGTATAATAAAAATTTTTTAATAAAAAAATTAAGCTTGGTAGAACATACAATTACAAACAAACAATTGAAGTACCAATAGAAAATTATCATAAGATAAAAAAATAGATGAAAGATTCATTAATTATGCATAAATTTATTTTTTCTATATAACAAAAAATGTTAGTATTATATAATATTTCAATGGAAAGTATACAAATATATTTATTTCATTGATGGCATCTATTGCTATTTCAAATGCAAAGTAAGAAATGATAACGATAAAATGATGGATAATTGTGACTGGGATTGAATTTTTAAAATAATTTAATGATAAGGAAATTAAAAAAAATAAAATTTGTCTTTCAAATTCAGAATAATAAAAGATAAATCTAATCAATTTTAATGGAGATGTGTATTTAAAATTTATGATACACATATATATATATATTTATATATATTCTTAAAATTTGGCTAAATTTAAAAAAGAAAGATAAATTCTAAGTTTGATATTTTTGAATTCAAAATTTGTACAAAATTTTCAAATTTTCATAGATTTTCGATCTAAATTTAAATAATTTATTAAATGTAATTATTTTATAAATAAATTTTAGAAGATAATATATCTATGAGATTTTTAAATTTAAAAAGATATAAATATATTTAGATTATTAGAAAATCCTAAAAAATAATATATCTAAATTAGATTTTGTCACTAACAATTAAAAAAATATAAGAAGTGGTCATTTATTTAAAATTTGAAAGTTTTGGATAATTAAATAAAATTTTAAATATATATTTATGATTGTAGACACCCAATTTGGTCCAGGCCCGGATCAATTGGGCCTGGTCCGAATGGGTAAGCCCAATTTGGTTTTTATTTTGTAATTTTATTTTTATTTTTATTTTTTTTCTTTGTATTTTATGTATTTATTATTTATTTATTATTACTATATATTAATATATGTATATCTTTATTTATTTATTTTTCTTTTCTGTTAATATCTATATATGTATTTTATTTATCTAGTTATATATTTATTATTATAATTTATTTATTATTTTTTTACTTATCTTGTAGTATTTTTTATTTATCTTATTATTATTTTTAATTATCTGTTATATTTTTTTTTCTTTTTCTTTTTTCGTTTATCTGATTTTTTTTTCATTTATCAGATTTCTTTTTTTCTTTTTTTGGGCTGAGATTGAATTCTGTTGAAGAATCCTACCGAGAATGGGGATTCAATTAGAGTCCAGATTAGATTCAAAGATTGAATCCCCATCCAAAAAAGAGTAGGGATTGATCAGAAACTCTTCTGATCAATCCCTATAAATAGATGCAGAACACAGAAGCAAAAGAGAGAGAAAAAAATAGTAAGCAAAAGCTACTGATTTGAGAGAAAATGGGCGTGTAGAAAATTTTTGAAGGCTAAGAAAATGTTTAGAAGTGTTCTGAAAATTAGCAAAAATTTTTTGAAGATTTTTTTTCTGGAAATTTTTCGAAAATTTCATATTTCGGTTGAATTTTCTGACAAAAGTTGCATTTTTCGACGACGATTCCGGCCAACTTTGAAGTTTTCGGAGAGCTGTCCAGTTTTCGACGAAGGATCCCAGAAACCGACCAACTTTTCAATGAACTTCCGACGAAAAACCCAGATTCCGGTGAAATTTTTCAGAATCTGGTGAACATTCAATCGGAGTTCTTCGACCGTTTTAGAGAGAAGCGAGAGAAAAAAGAGGAAGAGAGAGAGGGGAGAAGGTTTCTGTCAAAAAACAGAGGGAAGAGCCTTATATACCATCCCAAAATGACGTTGTTTTTGCCTTAAGTAACCCAGAGGATTCGCGCGTTTTGTCGAGATTCGACCCGACCCGAGCGTCGACCCGCTTCCTAACCCGAGCGTGTCTTCCCCCCTCCGAGCCGATAGTCAAGCCGAGCCGAGGTCCCAAGCCATTTTTTCGAGCCGTTTCTCTTCCTTAAGCCGAGCCGAACCATACTCTGAGCCGCTCTAGGTTTTTTTTTTTGAATTTATTTATTTATTTTTATTTATTAGATTAGGTTTATTTAATATTTTTTTATCTTTATTTTATTTTTGTTTTACTTTTCTTTATTTTTTTAATTTTAATTTTATTTATTTTCACTTTTATTTTGTTTTATTATTCTATTTTCTTTAAATAAAAATAAAAAAATATTTTTTGAAAAAAGTTGAAAGTATCAATTTTCCTTGAAAATCAAAGTTTCCAAAGAATATTTTTGGAGAAAAGTTGAAAGTATCAATTTTCCTTAAAAATAAATTTTAAAAAAAAGCGTTTTTGAGGAAAAGTTGAAAGTATCAATTTTTCTTAAAAATAAAATTTCAAAAAAAATATTTTTGAGGAAAAGTTGAAAGTATCAATTTTTCTTGAAAAATAAAAGTTTCTAAAAAAATATTTTTGGGGAAAAGTTGAAAGTATCAATTTTCTTAAAAATAAATTTTCAAAAAATAAATTTTTGAGGAAAAGTTGAAAGTATCAATTTTCCTCGAAATTAAAGTTTCAAAAGAATTTTTTTTTTTGGAAAAATTGAAAGTATCAATTTTTCCTGCACAAAAACAATCATATTTTTCTTTTATTTTTTTTAATGTTAAATAATCCGACGATGGAGCCTCTGTAAGTGAAACAATAGTTTTCTTGCATACTCCTGAGGTGAGGGAATTTTCTCAATTTTTTGCTAAAAGTATTAGAGTCAATTAAGAATAATTTTTAATAATTAATTACTTGGTAAAATTTTAAGGCTCATTGGATAACACAAATTTAAGGTGGTACCATCTTTTGAAGGGCGTTGTGAGGGTGCTACAACCTTCCTC